CTGGGGCGCTCGGCAGCGATGGAAAGTGTGCTTGTGGTTCTGGGTCAGTAGGTAGTTGACGTGGTAGCATCTGGAGAACGACGAGCACCATGTCATCATGCATTTCTGAGGTGGCTCCGTACTGCGTGGCAGCTCCTCCATCGCATTGTGACTCTGGGCACTGCCCTTCCGAGTATGTGTTCGACAACGAGGGCGCTTCAAGAGGCTCGCCTACTCCGCAAACCCCATGGTACGGGGCTCCAGGACTGTTTCTAGACTCGGCCTGCATACAAACAACTGGTCTGTTGAGGAGCTCGCCAAATACCGGTGGGCACTTGTCGGCCAATACCTGCATTCGCGCGGCGCGTGGCATCGGTTTTCATCAGATGCGAAGCCACAGCAGATAAGCACGATCCGCCCTTTGCGACTCCCATTTGGCCAAGATAGCCGCCATTGGGCGGCCGCAGTTGGACAAGGGCTGTCCCCTGGTGGTCTTCCGTGGCCCGCGACCCCACCGAACTCAAACGATGACAGGGGCCCAGAAAAGGTTTACACAGTACGGACAGCCAAGCTGTAATGCAGGAGCGAGAGAAAATAAACGGAGCAGATGAGCGACTGGTTTGCCTTGGTCGTACGAGCATGAGGGCTGTGAGGGGGATGGCCTGATCAGCATATCGGACCCCGAAGGTGCTGGCAAAACGACTGCGGAACATTTTCAAGTTGACTTGATCATGCGTGATGTGAAACTTGCAAGCCGAGAGGAAGAACACTATAATTGATTAGATATAATGCAGTGGCGGCGGACGTTCCTCTCGGCGATGCCTGGTCAGTGTGGCCAGGATGCCGATGTAGAGGGTCCGGACGCCGTTTACCTAGCAGCCTAGGCGCGCCCTTGGGGCCAAGACGGCACTTTGATGCTGCAGCGTCTAATAATCCGAAGTGTAAATTCGGTCGGCCTCAAAATTGGGGACAGGCTTCTGGACACCATGAACTATAAACAGGCTGCGTTATAGATGGGGGCAGGTATGTTTCGGGGTGCTTAAGTGGAAACAAGATCGTAATTCTTGTGCCTCAGAATAGTGCTGACTGCAATGGCATCAACCGTTGCATGTCCAGATCAGTTCCATCGAGGAACCTAAAAGTAACCGACCTAGATCTCGTCCTCCGAGGTGGAGGAATAGACCAATCGGCATGCTACTTTGCGTGCGGTTATCACTCGTGTTGACCGTGAATGCTAGCAAGGGCTAGATTTAAATGTTGATCATCCACAAAAATCGAGCGAGAAGTTTTCGTTCACATTTTACGGGTGGCGCTCCCCATTGAGGCTGGGCGCCATTGGAGCGGTAAGCACGGCGAAGTGAGCCATGTTTGGGAAGGTTGGCTGCAGTACGCTGCACAAAATACAACGGGAACACACGGCTGGTTGCCTCCCGTCCAATGAACAATCTGTATCAAAGGCGCGGCAGTCTCAGGATGCTGTCAACTGACAGTTGCCCTGAGGCAAGTCCAGCCGCAATGCCCCGAGGACAGGTCCAATGTGTGATGAGAAGACCTGTTGCTGAAAGCTCCGTAACAAGCACTTTGTGTTCGATCATGCTGCAGGGCCTAGAGGCCGATCGATGAGCAATTGGTAGTGCGCATAATGAGAACGACGATATTCCGTCATCTGATGTCAAGCGGTGTGCAGCACATATGTTGGAGAGCTGGAGGAAGTTTATGCGACGGCCGAAATTGACAGTTTGTCCCAAGGATCGTCCGTTGTGCTGGTGTGCCGTTACTATTTTGGGCGCGCACCCGGGCAGGGCAACGCTTTGTCTGGGGTTGGCATTCGATTTTGGATATAGCTGTAGACCAATTTGAGAGTTATTTGCCCTCAAGCTGATGTTGCAGTCGCCGAGTTTTCAAACACACGGCTGGATGGGAGCCGCGTCTGGATTGTAGTCTTTCAACCCCCGGAACTTGTTGGTGTGCTTTAGGCCCAGTCAATCAATTTTCGTCTTGAACCAGGTGCATATGCAGCTCCGCATGGCTGCGGTCGTGGAGATCGACCAGTCGCCACGGCTAGCTGGAAGCGATACCGCTTCACGTTCGCGTGTGAGACGCAGGTGGGACTGCTTGCTTTCCGCGCAAGGAAAGCCATCGGCTTGCAGGTAACATGGCTTCGTACGGTGCAGGATGTGATTGCTGTGGCGCAGAGGTCACGTCTTGCCGAGCCCAACTCAATGAACATTGTAGATGTTGTGAGACCCTGTTACGCACCGGCACGGCGGCTCAGGAAACAAGTCGCATGGTCGAGCAGCGCAACGGACGGCCATCGGAGGGCAATCTTCAGCTGGTCGAGTGAAAGATTTCAAAGTGCGCGTTCGGTCCAGAAGCTGATCCTATCCTCTTCGCGAAGCTTTGGTCGATGATCAATGGGTCCGGGGGCGGAAACGACGGCCCTGAAGCTGTCGAGGAGCGCGGCTTCGTCCGATGGAGGGAGGGGAGGGTTCGGCAGAGTCGAATAAACAATCCACGCCATGCTCTGGCCCAAAGTCAGCATGGCGATGCATTGTGGGCGCGCAAACTCGCATTGGACTAGCGATGCTCTGCATCCTCTCGCATTGCGTCAGGGACGAAGGAGCTGTATGTCATCCGCATCGCATTGTCAAGCGACGTCGAGCGCGGGACACCACCATGAATATAAAATGAAGCCGCCTTCATGAGGGCCAACCCTCCAGCACCCGCAGCACCAAACTCAGGGGCTACCCTCCCAGTTCGTTGGACAGGGGATCCTGTCGCTGGGCCAGGTGTGGCCGGGGCAGACATGCAAGAAGCACATGCCATCTGTAGTGGAGCAGTAGCGTCCGTGTCCGTAATGCAATCTAAGAAAGTCTCCGTTTGAGACCCTCTGCTGGAGGACAGTGGGGTGGGTGCCGGGCCACGCTGCCATACCTCTTGCAGGTTTAGTGGAGTCCTAATTGATTGCTCTGCAACGACGAGGCGCCCAACCAGCCAACCCAAATTTTGTTCTGATTTCCCTGAGTGCTGTCGCGAAAATGGACTGAGCTTGGGGGTCCGGTGCTTCAAGCCTGAGGCCAAGATTAGGGGGGGCCTCAGTGATCTCGGTACAGCATGACTCCTGACGCGGGCCATTTTTGAGGTAGCAACGCAATGTGCAAGTCTGTCTGGATATATACGTGTGTGTGTGCTCTGGATACGACAACGCTCAGTAGGCCAATATCCTCCCCCTCGGTAGTAATTTCTGCGGTAGGACAGAGACCAGGCCCGCTGTGCCTGTCTGTGCTGTCGAGGTGCGTGTGGTGGCATCGTAGCGTATCCCGTGATGGGCGGCCAGTCGAGAGGGTGCGTTGATTCGACGTGGGGTCTGGTGAGGCGATCAGCCGTTGGCGAGATCGACATAGGCAGACAAGACGCTATTCGGCGAGGCCTTGGAGCTCGTGGTTCGAAGTGGCATGGCGCCTGGAGGAGGGCTGCAGCTAGCAACTGTTGCGTGTGGGAACCGTGGGTGGTGGTCTGGGACTGGATGGCAACACGAGGGCGCTTGAGGCTTCAGCAAGGCGTGCATGCTGGGCACAGCATCTCATCGAGGCAGGAGGAGGAGGAATTCGATGGTGGATTCGATGCCGGCAGAGGCCGACACAGTGCCAGGACCGCTGCACGGTGAGTCCGTTTTGGCGAGCGTCCCGAGAGGTATCCTGTACCAAAGTGGAGCCCCTTGTGGTTTTTGTCTGGTCCCGGCAATCTTTTTCTGCAGTCCCCGTCTCCATTTCATATCGCGATCCTCGCTTTTCGTATGTGTTGGTTCTCCCTCTACTTTGGAGTTGTATTGTAGTTCATCTCGTCAGAAATTTCAGCAAAAATTGTCGGAACGGATAGCGGCTAGATAACGTCGATCTCGAACTTGACGGCGAGGTGCGTTATGTAGATTCGAGGACAAGCAAAGCAGCAAGGGACTCCCCTTCCTGAACACAGGCAGTGAGGATGTCCCTTGAGAGTCATCCTCAGGCGTCAGAATCGAATGAGCGAGCACGGATCGTGCTACGGTACCTGGTACTGCAGAAAAGTTGAAATGAGGTATGGAATGGACCCCTGCTTGGTGCACCTCGAAGCATTTCCAACCCCTGCCGTTGCCGGTACTTCAGCCCAGGCACAGGCCGTACCGTACAGTACCGTTCCACACCGTACAATAGGATATCACCACCACCACTCCTCTCCTCCCTCTCCTCCTCCTGAGCTAGGTACTCCCGCTGTCTCCACCAAAGGAATGAGATGTGGCAGCCAGATAGACAGGCCCCGTTCGTTAAAAAAGTTGTGGGTAATGTTCAATCTACAGTAGCAGATTAGATGGTCAAGGAGGCAGCGAATAGACAGACAGATAGTGCCTGGAAAGGTTTCGGTGTGGAAAGGGAGGCAAGAGTAACGAGACGTGCAGTATAGTACAAGCAGTGTATGCTGCGGTACCTAACCCAAGTACCCGTGGACCTTGACACTGGTGCAGGACACGGCAACGGTGGCCCGCGTCGTCGACCGTTTTGCTACCGCACACCCCCTGAGACCCCTGTGATTTCCAGGCGGGCGCGCAGGGAAGGGGCCTTGTGGTCAATGCTCCCTCATCACGGAAGAAAAGATTCGTTGATTTTGGGTGACCCATGTTGACCCTGGTTGACCCTGGCTGACCCATACAAAGAGCCCAGTCACCCTTTCCTGCCCTCCCGCCCATGAGACCTCCCAAATCAAATAAAGTGCGACCCAGCCCGAGTTCCCATCCCTTCGCTCTCCTGATTCCGCAAACTTCTATTGTTGTCGTCCCGTCAACTACCTCTCTCCGCCGTCTTGGAAATCTCCATCAGCAAAAGAGGGAATATCAATACCCTTAAGCTTAAGGCATCTTCAGTCAGGGACTCCCTGTTTCTACAATCTCGCCTCATTGGTCTCGTCTTCCTTTGTCTGTCTTCTTAGTTTTTGGTTTTTAGAGATACCCAGTTTCCTTCCATCAACCCCAATCAACCCCATCCACAATGGCCGAGGAACAGAAGCCCGTCGCGGTCCCCACCGAGGAGACTCCTGCGACCACCACCGAGTCCACCACTGCTGCTGCTGAGACCACTGCACCCGTCGAGGCTGCTAAGGAGGAGACTGCCCCTGCTGGTATGCGACACCTCTTATCCCAGGCACTCGCATCAACATAACACATCTTGCTGACCATACCCTCACAGCTACTGAGGCAGCCAAGGAGCCTGCCACCGAGACCCCTGCCGCTGATGCCGCCGCCGCACCGGCTGCTGAGGAGGTGAAGAAGGAGGCCGAGCCCGTCGAGGACGGCCAACTCGAGCACAAGGGCAGCAACTTCCCCAAGTATGTGTCTCCCGCGCCGCAGACAGCCTGTTGAACATGTTGCTAACCGCGCGCTAGGAACTTCATCTACTCCAAGAAGTTCTTCTGGTTCGGTTCCGAGGCTGTTGACCCCAAGAAGGTGCCTGCCTTGCTGAAGGACCACCACCTGGCCGCATGGGCCAGCGAGACCGGCAAGGGTCTCCTGTTCTTCAGCGAGAAGGGTCAGGACAAGTCCGCACCTTCCAGCGCCATCGCACTGGTGAGTTTACCATCCTACCAATTCACACATGTTCCAGCGATGCTAACCTGTCCTCTAGCACGATGCCGCCGAGCCCACCACTGAGGGCCCCAACAAGTTCGTCCTGTCCTCCAAGGGACACAAGCACACCTTCAAGGCTGGCAGCACGGCGGAGCGTGACAACTGGGTCAGCCAGATCAAGCTGAGGATCGGCGAGGCTAAGGAGCTCGCTAAGACCGTCACCGAGTCCGAGCAGTACAAGGCTACTCTCGCTTCCTTCTCCCCCGCCGTCAAGAAGGAGGAGAAGAAGGAGGAGAAGGCTGAGGACAAGAAGGCTGAGGAGACACCCAAGGCCGCTGAGGAGACCCCCGCCGCTGAGGGCGCTGCTGAGCCTGCTGCCACCACTGAGGCTGCCGCCGCCACCACCGAGACCACTGAGGGTGAGGCTAAGGAGGAGGCCAAGGAGGAGGCCGCTGAGGCCAAGAAGGACGAGCGCAAGCGCTCCACCAGCAAGAAGCGTGCCTCTATCTTCGGTGCCCTTCTTGGCGGTAACAAGGACAAGAAGGAGTCCGCCAAGGCTGAGGACAAGAAGGAGGAGGCTGTCGCTGAGGCTCCTGAAGGCACCGAGGAGACTCCCGCCGCCGCCACTGAGACCCCAGCCACTACTGAGCCGGCGACCGAGGCTGCTAAGGAGACTGAGACCGCTGCTGCCACCGAGCCCGCCGCTGAGGAGACCAAGGCCAAGGCTGCTGAGAAGCCCACCCCAACCAAGCGAACCAGGTATGTAAAGAATTTGCTGGTCACTACAACGAGTGCATTGCTGACAAGTCTCCAGCCTGTTCGGTGGTCTGTCCTTCGGCAAGAAGAAGCCTGAGGAGGCTGCCCCTGCCACCCCGGCCAAGGACACCCCTCCTGTCTCCGAGGATGCCCCCGTCATCCCTAAGGTCGACACTGTTGAGCCTCTGAGCACCGAGGTCTCCAGCCCTGCCAACGTGCCCACGGAGACCACCGAGACCGCCGCCGCCGTCCCTGCCGTCAACGGCGAGAAGAAGGAGGTCAAGGCCGACAAGCGCAAGTCGTCCTTCCCCTTCGCCCTTGGCAAGAAGAACACCTCCACCCCCACCAGCCCCGCCGCCGTTGAGGAGGGTGCTGCTTCTCCGGACGCTGAGAAGGCCAAGAGCCCCAACCCCTTCTCCAAGTTCCGTGCTACCATCAAGGTGAGTGAACAACATGAGAACATTAGCATCCATCCGAGCTGCTTGCTGACCCGACTACAGAACAAGGGCAAGGCTGTTGAGAAGCCCGCCGAGAAGACCGAGGACAAGCCAGCTGAGGGTGCCGTCGAGGAGCCCGCTAAGCCCGCCGAGGAGGCCAAGGCCGCCGAGGAGGTCAAGCCCGAGCCCGTCGCCGAGGAGGCCAGCGAGCCTGCCAAGGACGCTCCCGTCGCCAGCACCCCGGTCGTCACTGCTTCGGCTTAAATAGCTGGACAGTCATCACAGTAGGCATGGGGCAATCATGACATCTTGCCCCATGCGTATCGACGAAACAACACTATAGAGCGAGGTCGATGACACGAAAGGCGTCGCATGAAGGGAGCATCACACCACTTATGATACCCACTCCCTGGGTGTATGGGATCGGATTTGCATTTCGAGATACCCAAACGAAATTCCCATTTGTCTCGGAGCAACCTGTCGATTGGGGGAGGCCGACTTTCCTTGTTTTGACCCCGTCCGCAATATCGAGTTCCCGCGTTTTTGTTTTTGATACCCGAAGTATACCCAAAGACAGTCGTTTGGAAGGGGTGGAGCCATGGAGGCTGATGAAATGACGGAAGGGGCAGGAGGATATAAACCAGAAAACCCGCAAAAAAAAGAGATGTCTGGAAAACAACAAAAGATGGGAAAGGTTTGGTTTCGAGATGTGTTGATTGACGGAAACGGTGCGTGCTTCTTGGGTTCTGCTCTCTTGCGTCGGGTCACGTAGGATCTTGATGCGCTGGGCGGCCTGAAAGCATTCATTTAACTAATAGCTAATATAAACTCTCGTGTGTTGAGCCTCGTCATCTAATCCCTTTTACTCCCGCAACGACACCTTTGATGTCGTCCTGACTGTGCCTGTCGATGTCTGTCTGTGTGCCCGTGGTGGTCTTTTCTGCCCAGATGGCTATTAAGAGCATTTCGCGATCGATCGTGCATGGATCGTCATTGGTATCGAAGCTGGGAAGACCTTCATCCCTGATCCATGGCCGCATTGCACACGACCCATAATCCCTCCTGGGTCCCTTGGTCTGTCTCGTCTACCTGACACGGAGGTTAGCAGGTAGTATTGATGCCCGAGCCAGTGAATGCCCCTTCACGGCTCAAGGGGCACGACTCAGCAAGCTCCTTCTTTTGGTCTTTGCCTCACCGTCTGTTCGTCATCTCCCAGTTGACGAGCAAGAAAGAAAGCTTGGACCGAGGCGGTCTAGGTCGGAACAGAAGGTCTGGGATGTCTGACTGGTACGATTTGTATGGGCAGATTGATGAGTCGTCTCTAGCTCTTTTTTTGTTCTTCCCACTTTCTGTGTATCCATTGTGTCTGGTTCGCATCATGCCTGCTTTGCTAGTTGGCGGGCCTGTGACATTGGGAGGAGACCCGCGGCCACAGGCATGATCCTGATACCTCTCGAGCTTTTCCTGCGTCTAAGTCCATTGCCCTGAGAGACGACCCCGCTGGTCTAACAGAGTTTTGCCAGCTGCTGATGCTGCGGCACCCACGTCCCCTCGCGACGAGCACTACACAGGACTCGCTCCCGTTTGCAGCCCTGGTTCGTCAATGACGTGCATGTCTGCTGGCACGCACGACTCGCCGCTGGCCGAGCAGGGCTGCCGGTGCATATCTGCTCTGGGCCACTCGAGGAGCGGTGCCTGCCGCCTTTGTGGGCTGCCGGCCTGTCTATGTCTATCACCTTCACTCGATGGCAGCCTGCGAGTGCCTGCTGAAGGAGTATCACTGCATGCGGGCATGGTCGCAACCGGGTGCACTGTCAGTGGCGGGATGGAGGCCCTTCTCAGTGCGGACCGCATCTGATCATCTCCGGCGGGTCGCCTCGCGGTGGTCTGACCGTGTCGTATCGCTGCTCCAGGTGCCATCCAGCCCCATCTTCTCGGAGCCGAACGTCAGCCCGTGCCTGGGGGCGTTGGTGAGGTATTTGGGGCGTGATGGTTGAACTAAGGGGCAAACGTATTCCGACAGGCTCGGGAAGAGGTTGTACTTCGACGCCACCGGAGGCTGGGTATCGCAGACGCCTTGCGTGCTCTCCAGCCCATGCGTGGCGGGCGGACAAGGAAAAGCAGATTAATGGCTGAACACCACTACATTTGGCGATTATATGCCTTGTCTGCCGTTGCATGCTTTCATTACGCCTGGTCAGCTGTCATGAGAACTAAATGCTGTTGCCGGCGCCACAGGATGGCATATGTTTAGCCAGATGATCGATCCGCCACAAGTTGTCACGGACGATCCTATGGGCTTGCGGCGAGTGGGAGGCAAACCTCCAGAAGCCTGTCAGCACCTGACTTCTGTCTGATCGCTGGCAAGGCTGTGGTCATGATACACACCGCGATGAAGACATGTCTTGGATTCCTCAATGGATGGGCTCGGAAACTTTCTTTATCGGCGTCGAGTCCTGCATCTCGGCCGCGCCTGCGCCTTGTCTCACCTGCCAAGGCATGCATTGTGATCAGCAAGCCTGGGAGCAATTTCAGCCGCCGACCGGGTGCGACTCGTATGCTAACAGCCGGCGTTGTGGCGGCCGCAAAGCCCTGCTCTGCAATGTGATGATCACAGGCTGACGCCTCGCCGTCTCGTAGGCAACATTAAATCATCAGGAGGGCGGTTCGTTGACTGCGGTTCACCGTTACACCAAAGCACTGCCATCATGCCCTGAAGGTACGAGGCTGTGGCACAATGACTTTGAATTTTGTCTGGTCCACTGGATCCAATCTGAGGCTGAAGTCGACGCTTGTAATGGACATATTCTGTTATGTTTGGCCCGTTTCGGGCGAGCGAGAATGCAGCCTGTCAGGTTTCCAAACATCCCCACTCGCACTAAATCGATGAATTTGAGAAAAGTGAAATCACTGGGGAGGCATTCTTCCAGATCGACGGTTAGGTTTATTGCTAACTAGTCATTGCACTATAAGCCGGATATCCTCGTTCCTCGTCTATTGGAAGCTTCTTTTGGACCTGTGCCAGCCTCCTCTGTGCCCTGCCCTGTCCATTCTCATCTCCCTCCTCCTCTGCCTCTTCCACTAAATATTCATCTTCATACTCATCATAAATCATCACAAGTCTTTTGTCGAGTCTCTTGCCACGGGGACGTGTTCTTCCTTGTCACGCTTCTGCACGTGGCTACCGAAACTTATGACAAGCGCGGTGAGGCAGCGAACTCATGTCGAGTCAAAGATCATGAAGCAAAGGACAGGTCACACAAATCATAGTCCAAGTGGTGCGTATTCTGATTCAAACCCTGATGAGTATGCTTCTGCTTCCAAGAGTTGTCCTTTGGACTTGGGTCGGACGCGTGCTTCCATGGCGCGATTGAGGAAGGGTCGACGTTCATGGGCCCAAAATTATCCGCAAAGGGGACTTCTCGGCATGTCTCTATAAATGTGATGAATCATTTCGCAATTACGACCACCTGGATTTGGTGGCCGGCGAGATCTGCGATGAGAAGTCATGTCAGCCGACCAGGCGTCAGATATGCCATGGTGGACTCAGAACTGCGCATGAAATCATCCAATGGTGTGATCGCCCCGAGGTAGACAAAGATGGTGCTATCTAGAAGTAAATTGATGTTTTACGGCAGTGGCCTCTCCAATAGATCGCGCCCGAACAATATGTTGTCAAAGATACTGGCGCCAGCATTAGATGATACAAAAAGGTCTTCATTTCCCCGAGAGCTGGGCATGCCTGAAAAAAAAAGGCTAGAAGTAATTATAAGACGACATAGGACACCCGGCCAATACGCTCATGCGGATGAACCTATGCGAAGGATACGGTTGAAGCCCAGCCCGATGACGAAAGTTCAAGTGCTAGGAACAATCCAATAAGTCACACAGTTGCCGAGTTAGCCTTGTTGGCGTCGGTATACTCAGTAAAGCACCAGACGGTATGATACTGGACCTTTGCCGCTTTGGGTGAAGAGAAGAACACGCAGTCCTAAAATCCATGAGACTCGACAGCACTCGCGATCTTCTCTCTGCTCATATTGAACTGGAGGCCGCCAATGCGCACCGTCTCGTCGCTGTGCGCATAACTGCGCGCCGCTAATTCCTTGTGAGACCCCATGTGGGGGACCGTGATGTTTAGTGTAGCGCGTGGAACACTGAACGCGGTCAAATCATTGAAGCGGCCCATTGAAAAATTCAGGAGGACAGTGTTGCGCGCTTGCAATGTAATCGAAGGAGGAGAAGATCACATAGACGCTCGGTCCAATTGATTCAATGCGTCGAATCACGTCAGTTTTATTGTCATTGCTGCTACTGTCGACAATGTGTTGGTGGTTGCAGAGACGTGGGCGTGTGTGCGGTGGAAGGAAAAGTCTACTAGAAACCAGTCTCGGTCTTTCCCAGATTACTAGCTTTACAACAGCCAACGACAGTTTAGGCTTCGAACTCAAACGCGTACCTTCCCCCCATCCTCTTCTGGGACGGCATGGCTCTCGGGATTGCATTTACGACATTGACAACATACTTGGGCAATGTCCACTCAGAAAGAAGCTCCTGGAGGAGGGACAAGTCTGGAATGGAGGGGCTTCGTCGGTGTGCCTTCATTACGCAGGAGGTTATCCCACAACACACAGGAGGTTACCCCACGGGAGGTTGTCCCACAAGAGGTTATCCCACGAGAGGTTGTCCTATAGGAGGTTATCTTATAACCTACAAGAGATTATCCTATAAAAGGTTATTTTATGAAAAATCAGAAAGTTGTTATGTAAGAGGTATTTTTATACCTTATAGGAGGTTATCCTACGGAAAACTATCCTATAAAAGGTTGTCTGATAGCAGGTTCTTCCACAGATGGTTATCTTCTAAGAGTTTATCCTATAGAAGGTTAGAAGGTTATTTTATAGGGGGTTGATTGATAATTTACAGAAGACTTTCCTTTAACTCATGAAAGATTATCCTATAGGAGGTTGTTCTACAATTCATAGGATATTATCCAGTAATTTATAAAAGGGTTATCTTCTAGAAATCATCTTAAAACAAGATATTTTATAGTTTCTAAGAGATTGGGTTTACAGTAACTTACTTTATAACATGTAGAGGATGATCTCGTAGAATGTTAGTCTGACAAGGTTATTGAATTAAAGGTATTATAGATTATTTTAAGGGAGTTGACCTTGGAGACAGTCTTTAAGGGGAGTCGTACTTATAAGAGGGTATCTTATAAAGGAGGAAGACTTTTCCACAGTGGCTTATCCTAAGTCCTTCCGGATCTGAAGTTAGGAAACATATGAGGAAGGTACGGTCGTTTCGCCTCTTCCCTCGATGACGCATTCGAATAAGAACACAATGTTGCTCATTCGGCATGAGATGCGGTCTGGAAACGTCCTGCACTTCTCCTATGTCGACCCACCGTCAAGGCCTTATCTCATGCGAAAGCAGATAAGGTAGAAATTTGAGTTGAATGTCCGAAATTTAACTGGTTGTTCGACATTCGGCTACAGACACCTCTAGAGGACTCATCCAAGGTTTTAATATCACGGAGGCTGGCAGACTCGCTCGAGCTCATGTGGTATGTTGGCTTGTTCGCGGCTGTGAAGTACGAATGCGTTGCCGAGATTGTGTCTCCGGCGGCCATTATCAGCATTCAAAATATTGTCCGGATGCGTTCCAGTCGGACGCCGGGGGTTTCGGACATTGCGTGGTCGCATTTCGCGTGGGCCCGTCCTGCACCACGTCACGCACTTGAATGCTCTGCACGCATTCATGCGGCCAAAGAAGGAAGAATCGACCTAGACCAGTGGTGTTTCGACCACGTCCAATCTAGGTCTGTCATGGATGTGATTTACCAGCTCCGCGACAAGAGAGCTGCATCTGAATTCGAGATTGAGATAGCGCGGGTTTGAAGGAGTACCTTTGTCTTCAAATATCACCTCCATGCTCTTATATGTAAATTACAGCGACACGGAAACAAGCAGATATGTGAAGTCAATTGTGTCTACCCTCGAAGGACTATGGGCATCGAAATGTCACAAGACGGGGATAGGATGATGCGCACGCAATGTGATATCAAGTTGTTCCAAATGGTCTCGTGTGTATCCATTTGGTTCCTGATACTCCCTACCGTTCCGCTTGGATATTTTGACGACTACCTCCTCCGGCAGTCCCATCAATTTAGGCTCTGGACATCACATAATGGTTTGTTCCAGCTAGAATATAGCTGTATTTAATTCTGCCATATCAAGAGCTACCTTGAGGCGATGCTCAAACCTTCACCGAGTTCACTAAGGAATCTCATGACATAGGTTCAACAAATGTTTTGCTAATCATTGAAAATAATCTTCATGGAAATTTAAATGTTGATATTTGCATAATGATGAGTTCATTTTATATTTCTGCTTGGGGCCAAAAGCCCTTGGGTAATTGCTTCTTGCTGCTTTCTTTCGATTAGCTCCGTGCGGGACACTACAGATGCTGATATGACCAACTGACCAATAAAGGAACTACCTGTGACTGGGATTAAAAAATTCTTGCCGGTACAATCCATCGTTCCCCTCGCCTGCTTCAAAACCGGAAATATTCATATCCTCTGATGCTGTGAAACTGTTGCGAAAGGCCTGCTTCATTCCTCTCGTTCTGCTCCACTGATCAGACTCGATTGGCCGCAATTTACCATTTTGAAGTTGTTTAGGGCTAAATGGCCGACCTTTCCAGCGGCACAATCACCCATCCTGCCGCGGATGACCTGCCTCGTTCTTGTCTTGTTCAGCACGACACAACGCAGAAGATGCGAGATGACACTGCCGAACAAGATCATCCCAAGCCGCTGCCTGAAGGCGAGTGCGTGTGCCCAGTCGTGCCTCTGGATAGGCTTTGCCCACAGTGCCGGACGATTGAGTTCGACACCATGGCCAATACGACAGACTCGTACACTCACGAAGATGAAAATTTCTTCCGGTGTGAAGCTGGACTACAAAAAGATTCTTTACTTCAAAAAAGCCCATCAAATTGCCCGTTATGTCACTTTATGGAGTCCTGCTTGACGATTGAGCCTTCTAGAGGCGAGGCGACTCAGGATGTCAACAACAACAGAGTTATCAGCAATACCATGTTCGAAATGAATGCCATGAGGGGACTCGAAGATTTCCACCTGTTTCAGGTCTGCTACGGTGATTATAAATCCTACTCGAGACAGTATCCACGCAAGATCATCGTTATCCCAAGCCACAAAGGTCCGGGATTCTTCGGGCGTCACATCGACAGGGACGCAGTCGACCTGGGAGCCGTGTGTACACAGCTGCAGTTCTGTGAGAAGAATCACGAATTATGCAAGCCCGTGCATTCCGCATCTACCGCTTCCAAATACCGAGATCTGGGGCTGAGAGCCATTGACGTGGACAGCATGACGGTGGTCCCCATCATGTGGGAGAATGATAGATATGTCGCGCTCAGTTACGTCTGGGGCTCCACCCACACGAATGAAGAAGACCGGGATTGCGAGCTTCCCAGCAGACTGCCGCAAGTGGTGCAGGATGCTGTTGTTGTCACGAAAAGTTTGGGACACCGCTTTCTATGGGTTGACCGCTATTGCATCCCCCAAACTGATATGGTGGCTCGGCAACAGCAAATTCAGGCCATGGGGGAGATCTACCTGCACTCTTCCCTGACCATCACTGCTGCCGCCGGAATGGACGCAGATTATGGGCTCCCAGGGATCTCCACCCGGCGATCCAAACAGGATAGCATTCGCGTTGGTCAACACTGCCTCTTGGCTTTCTATCCGCCTATCCATGAGCTCCCCACAACGAAGTGGGCCTCTCGTGGATGGACGTATCAAGAGGGTCTTCTATCTACACGTCGCCTCATATTTACACAAAGTCGGGTCTTCTTCGAGTGCCGAGAGGCACTATTTGACGAATACTGCACGGCGTTTAACGTGGAGCCCTCAGATGCTCACTGGTCATCGTCATACAAGGACCTCTTTCATGCTTTCCGGTCCTTCGTCCCAGACCGTGAAGATGAGGGCGAGTTCTTCCGTCAAGCGGCGATGCGGATTGGGGAATTCAGCCAACGCGAGCTGACGTACGACGGAGACGCTCTTAATGCTATGGCTGGGGTTCTTTCACTGTATCCTGACATTGCCTTCTGTGGCCTTCCGGTCCCAAGGCTTCTACCTGTCGGGTGTCGCCTTGACAGGGAAACGGACTCCTTGACCCTGGCGTTGGCGTGGACGGGGAGTGACCAGCCGGGTTCTACGAGACGTCATGCGTTCCCTAGCTGGACCTGGGCGGGCTGGAAGAAGTGTGTTTATCAGGGTCCTACAGAGCCGCATCCCAAGTACTATTTCAAATTTCTGGTCGATACTATTAGCGTGCAGTTTAAGGACACTGCTGTAGATTGGGAGGCTGGTAAGAGGGACATAATGGCGAGGAGCAGAGCAGGAACTTTACCAATGTGGTTACAAATTTCTGGCTGGTCTTTTACTTCACTTGAAGATCCCGAGGTGAGCAGAGAGAACGGTACTTTTTGGCTTTTGCTATGGTACTTGTCCGCGTACAACCCAGGATTAGTGTGGCGATGGACTCGAATGAAATTGCGCCGTGTTGGGGAAGGTGGCAGTCTCGATTTGTTTGAACGATGCCACGTTGAACAATTTGAAAACGTCGACGGACCTCTGGAGTTTGACGAAAAATCAGGACTTCCAATAGTCACAGGTCGAACACTGCATCATTGCACGGTACGCTTGATTTGATCACAAAGGCACCCTTGGTAACGAAAATGATATCGCAGAATTCGCTGGAAGCCAGCGAAGTTTCTTCGCAAAGACCGAACATGTTGTTTTTATTTATTCCAGCTTAGCATCTTGAATATACAAGACATTCATTATTAATGTAAGCCTCGATTTTGAGCCGTGCGATTAGCTTGACTAAGCTTAGATGAAGGTATGGTAGTTCAATCGGAAGCATTTAATGGACACTAAGTGTTTTTTTGTTAAGCAAAACAATGAGAAAGGGGTTCGTGGCTGAAGAAGGCAGTTCATCTTGACTGCTGACAACTTCGTTGACACCCAGTGACTCTAGTGTTGCTCAGACGGCAGTTCAAACAAGCTGAGTAGTGACCTTGGAAGGTAGACATAATTCAAGTGACGGATAACCTGGTCCCATGGAGTTCACTTTCGGAGGCGCCGAGACATTGGGTACAAGAATATTGTCCAAGGTGGAAGATGTGTTCATTCAAGTTTATCCTGCAAAATTTCCTTATTTAAAAGATTTTTTTTACAAAGCATTTTCTTTTAATTATTAAGTATTAATAAAATGTTATATATAACACTTATATAAATTAGTTGTTAAATAAAAATACTCTAATGAAAATTATTCTGTATTATCTTTTCTAAAAGAATTATTTATACAATAAAACATTGCTCAAATGAAGAGCAATTTACACCAAGCTGTGACTGGTTTAAGAGTATCAAATTTTGCTTGATTTGACAAGCTTAAGCCCCACTGGCGCAATGGTAGCGCGTTAGACGTACGTTATCAAAAATTCTTAATTTCTCTACATCCTCAGCTAACCCAGCATAGTTCTAAAAAGAAGTACATCTAAAGGCTGCGGGTTCGAGCCCCGCGTGGGGTTTCACGAAGTAAATCTCTTTTTTTAAATTTAATTTAATTCTTTTGTTCTCTTTACTTTTATCTAATTTTATCTCCTGTTGTTGTTAAAAAGGCTGTGGGGCTCAACGCCAACAGGGCTCTGTGAGCTAGTGCTCTTATCGATAAGCTTATCTTATCAGCTCCTCGTTATGTATGCATCTGTGCTGCTCTGCTTTTCTTTTCGGATAGATGAACCTTAACAGAATCAACAAACTTTCATAGTTAAATCGAGCCTTTAAACTGCAAATATGTAGGACTGTTTTAAATTAATTTGATATTACTTTTATTTCAAAATTAAGATTTTAAAAAAAAAATTAATTTATAAATAAATAAAAAAAGTAGGCTCAAAATCTTTGATTATATATTCCAGCCAGACTATCTACAACACACGTTCTCCTCTGTGTGACTAAACCAATGTCTCATTATAGATAGACTAAAGAACTACCTATAGTCCTATACACTTGATGACAGTCCACCTGTGGTGTTGCGGGTACTATTAATAGTAACTGAAGCCTTTGCGAGACTCGGCGGGTCCGACGTCCATGAGGTATGTGATGCTGGTAGCCATGACAGGCCTGCGTATTTCCAGTCTCATTGACGAGGCTGATGGCACTGAATGGGTAGAATCAAGGACAGAAAGATCAGTGTGTCGCGTGCAGAGCAGGCTTCCACGATGATGACAGTCTGGTGAGAGTAGGGGGCCACGATGGTTGTCTGAGTCTTGACTCGAGTGATCAGTAGTTTGGATTAGGAATCTTGATGAATAGTTTTAAGAATATGCTGTGCTGTAAAAGGAAGGAGGATGGAAAAGAATCATATCAGGGTACTTATGTTCTTACTGGCAAGAGATGCTGATTTACTTCGCTTGATTCTCTGTTCGGATAATCTGCCGTAGGATGACCCGCTGTAGGACAACCTCTGGTGGGATAAGCTGTAGTGAGATAACCTCTAGTAAAACAATCTAACAAACCGGACATGGCTACCTGTCAAAGAGCCCTTATCAAACACTGCAGTCGACCACAGATTTGTCATGAGAAAAATTACCCATATAGACTGCAGTCTAGTGTCTTGTACCATTTCCGAAACCCTTTCTTCACACGGGAGGCTGTGTTGATTTGTGACAGACGGCATTATCAAGATCACGAGCCTCCGAGAATGAGCGTCGCATTGGCCGACCGGATATAGAAGGAAGGTCTCAATACCAAAGGTTGTACTAGTCTCACCACAATCATTCACACAAGAGAATAATTCATTACTGTCTCATGTTCACGTTGCGAGAATAAAATGCATTGTATATTTCGCGACTGAAGGACTGGCCCTGCTGGTACAAGGATCCCCTGGCGAATTACGAGGCATAGCCTTACCCGAGTAATCCATGCATGCAACATCGTGTTAGATCTCTTTTGTTGGTTTTGCCGATTAGCCGTGAGAACCAGGCCACGGCCCTGTTGTTGGAACTTGTCAGGAAATAAGGTATGTGGGTGAGGAGATGTTGATCCCGAGCTATATGACGATTGATGTTAAATTTTGCTATAGGTAATGCAACTGTCTGACACAAATAGGTAGAGTCGGATGTTGCCGCCCCCATTGGGCCCGAGTGTGAGGGTGACGTATGCTTTGTTTGGATTGTCCGATGAGACGAATCCCTGGTCCTCAAGAATTGTGGGTTTTCCTGCCTTAATTAGCATGGTTCACGGAAAGACTTACGACGTCGTCTAAGCCTTAATTGCGTCTGAATCGGTCCCTTAAAACCATCCCAGTCCACTGCCCCTTTCCAAATCATGTTCGTTTTTCGTTCTTCAAAGTGCCTTGTTCCTGTACCTGTTTAAACCCACGATCGACGCAATTTTTGCGGGACGTCTTATTCTCTGATCGAGCCCCACCGATAGATACCTGCACCGAGGACGAATTTCACTTGGCAGAAACCATGACAATTTGACGATCCGGGGAAGCACGGACTGGCAGTAATTGGCGAGTCTTATTCGAATTCAGCAGACAAAGCATGCTACTCAGCTCTTAAGTCAGAACAGCATCCTAAATAGCAGCCATGCTTCCGAGAGCGATATACCTTTCGCTCATTTTCAGCTTCTTCTTCAACACAGCCCTGTCATATCCAACTTGGTTCTTGGCTGTTTTCCAGTTCCGATGCAAAGCGCCAAGCATAGTCGAATCCTACAGCGAGGACTGGAAGGAATGGAGAGTCTCGAGCATTTGCGCGCCCGGGACTTGCTGTGCAACCAGCGCAGCGACCGGGCCGCTGTGCACCGTTGAGGCATGTGAGAAGGCCGACCAGGAGCGGGAGCGGAAGCTCAAGTCATACAACGCTGTCCAAGCTTCGAAGAAGAAGACCGAGGAGGCGAAGAAGGCGAAAGAGATTCTGAGCAAGTCGTCAGAGTCGGAGACAAAGTGGAAGGTAGCAGATTCTCAGGCTGAAGCTGATAGGCAGAAAGCACTGGCTGAGATCCAGTTGTCGGCTTGATCCGGACTGGTGGCAAGAGACTGGAACACTATCCATCGTTCTGCGCGATGATCTTCAGATGCCCAGAACATTTGACAGCTATGGACACCGTACGGAAGCGAGGGCACAGCTGCCTTATCCAGGAGTTGAGCTTGACAGCCCTCCACGCTTTTGGGTCCGAACGCCCCGCATCCAAAGGATATGGGTTTGCGACTGCTCATACGATTCGGGCCTATCATCGAAATTGATCGGCATCCAAAAACACGCGGCGTTCATCATGGATGATACAGGCTTGAGCAGCGAATCAACGGCGGCTCGTCTACGCTCGACAAACACGCGGTGGGGGAGTGGCTTTGCAGCCCTTAGTGCATAAAAAACGGATGTTCAGGATGCATCATTCCTAGTCCCGTCGTCGAGTTTCCCGCGAGCCTTTTCAGTCAAGAAAGGAGACACGACGTGTGCAAGCAAGTGGGTCTGGGATGCGACAACAGATGTGCCTCGGCATGGTCCCACTCGATGGTACATGAACCAGAGCAGACGAGTTTGGTTGGACACGGCGCAAAGTATATCGAAATGGATTGGATCCAAATACCAAGCACATCCTTCCGTCTAACAATTATTTCCGAGGAGCGCGCCACGGATGAACACAGCAACGGTAGATGAATGCCCGGGCGATCCTTTAGAGGTTGCATTCGGAAGTCCTGGGAAGGTTATTGTTACTTTCGTAAGAAGTATCCTATAGATTGCCGAGCGAGATGCTCGATGAAATATAAACAAGTATCCTCTAGAAGTGGACCTGTTATCAAGGCGGTGATTCAATATTGGGGTGACGTTGTTCTGTTGCGACCGTTGCCCTGCGGCTTCGAGTGCCGCGAGCGCATACCGGTACTTCACGGGTGTGCACGCCCTCCGAGTGTCTACGGCGGTTATTCTCCCCAGAAACATCAGATATTGATCAATGAAGAACACATTATTAATCCAAGCCTGTTACACCAAAAGGCACAGTGGCATAAACCCCCGTGTAAGCTGCGGACCGCCTCAGCATCCCGTGCAGTTGCAGCTGAGGGGTCGAACGGAATACGCTCAAATTGTGGCCCCGGCTGTCCGCTGCGTTCTCCACCATAACCTAATCCTCTTGGGAGCTCCCTCGTCTATATAAACCCCTTTCGATGCTCTTGCTTACGAGGAAGATGTGATCATTGACCCATCACACATTTTCATCATGGCGACAGAGACTCTCACCGAAAACACCTTTAGCCACAGCGGCGACAAGCAGACCTTCTATTGGGTAAGTAGCTAGCTTCCGTAGGACTCCCCTTCCTGAGAGCAGGGTTCCATTACTGTCCGAGGCTGCCTCACTGGTACTCTCTCGAATCCAGGTTTCCCTTTCGACGTGCAGCTCATAAGACTGTTCGGAGGCAACACACCTGCTTTCTGGAGTAGCCGTGCCTCCCCCCCCCCCCCCAAAAAAAAAAAACAGCTCCTATGTAACTTTATCTTCGGTGTCCTGGTGGCTAACTCCATATGCGCAGTCCGCTGGGCCATCAGACGGGCCCCTGGTCATCTTCGTTCACGGCTGGCCCTCCAACGGCGAGCACTGGAAGCACCAAGTGCTTGCATTCGCCTCGCTCGGGTTCTACGCCGTCGCCCCCGACACGCGGGGCTATGGCCGCTCCAGCGTGCCCAAGGGCGACCCTACCGAGTACCGCCTAGAGAAGCACGTCTCGGACATGCTCGCCCTGCTCGCGCACCTGGAACGCAAGAAGGCAGTCTGGGTCGGTCATGACTGGGGTGCGGGGCTGGTCTGGGCGTTCGCGGCGCAGCACCCGGACAAGTGCGTCGGCGTAAGCTGCGTCTCTGTGCCGTACCGTGTCCTGGAGGGCGGCCTGGATCTGTTGGTGTCGCTCTCAAACCGCGATATCTACCCGGAAGACAAGTACCCGCTCGCTCAATGTAAGTGCCCAAATGTGGTGTGCTTTTCAGCCCCTACCTGTGCAAATTCGTCGCACTGCTAGGGGCGGCTTGGAGAGTTCGGGAGATCGATTTAGACGGCTGCTTCTGATTCAAGTTTCTCGATTGGAAGGACTGAAAATGCTGATTCGGTATCGCCAGGGGACTACCAGGCCTTCCATGTCGAGCAGCCCGAGCTCAGCTCGAAGCAACTGGAGGGCAACGTCACCAACACGATCAAGCTGTTCTACCGAGGCTCAGGCCCTGAAAAGTTTGGGCAGCCCGCCTTCATGGCAAACCTTCGGAAGCAAGGTGGCTGGTTCGGCCCCTTGCCCGCGGCCCCGGACACGCCTTTCGAGACATGTCTCCTCAAGGACGACAAGCCCGCCTTCGACCGCATGGTGGCCGAGTTTGAGCGCAACGGGTTCGAAGGCCCCAACGCCTACTACCTCAACCACGGTATCAACTCCGAGTACATGAAGACCGCCCCGAACGGCGGACGTCTTGAGTACCCCGTCTTGTTCGTCGAGACTAAGTACGATGCCGTCTGCGATACGGCGCTGTCGCGGCTGGGGGAGCCTATGAAGGAGTACTGCAGTGATCTGACCCAGGTCAGCCTTGAGTGTGGCCATTGGGCTACGCTTGAGAAGCCTCGGGAGCTGAGCGCGGCGCTGGTCAAGTGGATTGCGACGAAGCTGCCGGAGTACTACCCAGGCCCACAGAATGCGCACCTGTGATGACCATTGGCTGACGTATTCTGCTTCACATCTCATCGTGAGACGGGGTTCTGAGCTTCAGTAGGTAGAATGTTGACAACACGTTCCGTGGCCCTCTTGAATACTTTCAAGCCGCATCTTCGAGGCGTGAATTTGTGTGTGTCAGTAAGGAGTGCCTGCCCATGAAGTGATAGCGCAATCATTCGCATCTCCCAGACTACGAGCGACGGATCCTCCAAAGGAAACCCTTCCATATCGCTCTGTGTGGAGCCCCATTCTGTGGCTTCGTTCCTGCCTCAGCAGTGCTACCATTTTCTACCGCAGTCAGATGGAACTGTGAGCGTCGACGCGAACGGGGCTGAGGGCATCGGAACACCACGTCCCGCTTGTCCCCATGTCAGCTATTAGTGGCGAAAGTACAGAGCTGGGTCTTCTGATACCATCATACAGAAGCGTAGGGCGGTGCATTCTCGAGGTAGCATCTATTTTATGTACGAGGAATTTTATCGTCTAGGCCGTTCCAAAGCCAAAAGAATCCCAGACCGCCGTGAGTGCTGTACATATTCTCTTTCCCATAACGCCTGCAAGATCTAAATCCATCCCAAAGACAAATGACAGCCAAAGCATGTCGTCCCTGGTGCATCAACACCCGCTCTCCCCAGAAGCCATGCCTTTAACCGAGCCATCACCGACGACCACCACCAACCCGCAGGGATGGCACCCTCAGAGCTTCTTCCACCAAATCTCATCAGTCTGCAGGTCCCCTCCGACATCAAACACATGCTCTCCAATGTGCTCGTACCCCATCTTGCGGTAGAAAGCCTGCGCCTTGTGGTTCTCCTCCCACACGCCGAGCCAGATATGCTTGAAGCCCTGCTGGCGCGCCAGCTCGTCCGCGGCCAGCGACAGCGCCTTGCCCAGGCCCTTGCCGTGCGAGCTCAGCCCGATGTACAGCCGCTGGAGCTCGACGGGCCGCTCGAGGTGCGCCACGCAGGGCTCGTGGCTGCCGCGGGTCAGGTAGGCGAAGCCGAGGAGCTTCCCGCCCGCTGATGATGATGAGCCATCGTCCTGGCCGGCCTCCTCCGTGGCGACAAGCACGTCCTTGGAGCTGTCCGCGATGTCCTTTGCGATCGCCTCTGGCGTGTACGCCTCGTCCAGGAACGCCTGCAGCTGCTCCTCTGTGCACGAGTGCGCGAACGTGGCCCGGAAGACCTCGGCGCCGAGGGCGGCGAGCGCCTCGTTGTCTGCCGCGGCGGCCTTGCGGATCTGAAACCCCGCGGCGTCTTTGGGGGGCGTGAATACGCTTCCCATGGTGCTGCTGTGCTGGCGATGTGCGGGGCTGAGGAGCGAAGAAGTGGGCGTGTTTCTCACAGCGCGTGCTCTGATGGGATGACGGGGCGTGTCCGTGTGGAATTGGCTGTGCTGGTCTGGTGAACGGGCTTGGGGTGTGAAGATGAGCCAGGGGGTTTTATGCGGCCGCGGCGCCGACAAAACTCGCGACTGGCGCCGGATCGGGCCCGGGCTGCGCATCTGCGCAAATGAGCGACTCATAGTGGCTGCCTAAATGTGAAGAAAATCCGTCTCTTTACAAGGTGAGCGATTGTTGCGCACTCTAGATCTTTTCACAAGAAACCAGAAGAGACTAGTAAATTGTCAGAATTGTTTGATTACATGCAACTGGGTTGAGTGTCCTACAGCCCTGCTTTTGAAAGAAGACTGGTCCAACCCGATGCGCGTAGACAGACAGACCAGTGGAGGCAGTTAACCGAGTCGCTCCTCGGACATGAAAACCAATTGAATCACCCACAACAGATCCTTATATGCATATATAGAAGTTTGTTTTACGGATACTACCCTTTCCCGCGAGTCCTCCCCGGAAGCCTAAGTGAGTTCACAGGGCCCCCAAGCTTTCAATTATGGGCCCGTACGAGTCGCGATGACAGTATGCCGAGGCGAGTAAGTCAAGTCTTATTCACGAGCTTCGCCTCAAGCCGCCCTGGCATTCTATCGAGCCCAGGTATCCAACTGCAATCCTCTTTGCTAGTCTTGCCAATAGTATATTCTTCCAGTGTGCTAACCTCTAGTGGGATAAACCCCAGTGGGTTACCTGTAGTGGGATAACCTCCCCACCTTCACGGAGGTAACTTACTCTGGGATAATATCTGTGGGATAACCTCCTGTGGGATAACCTCCCCGGAATAATCTTTTACGGGATAAAATCCTGTGGAATAATCTCCTTGGGATAATCTGTCATGGCATGACCTGTTATGGGATGACCTGCTGTGGGATAGCCTGCAGTGGGTTAACTGTTTTGGGACTGCCTACTCTGAGATAATTCCCTCTGGAAATCAGCAGATATCCTTTGTCCTTCGTTCTCGTGCTCTTATACTACGTCAGCCGCGAATTCGATTCCTATAATAGCCAGACATCTGTGCAGGCAGTTCCTGGAGGCCAGAACGGCGACTGGACGAATCGCCTGTGTGGTAACGTTCTGCTTGTCAATGCACATCTCAGATGAACAATGTTGCTTAGTAGTCATCGCTTCTCATTCATCTAGGCTTTATGATGAGCGTTAGATGCGCTAGGCTAGCCAAGCAAGCACCTCGCACCTCTTGCACTCACCACGAATTCCGCAGCAGAGACCCACGAGCACCACGGGCGGTGTTGGCAACCGGTGGGGCCGGTACAGTGGATCCGGGCACCGTGCCGTTGCCGGTGAGGCTCAACAGCGCAGCGCTCGAATCCGGCACACTGACCTCGACCGTCCCATTCGCGTCCACCACCACGTACTCGCCAATCGTTACATTGCTCAGCCTGACCGGCCTCCCGCTGTCCAATTCGTAGTTGTAGCTCCACCCGTCCCACGTGATACCCGTGATCGCGTCGCTGCCGTTCGCGTATAGCCTCTGGACCGCGACCCTGTCCCCGGTGCTCAAGTTGCCGCCGGAGACGTCAAAGGTGTAGGTACGTGAAATGCGAGTGGTGATGTTGGGGCTGATACCGAGACCAGAGCCGTCGACTGTTGTGTTGTAGCCGTTCATGTTGATGATGATCGCCCGCAGCAATTCGCCGCCGTCTGCGGAGTATGCGGCATAACTAGCTTCGGTGTCCGTGGAGAGCGGTATATTGGCAACGCTCACCGGGGTCTCGATGGTGTTTCCAAGGAAGGCAGCCACAGCAATGCTGCCGTAGTATGGAGCTTTGGTGCCGATGCTGGCGTTGGCAGTCTGTATTGGCTGCCAGAAGCCGTAGCGATAGTTGGTACCTTGGTGCATGTGAATCCTCTTGAAGCCGACCGAAGCACTGTACAAGTTGAAATCGATGCCCCACAGCGCAGCACCGAATGCATTCGATAAACCTGGCTTGCCCTGATGGTAGAGGGAATTCGTCTCGCCAAAGATAAGTGGCGGTGAACCACTGTTATTTGTGGCCTTGTTGTACTCGGTGATGTGAGGGTCAACAGAGGCGACTGTCACCGAGTGGTTCAAAAGCGTCCCCTGAAGGGTGACGCCAGGTACATCAGCACCACTGATGTAACTATTTTTCCAAGTTTTCTTAGGATCAGCTTTATACGACAAGTTGCTGGGGAACTCACTTGTGGGTGGAAAACAGTTTAATACTGCCGTCTTGGTTGATACCGTCCTCCCAAACGATCGGAACCTTGAGCGTGTTGTTGAACCCAGCAATTGAAGCAGCCATGTAGCCGTACAGGTCGTTCTCCAACAGCTCCGGGCAGGCATCCTGAAGGCGAGCCCGGATTTCACGGGTTCCGTTGAGCCACTGGCTCACATATGTTGTCTCATTCCAATCCGGTGGTCGGATCAGGTTCTGCTTTCCGGTGGAGAACAAATCTGGCTCGTTGCCATACTCCCAGACGTCAAGCTTCTCCGGCCCCAGCGCCTTGCATACCAGAGGTACGGTGTCGACGAGGGTCTGCCAACCAGCTGAATTGTTAGCGCCCTGGCCCAAGTTAAAGCCATGGGAGAACTTGACACCGGGCCACTGGTTGTATGACTCGAAGTAAGATGGTCCGATATATATGATAGTAGGGTAGTCAGCCGACCGAGAGTAGTCGAAGGTTCCATTGAGACCGTAAGCCAGGGACGCATTGTAAAGGTAGATATCCTGGGTATTTCCCCCAACCCGGACGTATGGCTTTGTGCCTTGAAGCTGGCCAAGATTGTTCAGCAGGTTGTCAGAGAACGTGTTTGGGTTTGAGTCGTTTCCTGTGTGCGGTCAATCCACTCGGTTCTGTAGATGGTCGGAAACATCACATCTCAGGTGAATAATGCTCACCAGCGAAATCGGGAAAAGACGAGAACTCGATAGAATAGCTCACGAACGCCTCGCTGAAAGGTTGGTTGGCATCTACATGAGCATTTTGAAGGCTATATTTAACAGCTCCCACGGCTCCCGCCGCAGCGATCGAGGGAAGTAAGGTCTGAGGCCTCATCACGTTCACCGCTTTCGCAGCAGGCGCTGTTAGAATCGCGGTTCAGGGAATCAACAATGCTCAAAGCAGAGGAACATGGAGAAAATATGACAGTCGGGTCTACATGAGTGAGGGACCGGCCGCACATATATAAGGTGGGATTGAGATGTGAAGTCGGATTCTCGGACGAATGAATATCGAAGTGCTAGACGTGGTGTTATTGGGGCCGTGACTGGCGAGAAGACACATGCCTGTCACAAAGTCACGTCACTGTGCCGTGGCTGGCTGGTCGGGGTAGCCCCAAGGGTCGCTGAGGGCATCGCAAGCCAGGGGTGGAGCTTGAAAGGCGCCCGTGATCTCTCGGTTGCTCTCTCGGATGCTGCCAATGAAGAACAAGTGCAGATCTCCACGGAAGCCAGTATCCCGGATAGTTACTATTGACAGGGCAGGACGAGGTTCCCCGCAGACATAGTACGTGAGGGGAGCAGGTGTTCATCTCAACCTTGAAGCGGTTGCACGCGCATGTGTTGGAGTAGGGTACAGACAGTCTCGCCAGTTCTTGCGTAACGAGGGCTTAAGCAAGGGCGCACGTGAGCCAATATTCTAGCCTTGGCGAGGATGAAGATAACGTCGCCTATGCCATGTCCCGCCTGCGGCTGCTTGTCTAGTGTGGCGTCGCCGTTGCCCATGGGGCGTGGGAGTCGTACATACCGGGCGGTCTGCCAGACAGGCCAGGCAGGAGGGTCGGCAAAGTCATGCAGGCAATCGGCTGGCTTCCCGTCTTCACGTGAACAGATCTCGCATGAGAGCTGTTTTCATGGCAGATAACACCTCTGAGCATAGATGCGTGGACAACTTTTACCAATATATGGTCGTGAGGCCAGGTCAAGCCTCATGAGCACCTTGGAACCCGAGGTAGACACGAGGTTCATTGAAGCGCCACGCTGATTTGTGCTGCCTCATGGCTGCTAGAGAATGGTTGCACTGGCGGCAGAGCGGATGTTGCCGTGGTGAACATGTCTCTCCGTCATTTCGACGATTCCCTTCCCATACGATGATGTTGGCGACGATGATGGAGTTCAAGAGTCGACAAGAGATGCGTGAAAGAGTAAAGACAAACACAGATGATCTCTTCTAGGAAGGTACACGCGAATTGGCCCCGCAGAGCTTGAGTAGTGGGGCTCACCAGCTCCGATTGATGGCCAAAGCTCCAAGGTCCAGGTCCAGGTCCAGGTCATGTCCAGGTCGGGCTGAGCAAAAGATAGATAAAAAGAAAGAAAGTGAGACAAGATAAGACAGTTGCGAAGGTAAAGGTTCAGACTTCTTCCCGGAGATTGACATCTATGCAACAGGACACGAAGTCAAAGCCAAGTCCAGAAGAGATCCAAAGTCACGCTGCAAAACGGTAGACTACCCCGCGACGGCAGATTCATGGAGACGTCATTGTAGGGATCGCCAAACCCCCAGACGGCAACCCGAGAAACAGAACTAGAACAGCCGCCGTCTTCTCCGTTGAATTCCTCTACAACAACCAATCCAATCCCGTCCATTATCTGAATTGTACAGAGTCTGTCAAAGGTGTAGAGTAACCGACTCCCAATCACACCATCCCAGACTCCACCGTAGCCGGGTTTCGGAGGACACGCTAGACTGCGCAGTACATTATTCGGGTGTCATTTTTCGATTAATACATGACAACACCGGCCCGGTCGCGCATCGGGTTCTCATAGTAAATCGCCCGCCCTCCCTTATAACCAGTCTGCCCTTGGCCCTCACCTTCAAGCCTCACGGTAGCCCTTAGATCACCAACCATGTCCCTTTTGTCCAAGACCTGGACATCCTCCGCCTCACGCCTTGCCCCTAGGATCGCCCGTTTCCAGAGGAGCACTTTGCCCACATTATCGCTGTCCTCATTCCGCCCAGCTTCAACAATGGCACCCAAGGTGAGCCCTGCCCCAAGCTGTGGTCAAGATCTCCAGAATATACACGGTTGCTGACGAGGAGCACACATCCTCCAGCTCAAAGATCCCTCCCTCTTCAAGACCGACGTCTGCTACGTCAACGGCGAATGGGTCAAGGCCGCTTCCGGCAAGACCTTCGAAGTCCATGACCCAGCCACCGGCGAGCTGATCGGCACCTGCCCCGAGTTCGACGCCAAAGACACAGCCAAGGCCGTCGAGGCCGCCCAGACTGCCTTCGCCTCTTTCCGCACCCAGACCGGCCGCCAACGCTCGAAGCTGCTGAGGAGGTGGTACGAGCTGCTCAACGAGAACGCCGACGACCTTGCGGCCCTGATCACATGGGAGAACGGCAAGCCGCTCGCCGACGCCAAGGGCGAGGTTGCGTACGCGGCCAACTTCTTCGAGTGGTTTAGCGAGGAGGCCCCTAGGATATACGGCGAGACGATCCCGGCCACCGTGCCGGGCAACAGGGTCATCACCATCAAGGAGCCCGTCGGCGTGTGCGGCCTGATCACGCCGTGGAACTTCCCCGCCGCCATGATCACGAGAAAGGCCGGCCCGGCCCTGGCGGTCGGCTGCACGACCGTGACCAAGGCGCCTGGCGAGACGCCCTTCACGTCCCTGGCGCTGGCGGAGCTGGCACACCGCGCGGGGGTGCCCAAGGGCGTCTTCAACGTCATCACGACGCTGGCGAACACGCCCGAGGTGGGCGCGGAGCTGACGACCAACCCGACGGTGCGCAAGGTGTCGTTCACGGGGTCGACGGGCGTGGGCAAGCTGCTGATGAAGCAGGCGTCGGGCACGCTCAAGAAGCTGTCGTTCGAGCTGGGCGGCAACGCGCCCTTCATCGTCTTCGACGACGCCGACCTGGACACCGCGGTCGCGGGGGCCGTCGCGTCCAAGTTCCGCTCCTCGGGCCAGACGTGCGTCTGCGCCAACCGCATCTTCGTCCAGGCCGGCATCCACGACGCCTTCGCCGCCGCCTTCGCCGCCAAGGTCCGCGAGTTCAGCGTCGGCAACGGCTTCGAGTCCGCCAACACCCACGGCCCGCTCATCCACGGCCGCGCCGTCGACAAGGTCGACTCGCACGTGCGCGACGCCACCGGCAAGGGCGCCAAGGTCCTCGTCGGCGGTGCCAAGCTGCCCGACCTCGGCGGCAACTTCTACCAGCCCACCATCCTTACCGGCCTGACCTCGGACATGGCCATTGCGTCCGAGGAGACGTTTGGCCCCGTCGCGGGCCTGTTCCGCTTCGAGACCGAGGAGGAGGTCGTCAGGATTGCCAACTCGACTCCTGTGGGCTTGGCTGGGTACTTCTTCTCCAAGGACCTGCAGCGGGTGTACAGGGTGGCTGAGGCACTTGAAGTCGGCATGGTCGGTGTCAACACCGGGTTGATCTCGGACCCGGCGGCACCGTTTGGAGGTGTGAAGGAGTCTGGCTTCGGCAGGGAGGGCTCCAAGTATGGCACTGAAGAATATCTGGTAAGTTTGATCCGTGCTTAAAAGCTGTGTCCTGGGAGTGTGTAATTGCTGACTTCCGTTTCTTCACAGATTACAAAAATGGTGACTTTCGGTGGCATGGGCAAGCCTCTGCAGGCATAAGGGAGGCAAGTATCTGGAGATTGGCAATCCCAAAGGAATTGTCAAACCTCGAATGTGTAGGCAGCCTAATGGGCCGCCCTTACTGTACATATACCACTGGCGTACGATAATGTTGAACAACGTGCAATTGACATCCGAGAGACACTCGTGCTTTGTTTCCCAGACAAGATCCAGATCGAGCAGTGACCTGTGGAGTAGTCTCTTGTGGGACAAGGTCTCCCGGGATAACCTCCTGTAGATTAATCTGCCGTGGGATAACCTCCTACCGGGATGAACGAAACGACTAAAATAGATTTCAGTACTGCGCTGTGATACGGCATACTCGCACAAGTTGTGTGTTGACAATTTGTATTTTGTAGATCGTCATATGTGAGTAAAAATGTCGGCTGCAAAATATTGCGCCCCAAAACGCCACCTGGTATCCTGATGAACCCTCCTGAAAAGAGAGAAATTAAATTCACGCCGTAGTAGTAAATATATATAGTAGATCGACTCGTCTCCTCCGGACCATCCATCCCTGTGGATGGTAGCAGAAACTACCTCCATCTAGTCCCCATCATCCAATCGAAAACTCGTACATAGGACAGGAATGGCGTGGGCCGACGCTCAGTCGATGGGCTCGCTACTGGTACCCCCGCAGAGGCAGTTTCCTGTCCAGCGCGTTGAAGGCCTGAGTCCTCGGCGTGAAGGGCGATTGGCTTTGTTGGTAGTTCTGATAGGTTGGATAGGTCGGGTAGTTCTGGTAGTCCTGCGCCTTTGGCGCCGGCTGCATCTCGAAGACGACCTTGTCGACGGGGGTGCTTCTCTCGGACTCGTCGTCGGAGCCCTTCATGTTCTTCTGCAGCTTCATCTCCTCCTTCTCCTCCTTGGTGGGGATCATGCTGTAGACCGCGAGGCCGAGGCAGAAGAGGTAGACGCATCTGTTGCAAAGGCAGAAACTAGTCAGCATCGTTGTAGCAGCATCGGGCCTTCAAGAGCATAATATGGGCGTCGACCTACAGTTGAATCACGGTGACCGCAAAGGTGCCCTTGGCCAGATGGCAGCTCCGGACCGCGTCGTTCTGGAAGCCCTCGGCGGGCCAGCACCCGTAGCGGATGTACCACGCGATGGGGCTCGGGCGCTTCGGGTCGATATAGTCAGGCCCCATCTGGCCGTAGACACTGACCGTGTACAAGGCGGACATGGCAAGGCTGAAGAAGACGCCGACGATGGGGGTCCAGACGCGCATGATGAAGCCGATCAGCTTGGCGACGAGGACGAAGAGGGAGAGCACGGAGATGGCGACATTGAAGTTTGTGAGGCTGTTTGAAGGGAATCATGTCAGTCATCAACTGCGCTGTACGTTGTTGAACGGCAATGTGCTTACGTCTCGGCCCATACTAAGGGCAGCTTAGGAGCGGGTTCATGGTTCGCCTTGGCGTAGAGGAGGATGGCCGGATTCGAGTTGAAGCCCCAAACGTAGCCAATACGCCAGAGCTGGGTGCGGAACAGGTCTGGCTGTGCGATGCCGAAGAGAACCAGCAGGGAGACGGTGCCGGCCAGCTCGAGGGGCATTATCCAGAACATGGGGGCGCGCTTCCGCCATGCCCGCTTGATGGGCTTATAGCTCCAATTCTGCTCCGGATTCCATCTTGCGAGTCGTCCCGGCATTATGACTGTGTCTGCGGAATAAATCTCTCTCGGAGATGATATATTTCGGCGGTGTTGTCCTTTTCGTGCGTCTGAATCCCTAGCTTCCTTCTCTTCCGAATCGGTGGAATATTACTCTTGTTAGACCCCGGCGCTGTGATAATCTGTGCTGGCTGGCTGGCTGGCTGGCTGGCTGGCAGCGGTCGCACCAAGACACTTCACATCGGAATTATCGGGATGAAGCTCGAATTCCCCTCTTCCAAGGAGATGCGGTTCTCGTCGACAATAAGGGACGAGGTTGGACACAACAGGCACTCGTCCACTGGGGAAACCGTTCACTTATTCGGACTCACAACTGGGAAAAGGAGAGAGGGGAAGTGAGGTCTCTATAAAAAGCGCCCACCCATCCATCCAGCAGATTGACCCTGGCGACTCGCAATGCTACGACAGGCATGCCAGAGGCGCTCATCCTCTCACCAACATGGCCAGCCAGCCAATACCGCCGTGGGGAGCGACGCACCTGCACCTGCAGATGTGACCCAGGACCAGAAATCGCACATGTCGGGTGGGATTGGCAGAGCTCACCCAATGGGAGGGGCGGGCACAGATGCGTAGCCGCCGGGCGGGTGGGTGCTGTGGCATGGGATTGGCCCGCCATCAGCCAATCCCGGGCGCTTCGCGAGAAAGTGGGTGAGAGGTGAGAGAGGGGCCCCCATTTTTGGGTGTGGATGAGACTTTGAGGGAACCATTGAGGAATTCATCCACCCATTGAGGTGAGATTTGCCATTTTCTCAGCCATTCAGGCCGGTTTCTCGAATGCCGCCCTGCCACGCCTCCACAGCAGCGCGCGACCTGGATCGAATGTTGTAACGACGAACGTATGAGCTGACGACCGGGAGGCTATTGAATGCGTGCAGATCTCCCTGCAAGCACTTGAGCGAGGAGGATGCAGTCAGTGCACGGAAGTGACAGCACAAGTAAAAATAGGAGCACTCGCTTGGTTCACTGTTTTCATCATCAGCACTCCTGTTCCATCTGAGCTCATCCATGTGTTGGTGCATAATCTGGTAGGAGGAAGAAGAGCCAACAGTGTCGAAGTCAGGGCTGAACAGAGTGGGCGGTCGCAGGTGCGCAGCGCCTTCATGTCTGAAGATATACTGAGGGATCGTTTCAAGTGATGATATCAACGCCATCATTCCAGTACCGAGTGGAATTGACCATGGGCCTCTCTGGTGTGGCCAGAATGCCGTGGCAGCTGCATGTTCGACCACGTCCATTCGGAGTCGTAGCCGGGCCGGCGATAAAGAAAAAAAGGTGACCGGGTCGAGGGCCAGCGGACCTGAATTGGCATGAGGTTATCAATGGAGCACCCTGCCCTTTCAAGATGCATGCTGCTCTGCTCTTCCAGTGGAGGGCCATTGGGTCAGTTGCATCGGGTGGCCACTCAGGCGGGGCGACCTCGTGGCACAACCTTCGTCTTGCAGTGAGCTGCTTGTCAGATTGTGCGCCTTGTCGAGGCCCTCGATTCTTCCACCCTTCTACCAGCTTCCACCAGCAAAGGGCGATGGCTAATGTGTAAGCTGTCCGTGCCCAGGCGCATCTGGCCGCATGCGGAGTCACCTTTCACATGGCTCCCCTTGGGTTCACCAGGAGTGGTGATCGTGCTCGGGTGGGACGCACGAGTCCCTCTCTGGTGGGTGTAGCGACAAGGCCGGGCCAGTCAGTCGCCATGGGAATTCTGAATCAACGATCGAATTCTGTGCAGTCCACTTTTTTCCCCTTCGGTGAACCAGCCAATTTTTAACCGTGACAGACGGTCAGACAGTCTGACGGGCCGGATAGCAAAGGATGACCATGTCTCCTCCGCGCCCGCCGTCCACCGCCCACCACCCACCGCCATGAACGCCAAACGGCAGGAATGCAGGCGGCCCGTCTCCGGGCATCCTTCCGTGTGACTGGATTGGTCAGAGAATGACTGGAGAAAGTGATGGAGGTGCTGCTTCTGTGACCTGTCTACATGTGGACTGTGCAAGCACTCTGGTACTGTACTGTGGGTGGTATACTGTGGTAGAGGTCATCTGTCATAAGACGCCTCTTCTTTGGTCGGCGGTCAACGTCATCAGTCATCGCTTCTGCCCATGTTGACCCAGTCGTGCCAGTCAGAGAGGGCGACGGCTTCAAAGTCGGAGGTCGGAGGGAGTCTGGAGCTCCAAAGGCTGTAGTAAGGGACCCACCCTTTGACACTCCCCCAATTCTGGTGCGCCAGTTGCGCCAGCCCAGCTGGGCGTGCTGGGCAAGACCTGGGAGAGACAGATTGGCATGGGCCGGTCTAGAACCCCCAGAGGTGCCACTGCCCACCCAGGACCCAGCCAGGACCACCTCACAGCCTGCAGACTGCCCACAGGGATCGGCACCTGGGTGTCACTTCCACTTGCTGCCCCGTGGGCCCTGGCCCGTTGCTTAACAGCAGCACTTATCAGATTTAGTACCTATAGTACAGTACTTACTATCTACGCCGTCCCGCGACTTCCATCCCCTTCGGCGACGCGATGGCTGGCCGCTGGATGACAAGAACCCACGAACCTTACCATCCGGGTTCCAAGGACCCAAGCACTTGGGAAGAGGCGATCAGATCATCGACACACATTGGACCCCGCCCACGTCCACCTCGTGGGCGCATTCCATGGATGCAACAGTACCAATCACTAATTCCCGTCATGATCTTGCTGGGAACCTTGGAGGTCACCCGCTACAAGACAGGTACCGACCTGAAGGGAAGGCAAAGGAAAAGAAGATGGTGACGGGTTTACAGACCCACCCTGCCATCTTCGTCCTCACACTCGTGCTTATGCTCACGCCCCCGCCCACGCTCACTCCCTCGCTCATACTCACAACTCATTCATTGCTGGGGCAGGTGATGGCGGCCAGGGAGCCTGGACAGGTTGGCTCTGAAGGGCTTGGCTTCAAGGTCTGAGAACAACGATCACGATTGCCCAGGTCGACCACACGTACTGTACACGCAGACGCAGACGCACACTCTCGCGCCATCGTGCCTCGAGTAACTCTCGAGTACCTTCAGTACCTCCACACGCGCAATACCAGCCAGAACTCTTGGCTCTGAGACATGCTTTATTCTCCTTTCTCCTTTGGGCCCACCAGGAGAATGATAAATGACAATAGTCTTCTTCCTCACCGCACACAGTCATCACCCTTCCTGTGCGATGCACCACCGCACCGCACCGCACCGCACCGCATTACACACAAATAATAAATCCTTCCGAGGATACGGCCACGGCCAGTCCAGTCTGCTCCAGTCCACTCCACCCACCTGTCCACACCACCCGTGCTGGCCCACGACAACCACCGCACAGGCTCAAGCAACCACCCGGCGATCTAGACTGCGGGAGACCATCTGGCACCCCTGCTGGATCGTATTCACACCGTACCGTACCGAACTTCGTCTCATCCAGAGCCAGTCCGGCCAATCCAGCCCTCGGCTCATCAATGCGCGTCTGTTTCTCAGCCGCCCAGCTTTCCAGTCCCTCCAGCCCGTCTGGCCTGCCCGCTGTCTGCTTGATTGAGCTCCTCGGCAGTCTCGTCTTGTCTCGTGCTGTGTCATCGCCTCAACGGCTCTGCACTCTAACCCCAATCTGGTCCTGTCACTCCATGCTCACGCCTCCTCGACCCCCGATTCGGCTGCTTGCTTGCTTGCGCGCTGTCTAGCCTCGCGGCAGTCAGACCGTCACCACCAAGCCATTCCCTCCTTGGATCGCAAAGTACATCCACCCGCCTCGGTCACCTAATAGTAGGTACCCAAGGACTCCATCTCCACGTTCGAGTCATTCCCATCCATCTTGATCACGCAGCTTGTTCCCGCCAGCTCGGGCGGACGGGCCTGACGGGGTGGGCGCGCGCGGGCGACGTTCGGACGTTCGGACCAAACCGCCCTTTTCCTACCGGCGCACCACTACGGACTCTGGCTAACCTGAAATAGGGGACGATCCCTTGTCCTCGCTCACCCGAGACCATCATTCTCGCAGTCCAGTCACTTGAAGTGCCTGTTTGCGGCCTTCGCGCTCTTTGCAAAGCGGCCTGGAGGGCCCGTGAAGCTGCACATCATCGACGCTGGCTTCCTGGGTGTCCCCAAGTCCATCATTTGTTATCTCCAGACGACTCGTCCTTCTCCCGAAGGCCCCGTCCCTCTGCTTTCGCCTTCCCTCCGCCTGGGGATGGCCTGGATATCAGCTCTTCCAAGTCCTGTATGAGACCTGCACTAGACACCCCCCCTGAACACCCCCCTGGCTCTCCTTCACAGGCCGCCCTGGCCGCATCTCGATCTTCCCCAGCATCTCTTCTCCTTCTCCACTGGCCGACCCACGCCTTGCCAAATACTCCCTGCTTGCTTTTTTTGCTGCATTGCGGGTACCCTCCTCCAATACTTGCACCTATGCTAGCTGTTTTCCTCCTACCCTTGCCATTTTATCCGGTGTACGAAGACGGGGGCCGTTGACTGACAAACGTCGGTTCGACAGCCTTCGGTTTCTTCTCCTTCCTTCATGACTCTGGAACCAAACACCTCACTACGTAAGTCTGCTTTGGCTATCGACAACCAGGCGGATCGGCCGACCGTCGCCTCTACCACTGCACCGCACAACCACTTGTCTAGATCCTTCTCGTCGAATTCCAGACTACCCGCGATACCCCCTGGGCCTGTGACCGGCATTCTGGCCACGCCTCCGCACCCATATCCACAACAACCACCGCTGGGTGCAAGTCGAAGTTGTCACCCCTCGGAGGAGGCTATCAGACTTGCTGCCCAGCTGGTTACAGGGCGTGGTTTTGACATCAGCCGATATGGTCTGACAGCTGCCACCGCCGCTGTTCGTGATCATTCGGGCGTGGATGTTGTTGCTTCCTCTGTCAACGGCCTTCCTTCACCATCTTTTACCTTGGCCGCTCCTCCCTTCCGTAAACCGGCGCACACGTGGAAACCGCCCGATAGTCAAGGCTTCGTCCGGCCAAGCATAAAGCCGCGTTCGGCAAAACGGCCACTTGAACAAGGCAGTGTCGACAACGCTTTTATCGTCCCAGCAGCGAAGAAGCCGCGCCGGCTTCCTCCAGGCAGTCTTGACCTCCCCAAGGTTGCTCCGCCTCGAACCCCCGAGGACCTGCCCCTGTCCAACGGTGTATCGCCATTATTCTTTTCTTCTAACTCGTCGACGAAGCACATGACGGGCCGGCCACCGAGCTTCTCCACTCCGGAGCCCTCCGTTGCCATGCTAAACCGCCTGCGCGATGACCAAGGTACTGTCAGGACTGTCAGGCTTCCCAGGGGCCAAGTCAGCGCCGTGAGTCCCGCGAGAGGTCAAAGCATGAGCACTCCCGGCAGCGGTGGGTCCACAGAGAGTCAGTCCTCGAGGGGCCTGGACAGCCGCTTAATGTCATCTGAGCTACAGGACCTTCAAGGCGTAGGCGTGATTGAGCTACTGGATCATGATGAACGACCAACATTTATTATCGACTTGATGGATGCGTCGAATTTCGGCCCGGGCCCCTTGAAGATAGCCTGGCGGAATGCATCACTGAGGGCGGCCACTGGGGTAAACGAGCTAATATCCAGAAGCCCAGAGGGCAGCATTGAGTTCTCCCGGTTCAAAGCATGGGCCGTCAGCTTTGTAAAAGAAAAGAGATCCATGGATGTATGCTTGCCGTCTCTATCATATGGAGGCATTAGCTGGACATGCTCGACCTTGAGAAACCGTTTCCGCTTCGTCAGTGGCAACAGTGCCGCGGTATCAATCACGCCCACTTCGCCCGCTCCCATCGCGCGCGCATCGTCGATTCTCGAACAACGGTCTCAAGGGCCGACACCTTTCCGAGAATCCCAGACCCCTGGCCGAGAAAGAGCCCTCAGTGACCTTGATTACTTTGGTGATGCCGACCCGGAGCAGGGTTTGGCTGCTGCACGCCGTGCGCACTCAGAGCCTAGGGATTTGAGGGATTTGCGTCCGGACACACCTGTCTTGCCAGACGATGCCGCAGACATGGACGATCCGCTTGCTGCTCTCGAGCAGGCGTCATTTGACTGGACCAGGATCGTCGATACAAGCAGCATGCCACCGCACTTACAATTCGCCCGATCAAGGAACTGGGAGGCCACCCCTCTCGGGCCCATTGAGTCATGGCCGGCAGATCTGCGAATTATGTCAAACATGATCATGGGCAGCCCACACCCTGCTGCTATGTACTGGGGAACCGACTACACGGCGATCTACAACGAGGCGTACATCGATCTGGCAGGTAACAAGCACCCCAAGTTGATGGGACAAAGTTACAAGGAGGCTTGGGCGGAGATTTGGGACGAGATTAAGCCAGTCTTTGACGCTGCATGGAACCATGGCCAGGTAAGACTCAATCCATTAACCTTTCCCTGGTGCGCATCGTCGACTTGGGTACTTTTGTCTCCAAGGAGGGACTAGGACCAATTGATATTGCTAGACAGCTGCGATCCTAGGGTGGAAGATAGCTGGATACCATTCCGCAGTCACAAGACCCATTACCCGACCGATGCTGTTCTGGCACCATCCGACTAACCTCAGGACTTGCAGGCGACGATGAAACACGACGATCGGCTCTTCTTGAACCGGAACGGCTTCCTGGAGGAAACTTTCTTCAACTGGTCTATCGTGCCACTTCTCGGCGGCGATGGGTCTGTAGTAGCGCTGTACAATCCTGCGTTCGAGAACACTCGCCGGAAGGTCAATGAAAGAAGAATGCTAACACTGCGTGAAATCGGCGAGAGAACGGCACTTGCTCGCAACGTTGGAGGGTTCTGGAGGCAGGTTCACAAAAGCATGGAATACAACGAGTGGGATATACCGTTTGCTCTCATCTACTCCGTCACCGAAGACTCGGAAAGCGAGGTGTCTTCGATGCATTCCGGCAGCGTGTTCAACCCTCCTCAAATATCTCTCGAGGGGTCGATAGGAATTCCCGCTGATCACCCAGCTGCGACACCATCGATCGATTTGAGGACTAGCGAGGAAGGTTTTGCGCCGTACATGAGAAGGTCAATGGCACAGCCGACGGTCCCTGTTGTTCTCTCCAAGGACGATGGGACTTTGCCCCACAGCCTTATTGAAGGAATTCAGTGGCGTGGATTCGGCGATCCCTCAAGAAACATCGTGGTATTCCCAGTGCATCCTACCACCGGTGAGAGCGTCGTCGGTTTCGTCGTTGTTGGTGTCAATCCGCGGAGGCCATATAATGACGACTATAGATTGTTCATTAATCTGATGAGCCGACAACTAGCGACCTCGATGGCATCTGTCGTTTTGTTCGAAGAGGAAATTAAGCGCGGCCAGCAGGCCGCACGACTTGCTGCGTTGGATCGCCAGCAACTCTCACTTCAGTTGCGTCTACGAACCCAAGAAGCCGTCGAGAGCGAGTACAAGTTCACTAGAATGGCGGAGTTTGCCCCTGTTGGTATTTTCATTGCGAATGCGGAAGGACAGATCAACTTCTGCAACGACTCATGGTGGGAAATTTCAAGACATCCCCGGACAGTCAACTCGATCAATACGTGGATGGAGAGCGTATTGCCTGAAGATAGACCAGCGGTCGAGGCCGCGTGGCGCAAGCTGATCAACGAAAAAGTATCCATTGTGCAGGAGCTCCGCTTCAAGGCAAGTCGGGAAGTCAACGGTCACCCCATCGAAACCTGGGCCTTGATGAGCGCGTATCCGGAGAAGAACAACGAGGGAGCGGTCAAGGCCATTTTTGGCGTCATCACGGATATCTCTCAACAGAAATGGGCAGAAGCTTTCCAGAACCAGCGCCGGGAAGAGGCAGTAGAGCTCAAGCGGCAGCAGGAAAACTTCATCGATATGACGAGCCACGAGATGCGCAACCCATTGAGCGCATTGTGTCAGTGCGCAGACGAGATTATCGGCAGTATCGCGGCCTACCGCAAGAGCGAACCCGAGATCGCCGAACGCTTGGGCAAGATGCTTGACACGTGTCTCGAAGCTGCCAACACGATATCGCTATGCTCAAACCACCAGAAAAGAATTGTAGACGATGTCCTGACTCTGTCCAGGCTCGACTCCAGGATGGTAGAAGTGACGCCGACCGTTGTCAGTCCAGTGGAAGTCATACAAACGAGTCTCAAGATGTTCGACACCGAGTTGGCGTCGAACAATATCAAGGCCGAATTCCGAATCGATCAGTCGTACCGAGACATGGGTATTGAGCTTGCAAGACTTGATCCAGCTCGTCTACAACAGATCATCATCAATCTTCTCACGAATGCAATCAAGTTCATCCAAAAGCAGGAGGAACGATCCATTGTCATCACCCTGGCGGCATCCAAGGAGGCATGCCAAACCCAGATTTGTGGGATCGAGTTCTTCCATGAGGGAACGGAATCCAACCGAGACATCACCGACAATCCCGATTGGGGCCATGGCGAGAAATTCAACTTGCAGATTTGTGTCGCGGATACTGGGCCTGGACTGACCGATGAAGAGCGCTCGATGCTGTTCCAACGATTCCGGCAGACCTCGCCCCGAACACACGTTGAATACGGGGGATCTGGGCTCGGCCTCTTCATATCGCGGATGCTCACAGAGCTACAAGGCGGCCAGATTGGCGTTGTCAGCGAGAAAGGTGTCGGTAGTACTTTTGCCTTTTACATCAAGAGCCGCAAAGCTGTCGAACCCCAGCTGCCCAGCCCGTCTGCCCACAGGGACGCAGCCGATTTGATAGCGATACAGCCTAGCATCGATCCAAGGACAATAGATGTTCTGGTAGTTGAAGACAACCAGGTCAACCAGAAGGTCCTAGGTCGCCTATTAAAGAATCTCGGCTTTAAGGCTCATCTGGCGAATCACGGAGGCGAAGCGATTCAGAAGCTCCAGCGCTCGAAGCACTGGGACCACGAAGCAGGAATGGCCGAAGGCTACGGGCCGGTGGATCTCGACGCGGGTGAAGATACCATAAATGTTTCGATCATACTCATGGACCTGGAGATGCCCGTCATGGACGGGACAACGTGTGCGCGGACTATACGCGAGCTGGAGAGGCAGGGTGTGCTCATGACACGCATCCCGATCATAGCAGTCACGGCGTACGTGAGGCCTGAGCAGATTGGGGACGCAAAGGCCTCTGGGATGGTACGTACATAACCCCTTTTGATGTAAAAGGGCATGGGCTGACGTATGTTTTCACTCTTACAGGACGACGTTGTGTCGAAACCATTTCGCGCCCACGAACTGGCACCCAAGATCATGGAGCTCCTCATGAACCCACCGACTGGACACACTCCGTACTCGCCTTTGTCTTTGGCGTCTCCGGGTACTGAATTTGGATGATGGCTCGACCACTTTCAGCATCCAGGACGAAGAGCGTCTTGAACATGGTATCTCATTCCGGATGGAGGTGTTCAGGAGGCCGTTTGGATCAAAATGCAAGACTGCGATTACACGTATACATACAAAAGCCTGGCCACAGGTGAAGATGCGACAGAGCCACGAAAAAGAACGGTTTCAGACGGCAACTTTGCACGGGACCTCATCGCTTCGGAGTTGGAGGACTACGATATCGCATGGTTTACATCTTCGGCGTTCACCAGAGTGGTGCAGGAAAGGGGTTTTTGTTTTAAAACTCAAGAAATACCTACAGGGAGGGACAATATGTCTTTCATTTTTTTGGGCCCGGGCAATATCTTTCCCGCTTATTATCACCACTTATAGCTCATGACCCCGGTGTCCCCGTCTTTGCGAGGTTCTTTCTTCAGGAATTGGGGCCGTCACGGGATGACGGACTGAAAATTGCGGAGGTGTGGCAGCGGTTATACAATGTGTGTTCATATCCATCCTCATTTGGAGCGCATCGGATTTGCTGGTCGGGATATCTCCCTTTATTTTATTTTATTTTGAATGCCTGTGGTCCGTTTAGGGGTCGGGGAGGTGGTGAGGATGATGTACATATCGATACCCAGACGTTTACGAAGACAACGCGCACACATCTACACACGTACTCATGTTCCGCGCAAGCGGGGAAGAAATCTAGTCGTGAATTGATGTGGTGAGCCTATGACCCGGGAGGATATTCCTATCGCTGGTGGTCTTTGAATGCCGACAGTCAACCACTATCCCGTGCTCTGCCATACTCGGCTTGGTCATAATCAGAGAATGCCGTGACGTTCGGCTCTGGTCAGGCAGACGTCCTTGCGATTGATGCACTGGATACTTGCCCTGTTCTCTTGAAAGGAATGTATCGTCGCCGAACAAGCGCCCCCCTCCCCCGGGGGCGTCTCCTCCTCGTGCACACCCTGTCTCCTCTCTGTAGCTCCCTCTTTCTCTCATACCGTCTCACTCTCGCCTCGAAGACGGGGGCAGTATTTCAACGTTTACACGGGCGGTTATTTCGGGACGACTCTGCCTCGCATCGTTGGGGCCTCGCGGTCTCAGCCTGGCCCGGGACGTGACATTGGGGGAGGCACGACGGGCTTTTGCGGGGGCCACCACAGCCCACCCAGCATCGCCGACGGTTTGACTTTTCGTAGGCAAAGCAGAGAAAACCAACCGCGGCAACATTGTTTGGGAAGGCCTGGGATTCGTTTCAGCAGCGCTTTACCTCAAGAGCCCCTGGTCGAGCTGCATTCACCTCGAAGGCGGGCTTGTGAGGCTCTGCCTCGTCAAGAATGAGCCCTGTTGTCGCACTGCCTGGGGGTAGTGCAGACCTGTTTAGCCCCCTCCCCCCTCATCCGCGTTGTAATGTGTTGTGTTGCCGGGCGAAGTATGTACGGATCAATCGCAGCAGCAGTCGATGTTGTATTTAGTGTTGCTAGTGGCTATTTTGCCCCCAAGAAATACGCGGCGGAGGACGCAAGGCTGGCTTGTGTATTGCCCGCGCCTGGGCGAGCGAGGAGTGGCTGGGCTGGGCTTGGATGTCTGTCTGTGGCAGGTGCTCTCTTCGACGCGTAGATTCGATGGCCGAAAGAGAGCCTCGTGTATCTGAGAAACTCATCTTCGTTTCTGATCTGGGATCTTCATGGATGTCTTGATGTCCCAGATGATATTATTCTAGGTCAACGTCTTCCAATCACAGCCTCGCCTGCAGTTAAGACTGCCTTGCTCACGAAATAGATCAGTGCAGTGGCTTGTTGACCCAGAATATGTCCTGACTTTATGCAGATGTAGCGTTGTGAAGGGAAGACTCTGCCCCCAATCATCGTCTGAATCGTGTTCGTGATTCCGAGGCTGAGAACAGTCAGCGTTGTCAATTTCGCGTCGTAGGTATTCGCGCATTCAACCTGTATTCACTTCGCTAGGCATGATGGAAATTGATCAAGTAGGACGCTGTATTATGTACGGTGTAGCATATTTCTCATCAAACTAAAACTCAACGGACTCGCTACCACCCACTGCCGACAGCACCAAGGTTAAACAAACCGCATCTTCGGGCGTTCCGGGTATCGCGCCATCATTCAAGGAATCAAACGCCTTACACCGCATGACATCTTTTGATAGACCGGACCCGAGGCCAAAAATCCAAAAATAAAAGAACAGTCCCGCACTGTCCAAAGTGAAAAAGGGAAGGTATCGGAGGCGAGATAGTTTTAAGTCGAGGTACACATAGCCGAGACAGGATCAAGCAAAGAAGGCCATGGCCGCGGCCGTGGCGACCAGGGGCCACCAGCCGGCCGCCTGGGCCATGTACCTCATACCGGCAGCGGCGTTGGGCGACTCGGTGCCGCCGCTGGCTGTGGTGCCGTTGGGCAGGGTGCCGTTGATGAGGATGGTCTCGGTGCCGTTCACATCGCCGATGGAGACGAGGCTGCGGTTGAGCGAGTTGTAGCTGCCGTTGCCGACGACGCTGTCGATGTAGGTCTGGTTGGAGTTGTCGTCGCAGCCGCACACCTGGTAAGGGTCGCAGCCGCAGGTGACAGGCTTGGTCTCGTTTTGGTTCGACGTCTGGTTGTGGTAGTTCCAGGGGTGCGCGTACGGGTACAGGTATGGCGGGTGGTACCACACGCCCGGCCAGAAGGCCACGGCTGCGAGCCCGCCCACCAGCACGAAGGGCACGATGCCGCCCGTCGAGCGCGAGCCCGCGCGGTAGGGCACCGTCGTGCCGCCGCCGTAGTACCGCCCGCCGCCGTATGAGGGTGATACGCCTGATCCGGTCGTTGTTCTGCCGCCGGAGGAGGAGGACGAGGAGGCGGCGCCGCGGCCACTGGGGAGAGGGTAAAGTCGTTAGTACAGTCTGAGATGCGCTGCGCTTTGCATGAGGGGCCTTTTGCTTACCCTGACGAGCCGCTCGAGGAGCCTGACGAGGAAGACGAACTGCCCGAGGAACCTGTTTTGCCGGACGACGATGAGCTTCCAGAACTAGAGCCAGAGGAAGAGCTGCCGCTGCCTGAGCTTGAGCCAGACGAGCTGCCAGATCCTGAAGACGAACTGCTGCCTGATGACCCTGATCCCGAGCTGCCTCCTCCCCTTCCGCCTGAGCCGCCGCCGCCTCTACGCTTCCATAGGTCGGTGTAGAGCGAGTCGTCGGAGTCGCGCTGTTGGTGTTGTGTGGTGGCGAGCGATGTGAGGTCGGAGGTTTCGGGTATCGCAACAGCCGAGACAGTCGTTTGCAGGGCTGCGCCGACTGCGATGATAGAATTGAACTTCATGACTCTTTTCTCGGTGGGGGCGTTGAACTCAAGATTTTGAAATGTGATGTACGGTTCAATGAGAATTGGAAAGCGTTTGCAGATGTCAGTGCGACGTCTTGGGGGGAAATTAATTGATTGATTGATCAGTTTGTAGTCTTGGACAGTCAAGACAAGAATTCTGGGCTGGGCAACTAACACCAAGAGTCAGGGTGTTTCACAAGCGCCGTAGATGGGGCAATACTGGTCAGTCAGCAGTTAGATCAAACAAACCGTCCGAAAGCCCGCCAGGTCACAAAGGTGGCGTTATCCCGGCATCATATACTCGCCGTCCTGGGCGAGTGTGCTAGTCTACTGTCTTGCCTCTGCCTCCTTGTCATTGTCATCAGTCAAGTCACGGTTGGGGCTAGCAGCAGCGCCATCCAGAACTGCGCCCTCGCAGGCAGAATGGGAATGGCCGGCCACCTGGGTACCGATACCCAGGTACCATGCATGCGGTTGGCCTCCTCGCTTGGTCTTGGCCGTTACCAGCGATAATTTGGGCACAAAGGGCGAAAGGGCGGGTGTTGCAGTAGGCCCCATAGAAGGGTCGAGGAAGGATCGTGTGAGTGGCCTCGCCAAGGCTGCTTGGTGCTTATTGCATCATGATCGGCCCTCTTAGAGGCCCGTTTCGGGGCACATTTTGCGCCGTCTTGATTTCCTCTCAAGTTCGTCATTGCAACGCGTCGAGGACAAGACCGATTGGAGGTGCAGAGTGCAGCCATATCAAGATGGCGATGATGATGAGCTAACGACTCGATGCGAACAGATTCCATCTTGCGCCGTGAATGAACAGATGCTTGATGACGTCGGATTTGTTTACAAAGAAACATGTGTACTTGTGGAGTGTGCCCAAGGGCGGTTTGCCTGCGCTAGTGAATAAGCATACGCCCATGCTGCCCATTGGGGGGCTCAGCCTGACGAGCTTATCTAGACGTGCTTAGACTCCAACCGCCTCCAAACGCATCCAGCTCCGACGATCCGGGGAAGAGCTGCACTGTGGCTGTCTGTCCTCCATCTACGTAGGTTATTTGATTACCTAAAAGATCTGAGAGCGGAAGGGATTTTGTTTGGTCAGCTGCCCAGGGGTGGCATGAGGCTGTGCACGAATCTCGAAACATTCTGGAATGCTTCGTCGGCTGTGCCTGTGCCTGTGCCCTGTGCCTGTCAGAACTGTCAAACTGCACGTTGGTGCAGGAGGCGAGGAGATGATCGCGTGGGCTGGTCACACAAACTCGTCTGCCTAACAGCCACAAGCAGTCAATGCCAGACCATCCGTCAAACTGCCATCCCCATCCTTCACCACAACAGTCTAATCAAGCCACTTCCTCTCCGTCTCCCCCATTCTCAATGTCACCTCAGGAGTGATCAACATCTAGCCCACCACCGAATTGGAGAATCTCAAATCCTTCGCGCCTCTCGAATCCATACGTGGCAGACCGTCTTACTCGAACACCGCTCAGCCCACCTTCTCGGAGTTTGACCAATGGCGCATTCCAGCGACAGAAGTCTCTTGGACAGGCTCAACGCACTAAAACCGACCAGTGTGAACCTTGATCGCTCAACCAAGTAAATAAACAGTCTATTACTTCCCCCATATCAAACCGTCTTCGCCCGGGCGGCCTCAGGCTGACTCTGACTCTGCTGCCTGGAATGAAAGCGCCTTGAGCATTCCCGCAACTGGAATCCAGTCCGCCGAGCCCCTGTCCAGGGAAGATGCCCTGACGGAACGGCTCCGGTCTCTGCGGAACCGCCGGGACCACTTAGCAGAGTCCGGTGATCCCCCTCCGCCGTACACCGCAACGTCTGCAACAGGGGAACAGCCACCGCCTTCGACGTCTGCCCGAGTCACGGGAATAGTTTCCCACGGGGATGCGGCCGGAAGAAAGCACTCTGGTGGCGACGAGGACGCCCCTGACGGAGGGAGCCAGTCCTCGGGCGAGTATGATCACTACTTCGATGATGTCCTGCAGCCCCTCGACCTAGAGGACGAGGAGGAGTCGGGCCCGGAGGGCGACGTGAGTGAGGACTCGAAACGAGTAGAGGACCTGCTGGCCAAGCTCAGAGCGGACCCAGGAGCACAGCCTCCGCTTCCTGCCGAGAGTAAGCCCGACGAGCCCAGGGCCAAGGACGAGAGCGATGATGACTCCGAGGGCGAGGTTATGTCGCGAGAAGTAGAAAATTACATCGCCCGGACCATGGATGAGCTAAAACTCGACGGCCCCGCTTCCCAGCCGGCGGAGCCTGACGCCACGGCCAGTCCGAGCGGAGACCGTGAGGCAGACCACGGCGCGGGCGGATCGAAGGGTGATGATCATGATCCTGCCCTCCCAACGGTCCCGCAAGATGCGGCTGACACTAAAGAGCAAGATGCCTCGCCAACACCACCCCAACTCGGAGATGATGGCAACAAAGGTGACGGCGAGGCAGGCTTATCCCTCCCAACAGTTCCAACCAAACTAGTCGATCCAGTCCCAGCTCCAGGAGCAGAATCAACAGAAGACGACCCCTTCGAGTCGTCGATAGCAGCCCGCCTCGCCGCCCTCAAGGGCGCCGCAGCGCCCATCCACACCGACGCATTCGGCCTGCCCTCGGCCCCGACCTTCCAGCCCGAGGACAACCGTCCCGCGCCGAAGTACAAGGCCGCCGTGGGCCGGGCAGGGTACACAGATGCGGACCAGAAGACGTGGTGCATCGTCTGCCTCGAGGACGGGACCATCCGGTGCCTGGGTTGCGACGAGGGCGGCGGCGATATCTACTGCGCGCGGTGCTGGAGGGAGATGCATGTTGGACCGTCGGCTGGGTATGATGAGCGGGGGCATCAGTGGGAGAAGTTTGACCCGCGGCGGGTTTGAGTTGGTGGCTGACGAAAAATCACTCAAGAGGCCAAATGCAGTTGGTAGACCAAGCCTTTTTTTTAAGAGGCGTTGTATGCCTTGCGAATTTGAGTGTAAATTGGCCCAAATCCTCCTTGGTTTTCTGCCTGCTCAGGTTCAATACTGCCTACAATGCCTGTCAGAGCGAGCAACTCTCGCGCCTTGACTTCGTGCCCGGCAGTCGTGATACTGGTATAGAGACCTGTTCACATAGGAAAAAAGCCGCAGTCCTGAATGGCGCCTGTCTCATCTGTTCCCCCCTTGTTCAGGACCCGCTGGTGAAGAAAAGGAAAAAGGAAAAAAGAAAAAAAGAAGAAAAAGGAGGGTGAGATGTTGCTTGAGCACGAAACAACTAGTTTTGATTTGATTCCTGCGTTCTGCCACTTTGGGAGGCGGCGCATTGTGTGCCCAGTCAATAACGCCGACTCAATTACCGGTGAACTGCTGTGTCGAATCCTTCTTCTAACACCAACTGATGCATTAATCGAATCCTGCCTGAGATATGCGGCTTTCGGTGCACAACTCCATTGGCTCTCTTAAGCACAAGCTGCTGACAAGCACAAGGTAAGCCCGGATGTGTGGATCCATATGCTATTTGAGAGAGCAACATCACTCATTCATTATGTCTCACATTACTCCGTGAACTGACGTTCTGGGAAAAATGCACAAGCTGGCCCAACTCGGTAATTGTGGGAAAAGTTGATCGAGCAGCCAGGACAGCTTGGTAACATCAATGAGTGACTTGCGTACGCAGCTCGTCCCCGTTTCTAGACGGATGTTACTCATGGATCTCTACGCTAGATTTCTCAGTCACCATTCTTTTCTTCGATATAAGTATCTCCAGCATCTCTCGCAAGGCCGAGGCTTTGTGACCCTCAATACGGCACGAACACACGCGCGCGCACACAAAGCCGCATATACAAGACCACACACATCGCGACGACCGTCACACCAGTCGCGCGAAGGACGGTATCGGGGGCTCGAAGACTGCCATCGCGCGAACGACATCGATCAAGAGAGGAATAATCCCTTCCCACAAGGACCATCCAGCTTCGCCTCAACGTCATTCACGGCACATAGCAACTATGTGCGAGCGCAAGAAATTCAACAAGAGGTGTGGGAAGTGCAACACCGTCCTTATTTCCGACGTGAGACGCAACGGGGATGAGTGCGACAAGGTCAGAGGCGACGCGAAGCTGAAATGGGGCGACTGTGGAGATATTACAGAAGTCTCAGTGGCCGACGAAAAGACGAAGGATGGAGATCCATGTTGGAAGTGTGCGGCGAAAGCCAGGGCTATCCCAGAGGAGTGAGGAGGGTCCTCGGTAGTCCTCACATCAGTCGCGATAAATGCGCCTGATGGACCATAATTGATAGAGTCATAGGCGTTAATTAAGCAACAGTTCTGGCACGGACTCGTATTGCAAAGTGATTCAGTGCGACTGGAATTTGAGGGGATTTTTTTTGATGGGGCCAGTAGACACTCGATGATGCTGTCCAGCCAGAGTAGACCAATGAGCAGAAAGAGCGGTTCCAAAACTGCGAGTCTAGATCTCTCAAACGACGAGAAGGATCCGTTTCATCCGAGTATTCATCAATCCGATCTTCGAAGTACTTCTCCATTCATATATATTTGAGTCTCCTTAATTGCATACATTCGATAAAGTGTTCCGGCTACAAAAGTCTGATTTTTGCGTTACATTAGCCGTCCTCGGCAATGTGATTTTCTGAAAGAGGGTGAGGATTTCGAAATGCTTGCTATTTGTGAAACAATACTCATACCATGTGTTTTAATAATTCTATTTCATTGCTGAGAAACCTAAAGCTATGTTGCCGGCATTTGTCATTAGACACTGTACTTAGAAATTTAACAAGCAAGAGCAAAATTTCGAAATCTGGCAAAGACTGAAATATCAAACAAAGACAAAAGACAGGCAGCAAGGCAATTCCATGTTAGCAAACAACGATACGGCAAAATAAAGTATCCCACCAGCTTAAAAGGCACAGCAGAAACACGGGTCGCCCATGTACCCGCCTGTTGGCCCGGACGAGTGTCCAGGCGTGGCCTGGCTAGGCTGTTGCAGATGCGGCCGTGGCCGCGGCTCTGGCGTAGGAGGACGGGCCGTGTGTCCCCTAGCAACATGGGCCGGCGGCGGCTTCTTGGGAGAAACAGGTCCGCCAGGCTGTGCCTGCGACTGTAGAGGGTCTAGAGTCCCAAGTTCCAGTCCGATGTCATCCGGTGCGCTGCGTGGCCTCTTGAGCTTTGCCCAGCAAACTGGAAACCATTGAGAGGCGATGAAGAGGAACAAGGTCAGAGCGCAGGCAGACAGCACATAGGCTGCTGTTTTCTCGGCCTGCGATCGAGTGTTGTCTGGGGAACCTCCTTTGGAGGGAATGGGAGATGGCGTAGCCTGAGTCGTGATGGCCATCGATGCAGACATGATGGAGGTTAATCGTGTTTCCGAACAATTTTGTTGACTTGTCAGGTTAGTGATGCTCGTTCTCTGCGCTGGTTAGTTCTGAGTTTGACAACAGCAATGAGGGAACTTGATAGCTGAAAATGATTGAGAAGCGACTTGAAGCTAATATTTATACTAATGCGGCTGTGCTTCTATCTGGGGGCAGATAGTCCTGAACAATGGCATTGTTTCCAGAAGATCATTAGTGCTGTTGTCCAGACTACAATGCTATTGTTCGTTCTGTTTCCCGGTCCGGGTGCGCTGTCTTTCTTCAAAACTTCCCATTCACTTACAATCTAGCGTTTGTTCTCCGCAACGGCTGCCCAAGAAAAGACAATAGCATTCAAATTGTATAGCTCAGTGACTCGCTACTACTTCCTACGTTCAAGAGAGATACACAACTCACATCCAAGTGATTTGCACTCGATCTCTTTGGAGTATACTCTGCCATCATCCGCCCATGACGATTTCTTACTCTATGTTCTTTGAATCCCACTAGTCGGCTTGTCTCGTCTCAGCTTCCACCAGTAACATAACTAGCAGTGAAGTGTAGTCTGGACCTTGGCCCTGCCCTAATCCTCCACCTCCCAGGTCGCTCGAAAGCGTGTGGATAGGACCCCGGGCCGTAAATTTTAAGTGATGGCCAGCTTCTGATGTCGAGTGTGAGATTTCACGACTGATAACAGACTTCTCATTAATTGACATATAGGCTGACTTAGCATCCATGGAAGGTTGGATTGGTGACAACCCCCTAGCGTACTTGCTCAGGCTGGAACTGGCCAGGCCTGGAGGGTCTGCAAAATATTTGTTCCCTGGCTTTATCAATACCTACTTAGATATTCCTACGTGCGTTGGCATTGTAGGGATCCGAGTCAGTCGGCTCTTTGACAAAGAGGCCGATGGCAAGCTCTCGGTCCACGAATAAGGTTTCGCCAATCTCGGCCAGTCCCAATACTCGATCAAACAATTGATGTTCTGGTTCAGCATGTCATGATTACCACAGAAGATGCTCGTCACATAAACTATTGGAAAAGCATCGCTACACTCTCAAATATTGCAACAAGTCACTGCAAACCCCCCCCCCCCCCCTTTGTGGCTTCTTTACTTCCCCACATAGAAAGTTAATCGACAGGAACTTTTTCCCACAGGAGGTTATGCCACCGGATGTTATTCCCTAAGAGATTGCCATTTTTTATAACTCCTCTTCTATTCTACTTTCACATGTATTCCAATGGCCGTGAAGCGGACACCCGAGCTTGAGCTTGTAGATTGCTATGCGTGGGTTGTTCGCGGTTGTGAAGGAAGCTTTGAGGAGAAAACGTGCGGATCGACCATCAACCACTTATGACTGCCACTGCCCACGAGTCTTTCCAGAGGATTCACATAGTTGTGATCATCCACATCTATATGTCGTAAAGACGTGCCCTCTCGCGACTGAAGTCGTTCGTACACCATACCAGCCAGTCTCCACCTCTTCCAATCTCGATAAGTTCGATAAACGACCCGTAGCTGAGAGCAACCACACCGGAAATCAGAGAAGATGTCTTGACATGGCGCCAATCCAAGCAGCGCACGGGAACCATCCTCAATGAGGCCAGTGCGCGAAAGCGTGCCTTCGGCGGCGTGTTGTCGAACGCAGCTGTCAACTTCTTGATCAGCCGGTCCGCCGATCTGCCCATTGATGAAGAATTGGTAATAGCGGCAGAACGATCGGAAGTTGAGCCTTGCCTGCTGGAGTAAGATTAACGAGCTCGGGCTAAGTATGCGGCGGACCAGATTGTAGACGCAGTGGAGCTTGATGCCCTGGGAGCAACGATATGTAACGCCGTTGTACGCCTTGGTACCGTAGCGAAGGCGCACGACAACCAGCGTCAATACTACGAGCATTGCCCACAACACAGCCATGGTATATTCGAAAACGTGGAGCGTGAAAGTCTCGTTGTGCTGGATAGAGACGACTCTTAGACAGACCAAGGCCACAAGGATCAAAACCAGTCCCCCGCAGACTTCGTCAGTCATGCACCATGGGCATTTCGAGTTGAGAGGGGCACATTCCCGGCGAGCCTGGGCTCGCTTTAGTGCGGAAAATGCGCGGTTATGGCTGGGCTCACAAAAGAGAATAACATCTCTAGGAAGAAAAGCATCGCGCAGGTCTTCGGGCATCTGGTCTCGACGGATCGCAGTGATGAGTGGCGCGGAGACATGCTTGAACTCAGCAGACTCATCCAAAGCAAATCGACCGGGTCGGGGATTCGTGTCCATCATGAAATTTCCTTGTTATTACTTCGCAAATACGGCCCGGGTGAATGCTTGGGTTCCTGCGAAGGTGTTGGTCGAAGGTTTTATGCGCAAAAGAGCAGTGCGGGAGGCTCCTCTGACTGCTGATCGCCGACTTGGCGAGTTTGATGACTTCGTGATACAGTATATGACGAAGCAGGTTGACGAAGCATTGCTGAATCAAAGGCTTAATCTCACAGTTTATTGGCTTTAGGGAACAGGCGGTTGAAATGGAAGCCTTGACTACTGCAGGCAGGTAAGGCTGCCTAATATCACATGATTCTGGATACTGCACCAGATTCTAATTCCTGAGGAAATTAAATTACTAGATTGTACTCAGTATAGATATAAGCTCCCGCCCTTGATACACCTTGATGAGTCACTGCCACCCGAGCGGTGCTGCAGACTGTATGCATGGCATCTTGTGACTGAACACGGATGCAAGCCCGGTTGGATCAGGCTTCGGACATTGGCGAGTTGTCTTTTAGGCTGCAGTGGCTTCGATCACTGTACACAGACCAAAAATGCTTAAAGAAAAGCGCACGCTCCGATTAGAAGCAGATTTGCATTCTGTCCTCCGGACAGCAATTCATGAAATGAAGAATTTCATGCACTACTGCGAGTCCTTATGTCTCCACCGTAATGACAAACCGAGGTATACCAATATGCAAACGTTGCTTGTCCTTTCCTCGGCGCGCTCAACAGTACAAACTAATACAATAAAATACAAACAACCCCAAAAGCAAGCAATTCATGCCAGTGCCACCTTTCGTGTTACCCATGAATTCGTAGAATTTCCCTTCGCGTTTGCGCCTACCACCGTACCGTGCCTTTTGTGTTTTGTCATGCAATCTAGTCGTCGCGCTCCAACAGTGAACGAGCCCGGCGCGAATACCAATACGACCGCAGATACCAACCCGGCCTCCTCATAATCAACCCCTAGTTCGTTCCGTAACCAGAGCCGGCGCCGTTCCTGTTGTTGCCAGAATCCTGGCCCCTGGAACGGCCCGTGATATCTTGCCAAGTGGCGCCAAAGCGGCGGCCTGTGCTTGCCAAAAGACCTTCCTCCTCGTCTGCCTCGGCTTCATCGTCGATCTCTGCCAGGTCTAGCTTGGGCGCTCGGAACAGAGACGTGATAAAGACAATGAGGAATATGCCCAGAAACGCAAATTGCGCCCAGTAATCCACGGCGCCAAAGACCGGCCAATTGAGCGTCACGCGATTGAGGAATGTCGACATCACCGAAGGCGTACACACTGCTTTGGCGGCCTGACTATCGTCGAGCTCGGAGCAAGGCTTGATGAGTTCCTTGTGGTCACTGCAATCGGGCTGCTCACCAAGGTGGCGAGGTGGGTTGTCACAGTACAGCTGGGTGCCGAATGTGGAGTACTCGGGTGCCACCATGGCAAAGATGGAGTAGTTGATGGCGAGGATGATGAGCGCCAACATGACGGTGGCGATCAGGAGGGCCTGTGGCGTGGTTCGGCCCCTCTTGATTTGGAAGATACGGATCCAGAGAAATCGGATGCCGACCGCCGCGATGCCGCTGATGGAGCTCGTGAAAAAGAATAATATGAGGAGGGCCATCAGGATGTAGTCGACAGGGAATGCGTTGGCAGTTTTGACGAAGAGCCAGTTGATGGGCTGGAAGACGTTTATGTGGCCGAGGATGTAACCGCAGCGCGACTTGCAGATAGAGTTTGCCGCCTTGTCGATGCCAGTGATGAGCATGGAAACCCAGACCAAGACGGCCAGAAGAAGTAGTAGAATACCACCGATCAACTTGAGAGGACGAAAGACAGCCTCAGTCTTAAGCCAAGCCCGGTAAATCCAGCTCTGCCCCTCACCACGGGCTTCGGAAGCAAGCCTTTGGCGGCGTACCAACGTCTGTTCTTCCCGGATCAGTATATCCATCTCTCGCTGATCCTTAGGGGGCAGGCCATCTGGACGACCGGTGTTGCGCAACTCAAGCTGTCTCTGCCGCTCCCTGTTACTTTCCAGCTGCGATTCTGTCGTCTCCGACAGCTGAGGAGCCGAGATGGAGGGGGCAGACTTGATAAGGGACACTGGTAGGAGCGCCAGGCCAGCACCTGTGTACAAAACGTACAACAGTGTACCAAGTGTCACCAACAATCCAAGTCCAAATGTCAAAGCCTTCTCGCCATTGTTCTCTGCCAAAAGATTCTTGAAGTAGTCGAGGTCCAAGTGCCGGTCTTCCTTGTTGCCGGCGGCCGGGACGAAGAACCCAATGAGGAAGAGAATGACCACGAGAACGATGAATCCCAGCGTATACTTGAAGGCACCCCAGAGCTTGGCCCCAACGCCCCGTGTGCCCTCTTCCTCCTCGACCTCGTCGTATTCCTCGTACCAAAAGTATGAAAATGGAATGATCACTAGGCACAAGAGAGCGTCGAAGCTGTACAGCGAGTAGTAGACGACTTTGAGTGTGAAGAGGATGTTCTCCACCCGCTTGGGGCTGGCCCAGTCCTTCTTCGCACCGAGCGAGTTCGACGTCGTCGCAGAGACCAGGGCAATATCGACTGGCAGCAGCAGGACGGTCGCAAGGAGAGAGGTTATGCTGATGATGGCGACGATTGTGACAATAATGGATCGTTCTCGAGGGGCTTGCCAGGTAAGAGTCGTGATTACGGCTGCGATAAGGGCGAGGACGACTGCGATCGCATAGGCGACCCAGATCAGGCTGACCTGCAGGTAGCCTGCAGAAGCCATGTTGGAGGTATTCTTAGTTCCTGGAACAATCAGTTGAAGAGATCTTTGGAGCAGACATGAAGTGGTAGAAGAGGAAGAAAGAAGTAAACAAAAGTCGAAGAAAGGAGTCGTGCCGATCGTGCAAGTTATGGCATTCCAGCGTCGTCAGTTGCTCGGTAGCTCCTCCTTCCAGAGGTTGCCCGGGTCATGGAGACGTCACTGCACCACCAGAAACAGGGAGCTTGGGCCACCAAGACCCTTCCATGTCTGGCGAACAGACAGGGGTAGGTAGGTGCAGGGATCAGACGACTCACCGCGGCAGGCACCTCAGCTGTTTCCAATTGAACCGGCAGAGAGCATCTTCAAATCGCATCTTACATTTGTTTCCACAAGCCCAGGCTTCATGCCAAACATTGTCTATCGCCCAACTTCTAGATATTAGAAGATCACAACCGACTGAGAACTCCATGCCGTCGACAGCTGGATCTCGTATAATATGACCAGTCGAGAGCCGAAATGCAGTGCTACTCAGAACTGACGCCTCCGACGGCTGTCTCCCACTCGATCGCCCTCCCTTTACTCTCGGCGCAAAGCAGCAACCTCGTCGTCGCAAAAGCTTCAGTACTCCAAATATTCGAGACCAGGACCATCACATCCGAAATCGACGTTCCACAGGCCTCGAGCCTGCACTCGACCAAGCCAAACGCCCACTACGACAGTCGAATCAACGACGACGATGGACTCGAGTCGTCGTTCCTCGGCGGCGATGCTGCTTTCCAGAAATCCGATCGCGCGCACAATACAAAGCTCATCCTAGTCGCCGAGGTCTCTTTGTCTGGCACGATAACGGGGCTGGCAAGAATCAAGACGAAGAACACCGTGTCAGGAGGCGAAGCACTGCTCGTCCTGTTCAAAGACGCCAAGTTGAGTCTGCTGGAATGGGACCCGGAGCGACACGACTTGACAACCATTTCAATCCATTACTATGAACAGGAGGACCTCCAAGGAAGCCCCTGGGCACCCCCGCTGAGTGATTGCGTCAACTTCCTGGCTGCGGATCCTGGGAGCAGGTGTGCCGCCCTGAAGTTTGGCTCCAGAAACCTCGCCATCTTGCCTTTCAAACAGGCTGATGAGGAAGACATTGCAATGGATGACTGGGATGAGGAACTTGATGGCCCAAGACCGGTGAAACAAGATCTGCCCTCGGCGGTTGTAAATGGCATTAGCAACATAGAAGACACCCCGTATTCACCGTCATTTGTCCTTCGAACCTCCCGTCTCGATCCCAACCTGATTCATCCCATTGATCTCGCCTTTCTGCACGAGTATAGAGAGCCAACATTTGGCATTTTATCCTCGAAGCTGGCTCCATCAGCTGCAGTGGGTCGGAAGGACCATCTTTCCTTCATGGTGTTCAATCTAGACATTCAACAAGAGTCCCATACTCCCATCTTGTCAGTTGGCGGGCTGCCCCAAGATCTGTTCAAGGTCATTGCTGTACCTGCTCCTGTTGGTGGTGCCCTCCTCGTCGGGGCTAATGAGCTGGTCCACATAGATCAGTCAGGCGCAACAAACGGGGTGGGGGTGAACCCCTTCACGAAGCAGTGCACAGATTTCACTCTCAACGACCAGTCTTACCTTGGACTGCGTCTCGAAGGATGCTCCCTTGATTTCATTTCACCAGAAACAGGGCAGATGCTTCTTGTCTTGTCTGATGGTCGCCTGGCAACACTGGACTTCCAGGTGGACGGACGTAGAGTGTCTGGCCTTCTGCTCAAGCTTGTCAGTCCCGAATCAGGGGGCGCCATCATACCATATCGGGTTTCTTGCCTCAGTCGATTGGGCAGGAATACAATCTTTGCGGCCAGTGAAGAAGGAGACTCAGTCGTTCTCGGTTGGACTCGCAAACAAGGTCAGGCGTCAAGGAGGAAACCACGGCCCCAGGACACATCTTTGGAATTGGAAGATCTGGAAGACGAGGATTTTGAAGATGAGGATGATCTCTACGCAGAGACTCCGGCAGTCACCCAGATCACAAATGGCGCTGCTGCATCGAAAGGGGGCGAGATGGTTTTCAGAATTCACGACAAGCTTACGAGTATCGCACCAATTCGAGACATCACATACGGAAAAGCATCCTTCCCCAGCGACGAGGAAGAAGAGCAGAACTTATCTGGGGTGCGGAGTAATCTGCAGCTTGTGGCAGCCGTAGGGACTGGGCAAGCCGGGTCATTGGCAATAATGAATCGCGAAATACAGCCCAAGGTCGTTGGTCGGTTTGAGTTCCCAGAAGCCCGGGGAGTATGGACCATGAACGCACAAAAGCCCGTGCCAAAATCTTTACAAGCAGAAAAGGGCGGCCCAGCCGTAGGGAATGACTATGATCCGTCCGCACAGTACGACCGATTCATGATTGTGGCGAAAGTCGATCTAGACAATTATGAGACTTCAGACGTCTATGCTCTGACCGCCGCTGGTTTCGAGTCGTTGACGGGGACCGAATTCGAGCCGGCAGCAGGTTTTACCGTCGAGGCTGGAATGATGGCAAACCATCGGCGGATCATACAAGTATTAAAGTCAGAAGTCCGCATCTATGATGGAGGTGAGATAATTGGCTCCTAGCGGACAAGCTCAAGACGATTTTGAAAAATATTCGCTGACATCGTTTGCAGACCTTGGCTTGGCTATGATTCTCCCTATGGAGGATGAGGAAACGGGTGCCGAGCCCAGGGTCCTGAGTGCGAGTATTTGTGATCCGTATTTGCTCCTCATAAGGGACGACTCGAGTGCGCTCATTGCAGAGATGAGCTCAGACGACGAGCTGGAGGAAATTGAGAAGACGGACGGCAAGCTCAAGTCGACGAAATGGGCTTCTGGCTGCCTATACGCCGATACTACGGGCAGATTTGGTAACGCACCAGAAGAAAAGGGACAAAAACGGATTTTCATGTTCTTGCTCAGTGCGGCCGGCTCATTCCAGGTAATTATCATGCCATGTCATTTGTGAAGGGTTGATTTAACGTCATCTAGATATATGCTCTGCCCGACTTATCCACGCCAGTGTACAGCACTGAGGGACTGTGCTATATACCTCCAATATTGACACCAGAGTGGGTTGTTCGGAGGGGCGCTGCGAAGGAGACTGTTACCGAGATCCTTGTAGCAGATCTAGGAGACACAACGTCCAAAGCACCCCACCTGATAGTGAGTCCAGACCTTCTTTCTCTCGTATGTTGCGTGTCCTGACTTACTTGAAAAGCTCCGCCATGTAAATGACGACGTCACGATCTACGAGCCACACAAAAATGCCAAATCAACCACAAATGATCTGACAAGCTCCTTGTTCTTCCGAAAAGTACCAAATTCGTCTCTTGCGAAGAGCGTTGAAGAGCCTACAGATGACGATGATACGACAGACGAGTTTCGGAGAATGCCACTACGGGCCCTCGAAAATGTTGGAGGCTATAGCACTGTCTTTCTTCCTGGTTCCTCACCCAGCTTTATCATCAAGTCCTCGAAGTCGACGCCGAAAGTGGTTGGGATTCAAGGCACTGGCGTCAGGACCCTGAGCTCCTTCCACACAGAGGGCTGTGAGAGAGGTTTCATATACGCAGATTCGGAAGGTATGTCTCGTGTCACACAACTGCCCAACGACTGCACATTTTCGGAGATAGGAATGTCACTTCAGAAGGTCTCTTTGGGCGTCGACACAGACTCGGTAGCGTTCAACTCTCGGGCTGAGGTGTACGCCATCGGTTGCAATGTTGAAGAGGAATTCGAGCTGCCCAAAGACGAGGACAGCAACCCCCAACAAGCTCCGACGTGGATGAAGGAGAAGATCACATTCAAGCCTATAGCTGAGCGCGGTGCTTTGAAGCTCATCACACCGCATACTTGGACCGTCATCGACGAGGTCGAGATGGAGCCGTGCGAGATTATCACCTGCGTCAAGGCTCTAAACTTGGAAATTTCCGAAACAACCCACGAGCGCAGTGAGCTTATCGTCGTTGGCACTGCCATCTCGCGAGGCGAGGATCTTCCGATTCGCGGCCGAATACATGTCTACGATGTCGCTACAGTCATCCCTGAACCAGGCCGACCAGAGACAGACAAAAGGTTCAAGCTCGTCGCCAAAGAAGACATACCTAGGGGTGGTGTAACAGCGATCTCAGGCGTTGGGACGCAGGGTTTCGTCCTGGTTGTGCACGGCCAGAAGTGTACTGTACGTGGCCTGAAGGAAGACGGGTCACTTCTTCCAGTGGCATTCATGGACATGAGCAACTACGTCACGAGCGTCAAGGAGATCCCAAGCACAGGCCTCCTGGCGATGTCAGATGCCTTCAAAGGAGTGTGGTTCACGGGCTACACCGAAGAACCATACAAGATGATGCTCTTTGGCAAAAGCAATACGAAGTTGGAGGTCTTGAACTGTGAATTCGTGCCAGATGGCAAGGATCTCTTCATCTTGGCTGTTGACGTGGATGGGAATATCCATATTTTCCAATTCGATCCCGAGCGTAAGTCTTGACCCCATTCATGTGCCAGTCACGATTATTTGCTTACAAGGCGACAGATCCAAAATCCCTTCAAGGTCACCTGCTTCTACACCGAACATCATTTAACGTGGGAGCACACGTGCCTGTCAAGTCAATGCTGCTACCACGAGTGCCTCTTCCCAACTCTCAGCCACAAGAGAATGGGCACCTCACCAACGGCATCGCAGCGAATACCATTTCTCCCCACACTATCCTATTTGCATCACCCACCGGATCCCTAGCTACACTCATATCTGTATCTGAGACTTCTTATCGGCGTCTCTCGTCACTCATGTCACAGCTCATCAATACGCTGCCCCACCCCGCCGGCCTCAATCCCAAGGCTTACCGCATGCCACCCTCAGCAACACAAACCAAGGCTAGCATGGGACCTGGTGTTGATGCAGGAGGGGGCCGTAACATCGTCGATGGTGTGGTGTTGGCGAGGTGGATGGAGTTGGCAAGCGGCAGGAGAGCGGAGATCGCTGGGCGTGTTGGGTACTCGGGGTCAGAAGAGGTGAGGTCCGAGCTGGAGGGTGTATTGGGCTGGAGCGGGCTGAGCTACTTCTAGACGACGCCAGAAGCTTGCCAAAGCTCTCAAGCGCATGGTCGGAGTGGATGATGGTGGGTACTTTGCAGCTTTCAGAAATAGCCCAGCCCTCAGGGCCGGTAGAGCTCGAGATGGTTGGGGCCCAGATGGCATGTGGCGGCTTGGGAATCGATTCACTTCATCTTCATATCAAAGAGGGTCTTCATAACATTTCACATGGTTGCAAAGGTTTCGCGCGTTCCGAATGTCATTCGCATTGCTACCACGCTTTTCCCCGGTCTGCACTATGAGTTGATATGTCGTGTCACTTGGCGAACAATTCTTCCAAGAGTGATGATTTATTGGCCATGGTATTTGTTGGTTCCTTTCTCCCACGACGTCTATCGTCGCACATGGCCTAGGAGACGGTAAGAGTGGCTCCAATTATCGTCTTTCGTATGCACGGAAGTGTATTCCTTTCCGCTCTCAATAGCGAATTTCTAGAACTTTGACGAACTAGGACGCAATATCCCGCCTACTCCACCTTCCTGATCTTCTTCAATGCCTCTTTATCAGCCCTGGACTCCACTGGCTGGTAAACCATCAGCGTAAGCAGTGACAGCCCGACCTCAGCAGCAGCCAACACAGTCGTCTCGCCTGGGTTGTCATAGATCGGCGCAACCTCCACAACATCCGCACCAATGACTTTCAGCCCGCTCAGGCCGTCGAGAATTGTCAGCAATTCGCGGCTCGTCCATCCGCCCGGCTCAGCCGTCCCAGTAGCCGGGGCATAGGCCGGGTCCAGGACGTCGATATCGACGCTGATATAGACGTTCGAGTCACCAACACGCTCCTTGATCTGTGCGACCACCCCGTCCACGCCAGCCTTGTCGATAGCTCGAGCGGTGATCATATCGAACCCGCAGCGCACGTCATTGCGCAGGTCGCCCTTCCGGCGCATGACGGGGGCGCGGATGCCGGCGTGGATGGACGTGTTCCGGATGAGGCCCTCCTCGTGGGCAATGTGCAGGAACGTGCCGTGGTTGACGCCCGCGTAGTCGGACAGGCCGCCGCCCAGCACGGCCGGGTCCCAAGTATCAATATGGCTGTCAAAGTGCACGACTGATATGTCACCCCACTTGTCGTGGGCTGAGCGCAGCGCGCTCAGCGTCGTCGTATGGTCGCCGCCCAGGGTGAGAATACGCGGCGTACGGGACACGCTCGCGTTGGCGGCCGGCCGGCTGGACACCACCTTGTGCGCCTTGTCTAGCTGGCGCAGCGCGACAGTGTTGTCAAGCCATGTTGTCTGCACGTCGCCTGTGTCCACGATCTTGGCCCATGATTGCAGAGGGCTCTCCCCGGTATAGATGCTGTATCCGCCCGGAAAGATGCGCTGGCTGCCGATTCTGATTCCCTGGGGACCGAATCGAGCTCCTGGCCGGCCGGTTGTGCTTGTGTCGAACGGCGCCCCGAGGATGGCGATGTCGTACTTGGCATCTTGCTGTTGTGCCTCCTCATCCGAGAAGCAGTTGACATACGGCAGGTTGCCGAAGGTCTTCAGACCGTGAAACTGCGAGCCGGTCACGATGTCAACGTCATCGTCGTGAATGGGCGCCCAGGCCAACGGATGCTGTCCACTTCTTTGAGGATAACCCAGGGCTTCTGGAGGGATGTTGTTGCGGGGCAGTTGCCAAGCCGCAGCCGATACTGATGCTCCGAGCAGGGCAGTTATCCGCCTCAATGGACTCATCGTGAGAGTGGTGTCTTTGTATGACCTGGACAATCTCAGTGCCGCCAATGATCTAAGCAACAGTGGTCTTTCTTGTTATGCATGGAAACCAAGCCAGAGCTCCCATTTATGACGACTGCATCTTGCCCGATAGTGCGGGCTCTGCCTATCGAACTCCGGCAGCTAATGTGGATCAGAAATCATGGTGTGGCAGCAGCGCTTCACACCGAACTCCGAAATGACAAGACGTATCAAGTCAACCTTTGCAACTGTTCTCTCCTTGCCACGTATGCTGCTCTATGTGTATTCGAACGTCTTGTCGCACTGAGCAACACAATACCTGCAGTCGGAACAATGCGTTGGCCCAGCGAGAGTAGGATTGGTGTCCCTTAGAAGGCGGCGCTATTTTATGAATCCGTTTCAATCTCGAGCCCTTGCGTAGTTGTGGTAAATCCCAACACAGCATAATTGGCTAACCGTGATGGGCTGTGGCCAGGGAGCTTATTTACCGGAAGGGCGCAGTACGAACAGCCATTCCAACAACCTCCGGCTATATTTGTGTTATCGAAATAATGATGCACATGACCAATTTATTCGTGGCACTGCGGGCAGGAATAATGAAATTTCGGAAGGGAAGGATCAAAACCATGGGATACTCAATCCACTGCCATTTGGTATCGGACATCAGTGTTCAGAATTCATGACGGCCAGGTCTCTGTAGTAGTCTTGTGGAGGCTTCCCGAGTCCCTGATCCTGGTCTACCCCAGAATCTGGGTAGGCAAATGCTCTTCCGGCCCCTGAGAATGCCCCACAGCTCCACAAGCCTCTTGTTGTGTCCTACATTGCTCGAGCCTGATTCGGTCCACACACAACCACGGTAGTGCCTGAAGATTCAGTAGCTGGCTGCTCTTCATCGGCTGCTGCTGATATTATGGACAATTCCATCAGGGGACCAAGCAAGATCCGGAAACGAGCAGCAAAGGCGTGCCTGGCCTGTCGGGCACGCAAGGTCGGTTCTCGGACCTCCCCTTCAGCCCACAACCACTGACCATCTCATAAGGTCCGCTGCGATGTCTCACAAAGGGGTCGGCCGTGTATGAACTGCTATCTCGACAACGAAACATGCGTTGTCACCAGCCGAGCAACCAGACGGTTCGTACATCTGTCTCATTGATAAACCCTAGCTGATGGTAATATGTGAGCAGTCGAAAGCAAAAGGATGACGGCAGCAATGTGGGCAACTCGGGTACGAGTATCGAGCCTCCCAATGACTCGCAGAGGCGCGGCTCAGGTGAGTCGTCAGCAGCCATAGAGCAGGTGGGAGACGCGAATATGTCCCCTGCCACACCATCGGACGCTGGGAGTGAAAACATCGACGGTGGCTCAAGGGCCTTGAACGAGCTTTCAAAGGTGACCATTGGAGGAAGCAATGACGGACGGTCAGCCGTTCGCAATGCAGACGCCAACACGCAACGGATCCCATTAAAATATGCCCCAATGCCGGCACCACCTTTGCAGCCTTATTCGCCCGCCCCAGCAAGCCTCCACTGGAGCGGAGAACAGAGCACGAGGTTCGGCGCCGACATTACTTACACATACTATCCGTTCATCGAGGTGAACAACCTCTCGAGCATCCCGCCTCAGGATGTCAACTACCTGGACTTGCAGGGCTGCCTACGAGTACCCACCAAGACGATCCTGGATGAGTTTGTCAAGCAGTTCTTCCTCCACGTACACCCGATTATGCCGTTGCTGAATGAAGGGGACTTCTGGGAGATGTATGCTTCTCAGTCTCAAGGGACGCACGTGTCCAAAAGGATATCCTTACTCATGCTGCAGGCCATGATGTTCTCGGTTTGTGGTGTAAGTCTGACCTGGATGAATAGCACTGAGGCTATGGCTGACTTCGAATAGTATGTCGCTCGGAGCAATATTAAGGCTCTGGGATTCCCAGATGTCAAATTCGCCAGGTCTGCGTTCTACCGGCGAGCAAAGGTAAGCAAGGTTATGGCTTTGTATTGGCAGGTTGGGAGGCTCACTCACGTCGTAGCTTCTCTTCGACTTCGGGAGCGAGTACAGCCCCATAGCCGTCGCCCAAGCGACGCTTTTGCTGTCTTCTTGGGCACCAAATCCGAGCGGCAACAACACCCGCGTCAGCAGCAGCTGGCTCAGCGTTTCGATCCAACAGGCAAAAATCGCCGGTGCTCACCGATACTCCTCGCTACACCAGACCCAGTGGCCCGAATCTCAGCGTTCACGAGTGCTGAAGCATCAGAATGACCTCAAGAGGCTCTGGTGGTGCATAGTCCTCCGTGATCGGATTCTGTCTCTGAGTTTTCGCACATCTATACAAGTTACCAGGGTACATTTTGACTTCGACGCCGAGACGCATGCTCCTCTCGGCTTCGCAGATCTGTCGAGTGAGATCGAGAGGAGCCGAGTGTACAACTCTGGAACGAAGAAGTCATTGATCGAGATCTTGGCTCATCACATACAGCTTATGGTAGCACTCACAGATCTACTGGTGCTCGTCTGGCCCCTGGACGAAGTACCACAGTGGGCAAGGAGACATGGAGAGGAAGAGGTAGGTAAAATCGAGCGCTGTAAGGGCCAGCTGAGAAGCTGGTATCAACGGTCTACCTCGAGATTTCCTATGCCAGGAGACGAGATATTATCAAGGCCAAACATGGCTGGCAGGGGTGGACGAGGGGCTGAGTTCCACCACGACTCTGTCGTATTGTACACCAATCTGATGTACATTACTTACCAGTAAGCGGACCGAGGACTAGGCATGACTGTATACAGCTGACAGACCGGTCGCAGCTCTGCCATGACACGGCTCTGTCACCATGAGTGTCTCCAACTGACACTCGCGTCGATTTCAACGAGGCCGGGTGGGACACTACCGGACCCATCATCGTTGGCCAAGAATGGACTGGAAATTCGGGACGCAGCTTCTGGGGCTGTACGTTGTCTCATGGAACTGGTACAGCTCCGCTTGTCAAAGTGGCTGCCGCTTAGCTCGTACGTACTCGAGTGGCCCTTTGCGGATTCTGATCACGCTGAGACCTAACATTGTGACAGGACTTCATGCACATCTCTGCCGTTGATACTTCACGTCATCGATGCCAAGCTCCCGTCGCAGTCCAATCCGAAGCTGCCCAGTCTCCATGATCTCGTCGAGGCCGTAAGAAGCTACCAGTCTGCTCCCGATAGCTTGGACTGGATGTATGACGCAGTGCGAGGTATCGTCAGTTTGTCCCAGATTCAAGATCCGGGTCGAATCTCAAGCCCATCTTTGACCGCCGAAAATCTCGGCGCGGTCAACAGCACCTCCGCTTCCGCGTCGGAATTTGCGTGTCATCCCAGCGTGCACCTACGTCTGGCACTGGTGATGGACTCCGACCTGAAAAGGAGTAAGTCTCTGAACACCAGGGACTTATCCGCCGGAATCGCGAGGTTGTTCTCGAGTGACAGCGTCAACCGCATTAAAGCACTCCTCAGCCAGGTCCCCCAGCAGAAGCACACGCCTTCGGCCGGGTCCTCGCGGATCCAGTCAAACTCCAGCAACCCGGACAACACCTCGAGGAAGCAGACGCTAGCCGACTGGGGCCAGGTGGACCAGTCCATGATCTTCGCGATCGAGCTGGGCCTCGTCCCGGCGGAGCCCGCGGCGGGGGACAGCAGCTCGGACTCGGCGAGCGCCATGTCAGTCGGCACAGAGGACGACAATGCGGTCCCGGCAGAGTCCGCCAGGCTTCTTCACCGCGTGGTCGACAGCATGGACTGGAAGGACATCGCGGGCCAGGCTTTCTCCGAAACGGGCGACAATGCCGAAAGGGACGTGCTGGGTGCTTTTATCTTCAGGGATCAGCCGCCTGGGGCAAGCGAGGGATACGTCATGATAGAGGAGGATAGCGGCGGCCCTGGTAATGAGGGATCGGCGTTCCGTGAGGCGCCGCCAGAATCGGCGGACGACGATGGTGACTTGGAGACTGCTAATGCGTTACTCGGTGCGGTGACAGGTTAGATCAGGGGGCCAGCCGATGTTCTGTACCATAAGAGTCATACCTTCTATGCTAGCTTTCGGCAACCCGCGAGCGCTGTGCTTTTATGCGCAGTCGACTCGCAGACCAGTGAAGACCAGCGAAGGTGTATGAGGAACTCGTGAAAGCCTTGGTCGCCACAACTGGGCTAGAGGAACCCAGACGAGGTAGAGCCCGTAGTGTACATGATCAACGGGCCAGGAAGGAGGAGTGTATCCATGTTAGCCTCTTGATGGAAGTTCCTTGTAATAGGCCTGATAGCTCTCGCATACTCGTTGGTATATAATATAGTGTCAAGACACATTAGCATCCAGTAAAAGCGCCAGTGTTTTAATGATAAAATACATATTAACCTCTCGATTGGAGTCTTTTATAACAAGGTCTAATATTCTATGAATATTTCTCAATATATAAAACAAAAATTCTGTATATTAATAGTTAATATTGATTTTAATATTAAAAATTTAATAATAAAGTCTATGTTAATCTTTTACTTTTAATTCTTTACAAAAAGTCTGGTAGCTTTAAAATACTCATTAATATAATAAAGTAATTCTCATCAGGAGCATCTCGAAAACCTCCGTTGGTTTCCAGAAGAGCGCCAGTGGTTTAGCGGTAAAATCCATCGTTACTTCATGTTATGATCATAATTGCGCTCTTCTTGTGTATCGTGGTTATTTTTCCCGGTTTTATTTGGTGTTGAAACGGTTTCTGGGAAACCGGTTACGGAGAAGAGTTGCTGGAAATGTGCTGGTAGTGAAGTTCAATTTGGAGAAATATACGGGTTCTGGTATCGGGTTTCGAAGAGTTGGAATCCCGACCGCAGCTTAGGAAAGACAGAAAACAAGCACCAGGCAAGTCCTCACAATGTATGTTACAGCGGAAGATGAATTTTCGAACTTGTGCAGGTTGTACAGTAGCAACGAACCAACTACTTCGCTGTGGGTTGCCAGGAGGAGACTCATGACCATTAGGCGAGACTTTGCCAATTTCTGCCACTGGGTACATCTCGCCCGGCACGACTCGCCGTGCACTCCGTCCTACTACTCCGTGCCCCAGGCCATCTTCGAGGTCCTCCGGGCGAAAAGACTCACCACGCAGTTCCAACGGAAGTGGAACGGCGCTGTGCTCGCGGACGGCTCTAACATCGGGCAGCTCTTCGACATGGTCCCTGAGCCGGTCCCCGAGGGCTTTCAAAAGCTGTACCTGAGCATTAGCACCCACCTGGAAGAGAAGCCGCGGGGGGAAGACTGCTCGTACGAGATCATAGCCGACATGGTGCTGGTGGATATCGGCGGCGACTCCGAGGTCGTGCGATTCCTCGAGACATCGCTCGGTGGGCTGGCTGGACGGAGGAATATGTTCACGACAGGCAAAGGACACATTGGCTCGGGGCCTCCTGGGATGGTTACCGGCGATGTTGTGGGTTGTATCGCAGGCGTACCAGTGCCCATGATTCTTCCCTGTCATGTGACAGGGAAGGATATATCGTCGTTGGCCCTAGTTATGTACAAGGGTTGATGGATGGCGAGGGGGTTAATGAGACGCAAATGGAGTTCTTGAGGCTAGTGTAGACTAGTATAAAGCATAGGCATCTATTTTGAAGCTATTTTCAAAGTCAACATCCCTCAACACACGCACAATATTGAACACAGCCTTGCAAGAAGGCCCAACCACACACAGTCCCCGTCTTTAAGAACGACCATGATCCCTCGTCAGCGTAGTTTCAAGGAATGAAGAGGACCAGTAAAGGTCATGAGTTCATCTTTGTAGCTGTGGGAGCACCTAGAGGGGACAGAGGGTCCCAGTGGCATGAGAAACTGCCAGTGAGGAAGATGAGTACGGGTAACTTGCACATTCCCACTTCAGTGCTGCGGATTTCCTTGACGCCTGACATAAATGGGGCGTTCAAGGCGGCCGAACATGTATTTACTACCTGGGTAGGTACTTCCTGAACCAAATATCCATAGACGGACACACGCTAACATCCAGCAGATTCACGCGGCCACAGAAGGGCTTCCACCAACGATGGTAGAGTCATACCTGGGCACGGACTACGGGAGGCTTGGATAAGGCGTAGGCAAGAGCGAAAGACCGCGTGACAGGTCCGCCGTGGTCTGGTCTCACACACCACTCTGCCAAAGGACACGCTTCCAGCAGATACCTCTCCAGCATCGGAGAACTGAGGGCAATGAGAGAGGTCAGACCAAAGTCTGGGTAAATGTACTTCATCACGTTTTCTTTCACCTATCTCGGGTTCCAGGCACGACAGGCAGCCACCACTTGGAGGTCAAATGCAGCCGGGCGGGTGCTCAGCCAGGCATTAAGGTACAGTGCAAATGTAGCGAGCTGTGGCGTGCTGTATCTAGGTACCTCGAGTGGGTACCTAGATAAGTACATTGTAGGCAGTCAGAATTTTTGAGGCAGGGACATGTCAGATAGATGCAAAAGAAGAAAGTGTCAAGAGCGTAAGTGCGGCACCGTCGAGGCGCCAGGGACAGGATGGCGCTATCAAAATCAGCCCAGAAAGATATCGCGCCTTCCCAGTGCTTGATGGTACTGCCCAAGTGCCTACACAGATCTTTCGGCAGGTAGATTTTGAAATTAAAGGAATTGAAGGGACGAATGCAGGTAGTGAGCTGGCTTTCTTCCACCTTCTCTCGACTGTCTTCCCTTCCCTTCCCTTCCCTTCAATTCTGCCCGCCTGTCACCACGACACCACGACACTACGACACCACGACACCACAACAAACACACTCCGTCCGTCAGCAGCCCATTGACCCAGCCCAAAGACAGACTTTCTTAACAGAATCACTCGATCTGTCTACTCTACTCTTGACTACCCTCTACTTTTTCGTTTGATCATCCCAGCCACCTCTCGCAATTACTCCAACATACCACTACAGATTCCAGTGCTTTAACCTCAATGGCGTGCCCCTTCTGCCGTTTCCTAGCCTGGATACAACACAAACTGGATGTGCGAGCCCAGAACAAGGCCGCACAAGCTGAGAAACAAGCCGAGATCAAGGCTGCACAAGACCGAGATGCTGCACGTACCGAAAGGATCGAACGTAACCGAAGTGCCTCTTTCAGTAGAAGGCGTTTCGAGCCACCGCCAACTCCACTCCCTCCTCCGTAAGCACCATTATTCTCCTTTTACGGGTCCCGATCTTTCATGTTTTGGAATATTCCAGAATGCAACACTTTAGGCTCATAGCAGGTGACTAACACATACAAGAGGAGACAGAGAAAACCTCGAGACCCTCCGTGCCCGGGTTCCCCCACGTTCAACCATAGTGGACGAAGAAGGCCTCTTTATGCCCCCTGAACCTACGCGCACGATAAAAGATGCTTGTATAGCTGCCGCCCAAAATGTCCAATACCCTATTTTTGTTGCCACCACCGAGCCTGAGCGCGAACTGGTTGCCGCCCGTGCTGTCCGGGCTATTGCTACAGCTGTTTCTACCTCACCCTCCTACCCTGTGTTTGTCGCTGCCGTTATCATGGCTGAGAGTGAGGCCTTGATTGCGTCTGAGAATCCTTACCGGAGTCAATATTATACTCGAGATCCTCCCGGAATTGTCGCGCGCCGCAGGGAGAATGCATTGAATGCTGCCGTCGCGGCTGGCATGGCCGTCTATGATGAAAACAAAGCTTGGCCCGGCGACGACGACATCAATAATTCTGATTCTGAAGACAACTTCGACTCCGACTCCCGCCCCACGTCAATCCCCAACCATCCATACGCGACGCAATCATCTGGAAGCCACAGCAGCTCCAGCCTCTTGCGCCAGATGGTCGTCGCAAGTGGTGACGCTCCGCTGTGATCGCTCCGCTCTGAAAATGGTCGTCGAGAGTTGGTGACGCTCCGCTGTGATCGCTTCGCTCAGAGAATGGATCGCGCTGCCGCGCTCAGGGATTGTGGGTGCAAGGAAAAATCTAGCCACATATTTTTAAAGAAATCATGGTGAACCTGATGTTATATCTAGCGAAACAAAACCAAATTACCAGTTTTAGTCATTACCAAGGGGAGAATCATGTAACCTTGCTAGTGCCACCACACTCAGTGCAGGCCATCTTACTGCAGTATATGGGTATGCTGTTAGGGAAGAAGAAGAGACGCGGAAGGTGAGTCAAAGGACGGGGAGGGCTCGTTCACTTAGTTGGTGAGAGGACCTGCCCCCTACCTTTTATAAGAAGCTCCTGACTAGGCCCTGGTCTCGCACGAGCCACTCACGGGTAGACCCTTAGCAGCATGTTGAAATTTCTAAGACATGGTACCTGGCACAACGGCCTGAAACAACGGCGCCAGTGGTTTAGCGGTAAAATCCATCGTTGCCATCGATGGGCCCCCGGTTCGACTCCGGGCTGGCGCACACCTTTTGCTCTTCCATGGTTGGTGATGATGTTGCTGCAGGTCCCACCTTTTTGTTAGGTATGCTGCATTGGCGACACTGACTCGCTTGTCTTGGACCCGCCTTGGTGACCCCCGAAAGATTAGCGCGGCATGGGAAGGAAATCCGAGGCCCGGTATGCTGGAGTCTGCATCTAAGAGACATGCGTATTCAGTGTTGGATCAAGATTCTGTGCTCCTATAAGCTTGTTGGACCTCCAGACGTCTCTCCAATTTTGCACTTTACCATGGACAAGCATTCGAGGACAAGCTTCCACTTTAACGAGCTTTGCAATAGTCTCTTGTGGAAAAGTATCTGGGAAGATTGAAACTTCTTTGTTATATTGAAAACGTCTTTGTTGAAAAGGTCGTATGGTTGTCCAGTATTGGTCGTCAGTTACCAATTTTCGTGAAGATGCACAACCGAAGAATTCAAATCATTTTACAACTGAGAAGTAATCGGAGAGATTGCGTGACGACAAAACAATACCAGGACCCTGGATTTGCTCGTTCTTGCCCAAAATTTCAAACCTCACGATCCGTCGAGCCTGATTTGCAATTTGCCATTCCAAACTCCACGACTGTCGTGGTCGTCTGAATAATCCCGTCTTTACTCACTCCGTCACTACTGATTCGGTCACTACTGATTCGAGGAAACCTTCGAGTCCGAGGAGATCCCTTTGTCAAGCTTTCGACCTGAATCTTACGAGATTCGCTCGAGAGATCAGGCCTGAAGCTACCGGCCTGATCGTTGTTGTCAAGAGCCATCAAGGTCAACTCCGTATTTGAGTCGTCAAACCTGTCATATCCAAACTTCTTCACCCCAGAGTCTCCGAATGTGCGGAGGCCACTATTTCCTGCTGCCTTAGCAGGCGCAATCCTGCCATTTTCGCGACTCTCGCCGATAAGTTTGGGAGAAACCCGTCGCAAGAATCTTTGCAGCGTGGGGAATGATCCGCAAATTATCAGGAGATTAGCCTCGATGCAGCTGCGGTATGATGTAAGTTAAAGGCCAATAGTAGGTGTAAAAAGAAATTCATCTTACATCCACAGACAAGGGTAAGCTATGGCCCAGGTCTGATCGGTGGCCGTCAAAGTAGGCAGTAGAATGACCAGACGGACTATGGACGTAATCAAGGTCCTGTAAGGTCCCACAAATTATGTCAGTCACTTATATCAGCCGGCATCGTCGCTGATCACGCTGGTGGAAAGCACAGCGTCACGCAAAATTGCTTACAAGGACCCGACTGCAAACATCAGAAGTAATCCTGCCTTTTGAAGCGCAGGCATCTGAAGTCTTAGGACCATAGGGACTGGCAGACCTAGAAGGACGACGTCGGTGGCGATTCCAAGCACTGCAGTTGTGATATATAGCGCTGGACGGTTGATACACGATCCAGTTGTAATCATTGCGTTCCAGCTCTTCTCGATAGGGCTGCAAGCGAAGATGAGACTGAAGAATATGCCGACAGTGTAGCCAATAACGAGGGTAATTGAGGCGTTGACAGTCCACATAAACCAAGTCTGCGGTGACAGCCGTCGATAGAACAAGAGCAGCGTAAGCTTTGCGAATCCATTACATGGGGCATACGCGACGGGTGCAACGAGTATCAACTGGGGATAATCAAATATCAGCATATGCACTCACAGCTCTGGAAGTGACGAGGAAGGAGATTCGGTGCTCACGACACTGTAATAGTCATAGCCCCTAAGAGGGAGCTCCCAAGCATGGACACCGATGACACCAGTTACGAAGCCTCCTGGAATAAAGACATCAATACAAATCTCTGTTGCCGTCTCCGAGTCACTCACTTAGGAGCACAGCCTGCGTAGCTATAGATGTGGCCTAGCAATATTTCAGATCCTGTATCGCATTCAGAAATTGGCTGCAGAGTCCCCTACCCATGCTGCAATATGGCAAGCTATCATTCTTGTTAGGCCTCAGTTAATCCTTCAGCTTGGGATGGACAAGAAGACTTACCGTCATCTGATTGAAAGCGCCTGTCTATGAAAATCTTTGTGTAAAGCTTTTGCGCCAGAAAAGTCAAAGCCAGGAAGTTTCCAATGGACACGATCCAGTAGGTTTCGGTCACTCCCTGTCGTTTAGGATGAGAGAAATTAACAATATAGCCTTCAGGCGGCGGAATAACGGTCAGAACACTATGCGTTCCTGACATTCTGTAACGATTGTAAAGAGATGAGGATAGAATCAGCTGAATAAAAATTAGACAAAACGAGTGAAAATGGAATATATGATCCCAAAAACATTAAACGAACAGTAAGTGAAGATTTGGGCGGCCGCTCGAGCGGGCAAAGCGGTGTTGTAAATAATTGCAACAGCAAAACCAAAAACTCTCTGATACATGTTTATTTTTCTCAAGTAACGCAGGCGGTTTATGCCGCCCGCGATTCATTGCCTTTCCGTTTCTATGTCACTCCAGCCGGGGGTATCTAGAGAAAGTGACGAGCAACAAGTCGGCGGGATAACACACCGGGGTGGATCTCAATCGCGAACTTGCATACAACCCCTTGCATTTGTAATTTGTGCAGAGCATCAAATATCCTTTCACTCACACCAAACACAAAATTCGATAACTAAAGAATTAGAAGGCACCTGGGCTCCATGGTCTCTGCTGGAAGTCCGTCTGGACCTAGATGGCTCAACGTGAACCCATGGTTGGGTCTAGTAAGTGAGGTCGACGAAGCGGGTTGTTTCCCAGCGTTACTACATGTGACAGTTGATGAATCCAAGCTCGCGTAGTCCTATTTCCTCCGCATATCCGCGTTCTGGACCGCAACGGGGATGAATGGGCCTCCATCCCGAGTGGAGTCGCGAGGCCCTTCAGCCAGATCTCCACCACAGCGCTAACATCAGTCTCCGGCTGTGGAGCCCCAGGGGAAAATGCGATGTCGGGTGTTTTTTTCTGTCTCTGCGAATGCACAGCGGACGCTCTAGCCAACCATAGCAAAGTGGTTGGAGATGCATCCATCAGACCCAGGGAATTGGTTGGCTGCTTCTCATGCAAGACGGGAAAGCGAGCTCCATACAACCAATGTGGATGAGCAGAGTGCGGATCTCGAGTTACAATGAACAAGGAGAAATTGAAGCTGTCCCCTCATAGCCCAAGTCATGACCAGGCACAAGTGCATAAAGTTCCATTGCCGAGCTCCGCTTCGCCCTGCCATCGTAATCAAAATAATTGCTGTGTACCTTTCAAAGGGCACTGCCTCATAGATCTCGATATTTTGGAGCATTTGAAAGTCAAAATGAGACCGGAAGCCACTATTGGTCTCGCTGCTTCCGTGGCGTTTGCGGACTTCACCAACCTCGACCAGCATCCTGTTGACGCTTCTCCCGCCATCACTTGCGTAAGATGCTGCCTCCTAATCAAGATGGGACATTATAGCTCACCTGAAGCCAGTGTCAAGCTCTCACTGACCACGGCCTCGCTGTGTCGTACCCCGATTCTGCAACCTACAAGGAGCGCATAGAATCTTATTGGTCTGTGGCCGCACAGTTGACACCATGGTGCATCGTGCAACCCAGCAACGCGCAGGAAGTCTCTGCAGCTCTTTTGACACTTCTCGACGGTCCAAACTGTGGGATAGCAGTGCGAAGTGGCGGACATACCACATTTGCTGGAGCCAACAACATTGTTGAGGGCGCCACCATTGATCTCGGCAACATGAACAGCACGACGTACCACCCGAAGAATAGCACCGCTTCCGTGCAACCAGGAAGCCGCTGGCTACAGGTCTACGAGACCCTCGACAAGCTTGGTGTCACGGTGCCTGGCGGTCGAGCAGGCACGGTGGGTGTAGCGGGCTTGATACTTGGGGGTGGCAACTCCTTCTACTCGGCAAAGAAAGGCATGGTCTGCGACAATGTTGTTGGTTATGAGATGGTCACATCGACGGGTGACATCATATATGTCACTAATTATACTCATGCTGACTTATTCAAGGCTTTGAAGGGAGGCGGCTCCAATTTCGGGATCGTGACTAGGTTCGATCTCAGCGCTTTTCATGCGCCGAAGCTCTGGGGCGGCGCCGTGAGCTATAACAAGACGGCTGGTCCCGAGCTTATCAACTCGATGGTCGACTTCGTGGACAATGTCGAAAATGACCAGGCGAGCTCTAGTATTATCTTTTGGACCTACCAGCCGGCACTTCAGGACACCATTGTGATCGCGGCGTATGAGAACACTGACGGAGTTGTGGCTGGACCTTCGTTTGACAAATACCTCGCCATTTCCGGGAATCTCTCATCGACGATGCGGGTGACGAACATCTCGGACCTGGCCCATGAGTTGGAACAGCCGACAGGCTACATGTAAGTGGATGAGTGCAAATGCGGAAAAATGTCCACGTGAATTACAGGCATTCAATGAATGGTTCTAACAATCTGTTGAATAGTGATCTCTGGTTCACACTTTCCTTCAAGAACGACGCGCGTGTTCTTGAGCACGCAGTGGAAACGCATAATCAACTCGTGGAAGACTTGCTCGTCCAGTCTCCTGACGGCGATTTCATCACACAATGCATGTTCCAGCCACTGCCAACCATCTTCGCGGAGCACGGAATCGCGCGCGGCGGAAACGTCCTCGGCCTCAACAAGCTAACCGACAACGCTGTCGTGTGGCTCGCGACACTGGCTGTCAAGGGGGCTGAACAAGAGGAATTTGGGCGGGCAAAAATGATGGCGTGGGTGAAGAGCGTAGGCGATTTTGCAAAGTCCGTAGGGTCTCATGTCGAGTGGCAGTATCTCAACTATGCCGATCACTCCCAGGATCCGCTGGGCAGCTACGGCCAGGAGAATGTTGAGCTCATCAGGACGGCTGCAAATAAGTATGATCCACTGGGTATTTTTCAGTCGAAAGTGCCTGGAGGTTTTAAAATCTCGAGTTCTCATCAAGGTCGATAAATAGATGCCCTAGTATATGGAGCTCGTTGGCAATGACATGCTCCATTCCTTAAGTCTCATACGACCTCACTGTATTTTCACATTTCCTTGAATCTGAACCAGCGCGGTGAGAAATGTGATCTCATTTCCACCTTCAATTCTGCTCATCCCCCATCATTTTTTGTTCCAAATTCATTAAGTCAATGTTTGTGACATCTCTCAGCAAGCCTGCTCCTTTCAGTGTGTCTCTCGAATAGTCCAGATTAAACCCCCCCCCCCCCCCCAGCGGCTCTGCACAAACCCTAGCCCTTGACGCTTTGGGTGAGGAGGTTTCCTTAACTTTGACGACGCTGCATCTCGCACTCGCTTGCTTTCCTTTTAAGCCATGTATAACACCGCCGTGTTATCACATGCGTTGGCAGTACATTACGCAAAACTCACCAGACCCTTGCATCACGGCCTTGGACTCACCAACTGACACGGCTGTAACTTTATATCCGAGCGTGTCCCTCGGATACGGCACGTCTTGCCATAGCGACTTCCGCGGATCATCGTCACGACCTGCGAGTTTAGCGGTCCCTACGATCCTTGCCATCTGTATGGCCTCATCCAGGGGAGTCGCATACTGCCCCCGCGTATCACATTGCATGGGCGCATGTGGTCAAATTGATGGCGGAGTGCGTCTCCGTGTTGGCTGGCTGGACGGCCGCTGGCTGCACCGCATTCTCGCTCACCTTACCACATTATCGAATCTCGACAGGGGAGCATCGACATATCGAAGCATTCCTGGGACCGACATGCATTGTATCGAAATCATGTGAGCCCCAAGGGCAACATTGGTGTTGGTCTTAAGCCAGAGGATCAGCTCCTTGTCCTGACTCCATCTCCTTGTTAAAATCTCACAGTATTTTCGCATGGCAGACCTGGCATGTGTGCTGTGACATCGCAGAACGAAACTGGTCTAGACTCAACAAATGTGCATCGCATTGCAAGGTGCTCAATCCTCTGGGCTGGATGGTGTGGTGAGATGCTCCACATGCTGCAGCTGCTGGGTCCTTTCGTCCTGCGGGTGCACTCATGCAAAGGAAACGATTACTCCTGCTCTTCTACACGGCTCAAATCTTACCGGGCCAGCACAGAAAGGTCCAGTTCGGCCGAGTATTGGTTCTATCGTGGAAACCGAATCCTTGTTGAACAAGAACTTGGCTCTCGACGTTGCTGATGGTGAGCTTTGAGAAGGATTCCAGCCCCACTCAGTCAGTCCGGATGCCCTCCGCGGATGGGTCTCTGTTGATGCGGGCACAAGACCCACCGATGATGGAGACCTACACACTTCGCTTGAGGAGACTGCGAGAAAAATCCGCAGAGCTCATCAAGCGCCATGGCGACATACTGTAGTGCCCGGATAGCTAAGCGGGGTCTGTCTAACCCACGTCATGTCAGCCCTGATCTGGGACCAGTTGGTGATGAACCGATTGCGACCTGCACACCTCGCTGCATGTCCATTATCAGGCCACTCCGCCGTGGGCACAAAGAGTACCTGTCACGTACACTGTGTGCACACCTTCTGTGTCTGACCTGGGACGGATTCAGTCACATCCGCTTGCACGAACTCAGTAAGGGTCGTCCCGACAGTCTGGTAAATCCCATTTCATTGCATCAACCCCGGTCGGCTTGATGCGTTGGGGGTCGCGGCGTCAGCGTTGTTCCCACCCCTCTTTCTCAACTTTTTTGCTCTGACTGCCTGGCTGCTTGAGCCATCCGAGTTGCCGGCGAAATTCCCAGCCCGACCTGCCCGAGAACTGACGGAAGCAGCTCCCGTTTGCCTGGAGCCTGCGTCTGCTACTAGGTAGTCGCGACTTCCAGGGCTCACGATCTCCCTCATCTCAGTGTTCGTTCTATTGGACTGCGCACCACAATGCTTCACTACATTTCCTTATATCTGACCCACCGTAACTTCAGTTATCAGAAACCCTGGCGTATCTGGATGTCCTCAATGGCACTGCTTTTCTATGCTTAAAATCCCGGTGGCTGTGATACGGCACATCAACGTTCTCTCAGCAACACCGACAGAAATACAGTGGGCATCCGACATATTTTCGGCTTCCAAGCAGCAAGCCGAGGAGGTCGATGAGTCTTTCCATGTTGGTTTTTGAGGATCAAGTTCCAGATGAATTTAGCCCCGATTCATGTCTCGTTAGCTAAACGCGTTTCGAGACCATGGCACACGTTGAACAAGACTAGCGTATCGACATCTGCTATATTATCAGGCACCTGCTTGATTACACGGCGGCAGAAATATTGACTGCAAGCTTTTGTCCGTCACTCTAGTCTGATCTTGCTTAAGGCCCATATGTCCATATCCCTCAGGGGTTCCGAGATCGAGTGGAGATGCCAGTGATCCAAGTCCACCTGAAGTGGGATGGATGCACGGTGCTTTGGTTCATCCCATACAGCAAAGTACTTTTGTCTGGGCGTAGGTGTCTGGATATCTTGACAAGCTCACCCCCCGCGGTCGATTCTGGGAGAACATGCAGCCTACTGTGAAAAGGGAACGCCTTCAAGGCCCTGCAGCACAGTGTCTGGTTTGGATGCATCATGCACTCTGCACCTGCAACCAGGTGCGGACTGGGTTACTGTTTTCTTCAGACAAGACAGACAGACAGACAGACAGGCCTGCAAAATGTACTGCAACTCTGTAGTTGATACATGCACGCTCTTAGAGGACTCGGCCCTGTGAGTCTAGAAACGACAGTCCCCTCATTGCCCCCTCCAATGGCGCTTGAAGGTCTGTCCCGGTTTTCTGGAGACGATGTCTATAGGTCTGATGGCGCTTCAAACTGTCTCGTTCATTGGTAATCTCCTGCCAACAGACAGCTGCCTTACGCAGTGAGTAAGTTGGAAGCAGCGGGGCGCAGGGCCACTTCTTCCATCTCCTCCCTTTCCCTTCCCCATGCATCACTACTGGAATCAGAGGGGCTTGGTCGACCCTGGAAGGCTCTGCCTAGATCACTGCCCTGATAACGCAAAGCGGACTGATTACACCTGTGCCTTGTTTTCCGCCATCTCGCTCTGCTCCGTTGGTTCGCTTCCAAGTAAGCAGCCGCTCCAGCAATTCAAAAAGGACCCACACGACCAGCCATTTTCATGAATTACTGCTCGGAAACTTGACTGCTATATTTTGATCCATGCTACCGCGAAGCCACTATTGAGCATTTGTCCCGAGAACGAAGAAAGTGTTCCAATGAACCGAACATCGAGCAACCTGCCATACTCTTCCGGTCTTCCTGCAGAGAGCAATCTGAATCAGTCAACAGCACAGGACATGGCCTTTGATGCTGTCCATACTTATCACAGCCAATCTTCATGCCGTCCAATGTCTTTCACAATCACGCCCTCTATACCAGCCGGTCCATGTCTACCTCCAATTCAGAAGCTGCAGTCATCCAACAACCACCCAGCGCATTCCCTCAGCAACGAAAGGACCTCGCCGGGGGCGCTTTCAAGAAATAGTTTCAGATCTACCGTCAGCACCTGCGGAGAACAGCATCCAAACTTCCATAAACCACAGTGGTCCAGCCAGCCACGTCCGCACAACAAATTCACGCAAATGATTGCAAGTTCACCCGGGCCCGATAACCAGCATGGAGGGTTTTATGCGCCCCTTCACTCACAAGAGCCCGATTACAAGCGATGTAGGCTTGGAGAACAGTCTTGGTCCGGATCACTTGCAATAGGAGCCTGGGAGATTCAGGCCCTGGCTGTTGCAAGGCACAAAAACGCATCTGGACAGGCACCACATCTACAAGTCTCCATGGCAGACATGCCAGTATGTTCCTTGCCCAACCCAGGCGACACCGCAATAGGGTCAACTCCCCTTGACTTGACGATGCAGAGCTCGCACAGGGGTAGTCTCTGGCAGCAGCAGCCCTCGGCTTACCCGAGTCCTCCTCATCTACTAGAGGACAATACCGGACGTCTCGGTTTCCCTGGACCACCTCCGCGAAGACCATCGTCTGTCTTCTCTGGCCGCACACTCGCAGGAAGCCCAGGATCAGTCCAGAGCGGTACAGTTTCCGCTGGTCACGCATCACAACCTACCAGCCCAACTGTTACGTCTACCACATCAGGCTTGAACAGCCGCTCAGGCTCGATTAGTCCGGAAGACTCGACTCCGACATTCGAGGAAATTCATAATGTTCCACAAGTTTCCTTGGCATCTCGAGACACAGAAAGAAAGTCTATCCTTGAACGACTTCCGATGGAAATCTTCATGCGGATCATGTTGCACCTTGATTGGAAAGAACAAATCCTGCTCAGACGTTGCAACTCCAACATATATGACATGGTCAGGCTTGAAGCAATACCTTGGGAAACCAAGACGGCCATTCTCTTACGCGAAGAGAACTTCAACCCAAGAAACTTCCCGAAGAAATCACCCAAAGCCCAAGAAGGTGATGAGCCTGCGGACCAAGACTCTGACGCTGGATCCTGCTCTGATAATGAAGGGACACCTTCAAGCAAGATCCGCAAGGCAAAGAGGCATCAAAGGAAAGATGTGGTCAAAAGGAAGCCTCAAACAAGAGGCAAGTCCCGCCCAGACACTCTTGACAAGTTTGCATGCTATTCTTGCTTCAAGATACTTCCAGCGTGTTATTTTGAGGGGAGGCATCCCGAGAACAACACGAGCAGGGCTGTCAAGAGTCAGAAGAAACGGGTACACAACGACCAGGCAGATAAAAAAGTTGATACACGCGTCGGATACGTGCAAGTTATCTCAGTCAATCCTAGCCGTCCGCCCGAATGGCTCGTCAAAGACAAAGCGGAGGTTAGGGCTACCGATGTCGAAACATATGTGACGGAATATATGAAAAAGGGTGTGAACTGCGACGATCTGCGTCTACACTACAAAGATCTGAGCTCAGCTACGCACTGTATCGCCCCGATCCGAGGGGTGAATCCATTCTTCACGTCGTCTTCTTCGGCAACGCCACCCCACTGCCAGACGTATCGACCGGTCTATCAGGTCGAGGACAGCAATTCCTCTGGCATGGACAGCAGTGCCTACACATATGAGATCTGCATCCCGGAAAACTCTGTAAGAGACGAGAACGAGGTGCGAAGACCACACGTCGCACCATCCACCAGGATCTGCCAACCTCAGCAGACCACGGTCTCAACCCCAGCGCCACAGATTAAAGAAATCATCGCGCTTCGGCGCTTCTGTATTCTCTGTGGTGCAAAGTACGGGGCCTATAGGAGAGAGTGCAACCGGAAGATTATCAGCAAGACGGAGAAAGGTTGGTGGGTCTGCGCTTGTCCCAAGGTCAGGCAGGCAGGCATAGGTAGGAATTGTCCGGACTGCGGTAAGAAGGTGATCTACTAGGAGACTGAAGCAGTGGGAATCTCGTATTCTCGTTTGGAATCCCTTGGGTCGGTAATTTGACTTCATGAGGCGTTGATGGGTGGTATATTTGTTTGACAATGTTGGATGCGAGATGTACATACGCACGGTCTTTGACTGGTTTTGGCGTCATAGGTGGTTCGTCGCAGGGCGAGACTTGACAAGCTTGAGCCATTCAGACAATATTGACTACAGGTCATTTCTATGCGATAATTTTCAGTAATACGTGATTTCATGACTGCACCTTCTCCAGGCTTGAGAGACGATGCGACGACGTTCACGGTGGCCAGCAGCACCATAGCCCGATGCACCCAAGACAAGCAATGCCGCCATACAAGTGGAAGCTCGGTAGGCTTGAAAGGAAGCGGGCCGAGAGCTCGTCGGGATCGGGAAGGATGAAGTCGGCTCGGCACGGATGGCCACAAATGATATGTCTCCCCAGCCGACAACTGCCCGCGGGAACCGCTGCAGCCCTTGCCCACCCAACAAACCACTAGTTGCAGCCGCGCCAATCTCGGGTGCAAGTTTGGGTTGCCAACATCTAAGGTGGCTGTCCTTCTCTAAGATTAGACGCGGGGTTGGGGGCAGGGGAGTGCTATGCGCATAGCACATCTGTGTCATTGGACTTGAAGCCGCGATGGCTGAGACGAGACAACAGAAAACTCAGGGTCTTCAGATACTTGGTCGTCCCTTTGTCTCTCGTCTCTGCCAACCGTCATCACCTTTCACGGGGACTGTTGGCTCTGGACTTTTTCAAGAAAGGTACCAGTGATGTTGATCGGTTCTCTCTCCAATTGCCATTGCGAATGAGATTCTGTTATTGATTGCTATAAACATATCCATGAAGTGAATGATGTTTCAGTATTGATTATGAGTACGATCCTCATTTTCGTTTGTCTCTCATCGTTTGAGGTCATTCACTACGTATGAAATGCTTGCAAATGTTATGATAGATACTTGGAGATTGTGATACAAGATTACTAGAGCTGACACGAACAAGGAATCCAAAAAGTGATGTGGCCTCCAACGTTCCCTTTTTTTCTGGTCTGCGGTTCCCGTCACTGGTTGCCACATTCAGCTTCTGCAGCAGACCATTGCTTCGTGAGCTGCCGTAACCTCTTTGAGCTACCAACGAACAGCAACAGGCATCTTAACATCCACACCTCATTTTTCACCTTCGATTTCTGGCGATTCCAGAACACCTTCCCCACAATTCAGTGGGTGGTTGCTTGCCCTGACACTGGTCCCGCCACCCCCTTCGGCCTTGTCAGTGGTCGAGCAGTATCAGCAATATGGAAGACACCTTGTTGCCCCTTACTGTGCGAATCAAACTGTGCTGCTTCCCAGGCAAGGCGCCAGGGGTCTTCCTTCATTACGAAGTGAGCTGCAGACTCAGCCTAGATTCTAGGCTTGTTGGTGTTTCGAATGTCTCACCAAATAGCACGGCGAAGTTGCTCGACGGGTCTTTGGGCGTCCGGAAATAGCTATCACTACAACGGACCGTTGGCCCGAGCCTCTCCTTCATAGCGCAGTGAAATTTCTTGACTTTCTACTTGTTTCAATATTCAAAAATATCTAATATATTTCTCTGCCTTAGACCAACACTCTGCCTCATCATCGTCGTCATCGTGAAGATGAAACGCGGAGTGAATTACAATTCCAACTCAGCAGACCGACATTTTGGCAAGAAGCACATCCAACTTTAAGGACGCTTTCGAGAGTCTGGCAAGGTGGATGGCGCATTCTGTATCAGCTGAACACTAGGATCAAATGAAAAGAGATAGGGCTAGGCATCTTTTCCACCGCCGGCTGGGTATAGTATCCTGCCAAATCGTCGCACCATAATTATTTAAGTTACTGGGTGGCTGATATAGGATATAGCCACGAGACTGTTGGCTGTACCTATCCACCCAGGCCATGCTGTGGTGCTGCAACAGGGGCAGTTCGACCGCACAAATGTCCTCCAATAAGTGCCTCACACCCACCTACATGAGAGATAATGTGACCACTCATGTACATGGGTAGGCACAGACCGAACGCTTGTCTAGCAGGACACAGAAGTACGAGCCAGGATCATACTCCCTTGCGTCTGAGCCCTGTATCTTCCATACCCTGTTGGTGTGTCCCGATCAAGTGAGGAAATATGTAACACCCTCACACCAAATGTACTTCGTGATCACAGTGTGCTAATAGATCTGTGTATATTTAATGTACAGTACATTAAGAATACAGCTCGTGACGATGGTCTAAAGGACAATATCCGCTCACCACCCGACGGTGATTGACCGCCGATTATCAACCGCATAGCCACTAAAGCTTCACACCATTTTCTTATTTGTCAGTTGGCTGATTTGGTTGCCAACACAAGCGGCTACACGGGTAGAACAAAATCAGGCCATGCCCACTGATCAGGGAACTTTATGTCACTTCTCGAATAAATATTGAGTTCCAATAGCTCCACCTGAAACGCTTTGGGTGCTATCTGGATATGACACCGGAGTGTCGCACATCCTTGTGCATTTGAGAGTCAACCTAGGACGGAAGTTGGCGGCCGATAGGGGTTTCGGCTAAGGCGTGGTTACTTTCCAGAACCAACTTCTCAATTATTTTACTAGTGACATGTATCACAGGAATACAAATGTTATACGTGTTCACCATGACGCAAATTAGTAGTTCGAAGCCTACGGTCGGCTTCGACCAAAGGATTCGACATCGAACTCGGACCTCGGCGTCGCAAGATTCTTGTGAAGACTCTCGTGCAACTCACATAATTCCTGTGTCTACTCTGATAGGCTGATTACGCTGATAGTGCCCGCCATCAGATATTGTGAACACCACTTGCTCCCAAAAAGGCGCTGACAAATTACAATATATGTAGCCCATGGCCATCCAATTACGATTTGAAGGCCTGGAAGTTCTCGCGCTTCAGAATCCCATAAAGGTACAGACTCGGTCATTCCGACTATGTAGGTTCCTCGGAAATGGTAATGTACCGAATGAACCATTTCGCGATGTTTGACATGCTATCCTCTACTCAAGACTCAGAAGATTGTGCGAGTTTCCGTTATCATTCTTCTCCTTCTCTATTGGTTGTCCGCCTCGATACGAGAGATGTCGATCTTCAAGAAAAGCTCAAGAAAAGCTTTCGCAACCCAAAGTCATGAAACACCTCGAGGCCTCCCACCCACCAAAAACTCAAGCAATATGTAAAACTTCGCGCAAATGAAATGCAGGATGATTTGCAAAGGATGCAGTGCTCAAATGATCGTCCATCACGATTCTCCGTGTCCTCCCCTGCCACCCACTAACGCCGTTGAATGATGTCCCATGCAAGTCGATCCTGTGAATTCTTATTCACAAATTTTCAGAATTGCTGGGAACTACTAATTAACAAAGTCCTCAGTGAACCAATCTCAAGGAGATTTGTCGATTCTGGTGCAAGTGATGATGTTGGCAGAAGGGACGGAAGTCGAGCACAAATCTGGACAGTACTATATATTGGTCAAGTCTGGATGTCAGTCGAAGGAACATCAAATCAAGGACAGAATATCACCAGGATTGGATGGGGCATCGTGCACCACGTTCTGATGCTCCTCTGTCACAAGCGGCGGTCTGTACTCACTGCGGTGACAGTAGGAGAGGCTGTGCTTTTAGACCTCAAGGTTATGGTGGTAGTGAAAACAGGCATTGTCGTCGTCAAAGTTGTTGTCGAACTTGTTTCGACCACGGTGTCAACCTTGTTATCCACCTCGCCGCTGACCTCACCGCCTATGTCCGGGTAGCTACCGTAACTTCCATATTTTCCGTAAGATCCGTAGTCTCCAAAGGCTTTGACCTCATCTCTAGGCGCGAGACCAACGAGTCTTTTGACAAAGCTGCCGATCCCGAGGACTAGATCTCCTGGACTTAGATTATTTGCCTGCGGGAGAAGCTCAGGGGCAATTGCTGGCGCTGGCGCAGGGGCTGGCGCAGTGCCAGCTGTTTGAGCGAGCAAAATAGTTATGAAGGGTCGGATGAAGAGCATTTTGCACTCTTGTGCTATTCAAGTTGCTACAGAATGGCTGCTTGTTCTGTCACCCATCAGCTAATGGGCCGTCCAGACTGGGATTCATATCTTCTGCAGCTTACCTTTTGAACGACAACTGGACTTCGTCACTGCCTTTGTCACCGGGAACACCCGCCGATCCTTTCTGTTGACCGCGGTACCCATTTCAAGGGATAATGCCGCAGATATAAATTTATGACACAGAGAGATTTCGGAGCCTTGCTCTTCCTGACTATGTCTCGGACCCTGACAAACTGCCTCACATGGTGTCTTGGTAGCTTTAGCAAAATCCCATTCTAGAAGTCAGAGTGAGACATGTCAGCAGGTTGGGTCCCATCCTCCGGCTCGGATTGCTGTATCTGCTGAAGAACACGGGCTGAAAGACTCTGCGTAAGCATCTTTGTCCTCACCCTTCAGCCATGTACAAATGGGGACCGGCTTGGCTTTCAGCAGACTCGGTGAGATGTGTAGGATCGAAGCCACTCGCACACCAGAACCGCGCCATGAACCTCAGCCATTGGCTCTCGCGAACGGTTTGCGCCGTGTCTGTCCCTTGCGGCTAAGCCCAGGCGGCAAGGACCGAAGCAAGTGCCGACCAACGGACTTTTTGCACCAGGCTTTGCTAGTCCCTGAAGCTGGACCGTCGTATCAGCCCCCTCAGTCTAAGCCTGACATGTTTCGGTCAGAGACTGTCTTTCCGGTGTCACTTACATCAGGAACACCTATTTAGAAACAGTTCTGGCAGTTGGAGTACAGTCTCGAAGCAGGCGATTGTGTGTCATACGACCACATGACGTGTTAGTGTCTAAGACATGGCACACGAGGTTTGGGCCTTTTTTGCACGTCTATCGAATCTTACAAAATAAGGCACAGGATGGGCCACTGACAAGATGGGCCACGTCAGTTAGGACATCTAGATCGAATTCACAAACGTTGACCGTCCAAGATGCTGCAATTTCTTAGTAGGGCTCTTGCCTCTCCTCGATTCTCGCAAGTGCCTCAAACAGTCTTCGAAGGAGAGCCTTACCCTGGAGCAAAGATCCAACCCAGGAACTCCTCTTTGATCATCATCTTGAGTCTAGCAGCCGCCTGCTTTTTTTCATTGATTTCAGGTGTCTGGACAGCACGTGTCTGGCTCAACGATCGTGAATCTCTACGCCGCTTTCCCAACAACTGCAAGTCACACGGTATTGAAAAAAAGAGGCAAGTACATTCGGCTGACAGGACCAGCTCCAATCCTCGAGTCAGTGAACACAAATTTCAAGGCTACCAAGTTCAACGGGTCTCTCTTCGGCGAGAGCATCTTTCGGCAGGAGGGAAGTCCCGAGGTCGACTCGGCCTGGGAAAGCCTGGGTGTAGATTGTCAGAGCCTCCCTTAGCCCGTTTCCCAAGTCACTCCTCGACCCAGTAAGCTGAATACTTACTTGTGTGTCATAGATCGGCCCAGCATTGTTTCCGAGGCATATGCAGAACTATCAGGAATCAAGCCTTCATATGTTAGGGTATCTCCTGAATACGGCGGTGGATTCGTTGCCAACGTCGAGGGTATACACCACCTTCATTGCTTGGTGCGTAACCTGAATGGACGAGATACATCATTGGTATTTCACTGTTTGTATCGCGACTCTCACGAGGTCTTCCCAACAAGACACCTGGGTTTGGTTTGCTCCAGTGATTGCACAGCCACCTCTATCTTGAAGTCCCGGGGCAAAGTGCTTTGTCCAAGCCAATCATCCTTACTAAGCCTCCGCAGAACTTACTTCGACAATCACTCTTCTTCAATTACGAATATTACCTCAAACAAGGATCCGGTGCTTTCAGGAACAAGGACCACATTCTTCGATACCATATCAGTTAGAGAGTTCTCATTCTTGCTCTCCCATTAGGACAATGAAACCATTGCTAATCTTTAAAAGCACACTGTGTGGACATCCTCCGGCAGCAATTGATGTGTACAGTCGATATCGGTCTGCTTGGTCAGGTCTGGTGGGACAAAGAACACCCACAAGCATTTCCGGATTTCAATACTGAGCACGTATGCCGAGACTTTGAAGCAGTCAGAGGCTGGGCTGCAGATCATCAAGCTCCGGCTGACATTCCCGGGGACTATCTTGAAATTCCAAGGCCTGAAGACGTTCTTGAGAGCATACCATAGCACATGCCTATTCGTTTGCCTCATCTTATATTTTGGTTCCTTCGTCGCCCCCGCGACCCTCTATCCACTCACAAATCTTATCCTCACCTCTCCGGCAACCGGCCCCGAGTCAAACTGGCCCGAAGTGGTCAGAAAATCAACACGTCGGGTAAGATTGCTCGACATTTCATTTCTGATGTGATGTTATGAGTTGCAAAGTCGTCTTCATATCTTACAAGATACATTTTTGGCTTGTCAACAAATCAAGCTCAAGTATCCGTCTACGGTCACTTCCACCCGGTCCTTTCGACACATCATCATTATCCCCGGGTACACCGGTCACTGACATCCACAATAGGACCGGTATCAGCCTTGCATTTGGCAAATTGGCAAAAGTCGACTCCTCATCCCAGGTCTTTCCAGCTAACGGGATTCTTCAACAAGGGCCGGTTCTGAGTATCTTAGAGATCAAGCGTCGGTATTCACCATTGCATCCAGGAAATCTGTCCATGCTAAGAACACGTAAACATACGGTTCAAAACTGACATACAAACGAGCTCACACTATTACGAATTTTTACTAACTCAATCTAACAAACTCACTCCTACCACTTTGCATTCATATGGACAGACCCGCATACGCAGGAATCTGAAAACAGACGCCCCGCTACCGAAAAGCTAACGATTGTATCGATCGGTCTTGCTGTTCCCAGGGAGCGCACAGTTGTTCGGTCTGTTAACGAATCAACAGGACATCCACTGCGGGACCCGATAGAACGGCAAAGACCGGGAATCGAAAACGCCGGGCTCAAACGTTTCCGTCATCATCCATTGATGACATTGAGACCTGCCTGGTTGGTAGAGCTTTAACTTGGATTCAGTGCGAAGACATTGGACTCTCGGGCATTGATCTGAGTTACTGTGTTACTTGCGCCTGTGAGTATTTGATTATGTCGCATTCAAGCCCCTATTGTTGCGCGTAATTGTCCTAGTCCATGAATTGCTGTGGCTACCTATGGCAGTTTTCTGGCTATACGCTAACTATTTTGGACACTTCAGGCAGAGAGCTCAGAATCCTCGGACGAAACATTGCACACTGGGAAGGCTCTCGTCTGAAAGACATTGAACAAAGCCTCAGCTGATCGATAGTTCCAGAGAAGCAATTCTTGGCTACACATATTTAAAGCCCTCCACCCATCTCTTCTCTATTTATTTCTGCTCCTAGAGCTAGCCATAAGTACATTCAACGGGTCCTGGGTTCGCTAGGTATACATACGCAAACGTTTTCATACAAGCTCCTGGCACCCAACCAGTGGAAGGCTTGCACCCAGCCTTTCACTGGCCCAGCATCCCAAACCCCTCTCGCCTCCTCATCAACCGACTCACCATGTCGACGCCTACCTCCGTCGATAAACTGGGCCACAGGGCCCAACGCCCTCCTGACCAGGCCGATACCAACCCTGGATCACCCTACAACAAAGCCCTCCCAGATGAGGCACATAACAAACAAGTCTTCAACAACGACTCTATCCCGGCCTCAGGCCCAGATGCATCCGAGTCGCCGGCTGGCCCCGTTTTCTCCCCCTCCATCTCTCACACCTCAGACACCTCCTCAACCTCCTCACCTCTCTCGTCCTCCTTCGAAAATAACCCAAGGGAGAACTCTTCATCATCTTCCAACTACGACTCCGAATCCTCCACTGAGGGGGCAGAGGCTCGCTCGAAGAAGATCGCCGACTATGTGACTGTCGGCGAGCAAATCGCCGGCAGGAAAGATGAGAACGAGGACGCGCCAAAGGGCACGTCCCTAATGGACTTCGAAAACAGGACACTAGACTACTCCGTGAGCGCAGAGTAGGTGGCACACTCCAAGCCCCCGGCCTCTGCCCCGTGGCACTGATAAACTGACCCAGCTTGACTTACGCAGGAAAGACAAGAGGTTGGAGGACACGCGCACCGCAACAACCGCCACAGGCTCGCGGCACACCCCGCGCTCGATCGACACGTGCCTTGGGTCGGGCTGGGGACCTGGCGACGCCCTTCCAAACCGCACCTTCGCCAACGGGTACATCCGCGTGGCCAAATCGCCCCTCCAGGGCTATGGAGCCTTCGCGGCGACCGACATCAAGGAGGGCACCCGAATCCTACTGGAAGAGCCCCTGCTGCGTGTGAACGGCCTGGGGAAGCTCCGCGCGGAGCACGCACTACTGGACGGCGAGAAGAGGGCCATCTACGACGGCCTGGTCGGGTACCACAAGCACGAGGCATGCCCGGTGCTCCAGAAATGGAGCGCGAACCAGTAAGTCATCGAGACAGCAACCCTCGACACATCTACTTCACTCCTTCCAGTCCAGATTGTTGCTGACGTGCTGACTTCCCAGGTTCGACTTGGCCGCGGGTTGCAACGGGGTATTCGCGATAGCCTCCAACTTCAACCATGCGTGCAAGTCCCAGAGGAACACACACTACTACTGGGACTACCGCCGGGAGGCGATGACCTTCATGGCTATCAAGGACATCAAGCAGGGGGACGAGGTGTTGATCTCGTACTGCGATTATCGGCACATGCTGAAGGCCGTGTACGGGTTTGTCTGCCATTGCGGCGGCTGCGACCACCAGGCGGCCGACCTGGCTCCTAAGGTGCGGTTCTAGGCCGGCGGAGGGTCAGCTTTTTTGAAACCATTGCTATGCATGGGAAGAAATTTTGGGGAGAGGTGGAAGGGCGGAGGCCCTCAATGCTTTTTGGAAGAATATCAGAAGTCTATTGCCTTCCACATGCCATTGACCAGCGTTGAATTCTCCCGGAGATGAACTATGCTCTTCCAAAACCATATTGTCACAGGACCTTAAAGAACGTCTCTTCCTTAGCTTCTTAGGTCCGGCTCCTGTCTGCTTGTTCAGCAACACATGCAGGTAGGAATGGCATCGGTAATAAGGTTTGTGTGAACACTACTTCAAGACTTGCCCAAAGCTGAGAAGACCCGGTCATAAGGCTGCCGTCCAACGAAGCGGCTGCCACGTAGCCATAAAAAGGATTTGCTTGGTGACACCACGTCGGCTTCAGATCCCGAAAGCATTGCTTATTATCGGTATGAGTCAAGCGGCCAGGAGTATCCATTTTTGCACCATTGGTGGTGTTTGCCGGTTAGGCTGCGCCCTTTGACAATCCCCGCTCATGTAGTCTAGGTGCTGGTAGGAGCAGGAGAGTGATGAAAGCCATAGATATACCGCAGGACGCTAACCGTATACAATCCTATCCGCTGTGGTGGTGGTCTACTTCTAATCACGCCTTATATCCGATCCAGTCTACACCCGAAACAGAAGGCCTGCCCCTCGCGTCTTCGGCTTTTGTTCCAGCACATAACAAGGACCGCGTGACGGACTGAAATCCGCGAGGATGAAATATGTCTCTATGCTCTTTTGTGTTGCTCTGCAGAGTGCACATTGTTCGACGAGCCATTAATTATCTGCCCAGGTCCGAGCAGCTCGAGGCGCATTCAACAATATCTTGGTGAATTCGGTTCTGTCCCTCTTGGCAAGGACGTCATCAACAATCGGCAATTTATCAGCAGGGGATAAAGTCATTCCTTGAAATAATTTTGTTTGGCATTTCTAGCGGTCGTCTACTCCAGACTGGAGTGCAACCCAGGCGGGGACGCAATGGATCGAGATATGGAAACGTCGGCACCCTCTGACTCCGAAAAGCCGTATGTATCAGACCGGGAGGAAGGAAAGAAGTCTCGGCTTGACCCCGACAATAATATCGAGCCAGGCCCCGTATCTGATAAAAGAGATCGCTCGGGTTCGCCGACTGCGCCGGGCCCGGGGCAGAGGGTCCCTCAAACCTTACACGGCCCGATCCCCGATGGCGGAACCGCAGCCTGGCTGCAGGTACTGGGCTCATGGGTCGTATTGGTTGCGACCTGGGGTTTGGTGAATACATTCGGCGTGTACCAAACTTACTACGAGACGACGCTTCTTACGTCCTCGTCCTCATCCTCGATATCATGGATCGGCTCACTTCAAGCCTCGCTGATGATGCTCATTGGCGTCGTAACGGGGCCTCTCTACGATGCAGGACACTTCCGCCACCTGCTCATTAGCGGGCTCTTCCTCATCGTCTTTGGGCAGTTCATGACCTCACTGGGGACCGAGTACTGGCAATTTCTGCTGGCCCAAGGCGTATGCATTGGTATGGGGATGGGGCTCGCGTTCCTCCCCTCGACTGCGATACTGTCGCAGTATTTCACCACGAAACGGGCCTTCGTCATTGGTATTGCCAGCTCAGGGAGTCCGTTGGCTGGGATTGTGTTCCCCATCATATTCAGTCGGCTCGTCTCGGAGATAGGTTTTGGTTGGGCGACGCGTGTCATTGCCTTCATCTTGCTGGGACTGAGCGTGATCCCAGTTGTGTTCATGAAGACTCGAGTGCCCCCATCTGGCCGGAAGAGGGCCCTCATTGATGCAGATGCGCTGAAGAACCCGGCATTCGCCCTGTTTGTGCTGGCGAGCACATTCATGTTTCTTTGCCTGTACACAGCCTTCTTCTACATCCAGTTGTTCTGCGAGATGCACCATCTGTCGAGCCTGGACTTTTCCCCCTACTTAGTCACTCTGCTCAACGTGGGCAGTGTGTTCGGCCGGATCGTGCCGAATTACCTGGCCGATAAGTTAGGGAGTGTGAACGTGGTTATTGCGTGTGCTGCTGTGTCGGCCATCCTGGTGTACGGCTGGCTCGGCATCCATGACCTGGCTGGCCTGGTTGTCTTTGCGTTGCTGTACGGTGTGTTCTCAGGGGGCATCGTGTCGGTGATGCCTTCGGCGATCCTGACCATGTCGCCTGATATTTCCCGGATGGGAACGTATTTGGGGATGACGTTTACCTTGACCGGAATCTCCATTTTGGTGGGTACACCGATCGCTGGAGCGATCCTGGGCGGATACAGTGAAAGTGAGTGGAAAGGCGTCATTGGATATTCCGCGGCTGGGTTGACTCTCGGTTCGATGTTGTATCTAGCTTCTAGAGTGGTCTTGTACAGGAGAAATGGGAAACTGGTTGCATGAAGCTTGTAAAGGAGGGTCTTCTGTGGCATTTAGATCATCGTGTAGAAAAGCATAGCATACGCAGGGGTTTCGAGTCATTCTTCGCATGAGGCTGTCAAAGTTGTTGAGTGTAATAGCATCACGAAGCTTTGGAAGAGAGAGCGCTCGAGGTGAGACGCTGCTGATGCGGCTGATGATCGTGGGAGAGGACCAGTAGGGCCAGTTGAGAAGGATGGAACGGTTACAGTAGAGTATGAGCCTCCATGTACCCAGGTACCTCACACGTGTCGATGAAGAAGGTTTCCAACTACTCGTCGCTTGATGCTACCATGACATCTTTTTTCCCTGATACAGCTGTGTGCTTACAGAACAGCAGACGCAGATATGTGCCAATGCAAGTGCTGACTCAACCTATCGTATCACACACAGCCGGAGGAGGCGGAAGCGCCCTGGAGTTGAGCGGCTGCGTCCGTTACCGTCTGACGGCATGCAGAGGAAGTCTAGTGGGTAGCGATGAGCAAAGCAGAGCAGAGTGCGGTGTATCATCAGCAGTATCTAGATAGTATTCGCCTGGATCTCGATCAGTGCCCAGCATCACCGCACATCAGAGGGCACCTTTCCGATTGCCAACGGTTTGTCAGACACGACAAACCCAACCCAGCCGGCATTTGATCCACTGATATGTTGCTGATGGCAGTCGAAGTAAGCCATGATTAATCACGGCGTCTAGGCCCACTTCAGGGGAGACACCAAGGTACATGGGTGCATTCCCCACCATTTTAGCCTTGTCCTTCTTTGTCCGTCCGTCCGCATCTCAAAGCCCCACAAGTCCCAAGGTGACACTGCAGCCCAGCAACCCGGCCGCATCGTCGTTGCGGAGAAGCGATGACCCTGCCACCCATCATCACCGACTGCCAAAGGGAGATCCGGATTCTGATGCCATCAAAGCTTCATCGAAGCCAAACGACGTGCTTATCACCTGTTGTGGCAATTGATGAGTTCCGCCGCATCCAATTGACCGGTCTGGAATGCTGTGCGGCATGCAATACGCCTTGTCCGGCGTGGGCCCCCTCTTGGGGGAGTTTGGTTTGATACCGCCGGGCATACCATACTGGAAGAGGACGCAGCCCCACCACATCATGTGCCCTGCTCTGCTTATAGCATCATGAGCTGAGACTTGACAAGCAGTATACGGGGTGCTCCATGTGCGACGAGTGCCGTTCCTGGTCTACCTTTCTAGAGCTTTCCCTGTGGTGGATTGCCCTGACAACAATTCGCCGGCTCGGCTGCTTTCCCGGACTAGCAACCTGCTCTAGGACCTGCCGTCGCATTCAAGGCGCTCCATTGCGTCAAAGACAGTAGCATATGGACGGAGCTCTATATAAGGGCAGCTAGACTCCCCAGCTCAGCATATAATCTTTGTCTCAAGGACCAGCTCATTGTACCGAACACATCCCTATATACAGTAGCATACCTCAATCAGCTCTTAAACCCTTCAATTGACACCATCACTGTACTGTCAGACCACCTCAAGACATTCAAGATGGCTCCCAAGATCGCTATTGTCTACGTGAGTACTCACTCGTTTCTGCCATCTGATATCGTACCCCTCGCAACGGGCCATTCTTCTTTTGAACTTCATCAACATTATTGCCCACACACGCGTGTGAAAAATCACCTGAGAGTTTTCATAGCCACCAGACGCAATGCAATGACTAACAAAATCAATCTAGTATTCCATGTACGGGCACATCAAGCAGCTGGCAGAGGCTGAGAAGAAGGGAATTGAAGCCGCCGGCGGCTCAGCAGATATCTTCCAGTACGGGCCCAGCTTTTATCATCTCCGAAGCGTAACCCAGTCAAACTAACCCTCTCCTGCAGAATCCCAGAGACCCTCCCCCAGGACGTGCTAGACAAGATGTACGCGCCACCCAAGCCCACCGACATCAAGGTGCTGGAGGACCCGGCCACGCTGGCCGGCTACGACGGCTTCCTGCTCGGCATCCCGACCCGGTTCGGCAACTTCCCCGCGCAGTGGAAGGCCTTCTGGGACAAGACCGGCAAGCAGTGGCAGGGCGGCGACTTCCACGGCAAGCTGGCGGGCGTCTTCATCTCGACCGCCTCGCCCGGCGGCGGCCAGGAGTCCACGGCGCTGGCGGCCATGTCCACCCTCGCCCACCACGGCATCATCTACGTGCCGCTCGGCTACGCGAAGAACTTTGCCCAGCTGACCGACCTCTCCGAGGTCCACGGCGGCAGCCCCTGGGGCGCCGGCACCTTCGCCGCCGGCGACGGCTCGCGCCAGCCCTCCCCCAAGGAGCTCGAGGTCGCTGAGATCCAGGGCAAGTCGTTCTACGAGACCGTGGCCAAGTTCTCGGGTTGACTGCATGGAAGTAAGGGTGAGGAGAAGAAGGAGGAGAAGGCCGCAGGAGGGGCTGCTGCCACCTCGAAGAAGGAGGACACTAAGTCGACGCCCGCTGCTCAGCAACAAAATGGCGGCGCGGCTAAGAAAGAGAAGGATGGCGAGGGCCCTTGTGGGCTCCCCAAGAAGTGTACAATTCTATGAGATACCAAATAATGATTAACACATTTCAAGAACTTTATGGGAACGTGAAGAATTGTTTGGCTTCGCTTAGTGTTGTTTCTTCTCACAGATGCACTAATTCTCTCCGTGGTAAGTCCACAAGCCCAGCATGACACCCAGCAATGGTTATGAATCCCTTGACAGCTCAAAGCTTCGACTGCGGCCCCTTCAACTTGTCCTCCCACCACGGATACACGCTAGGCGCATTCTCCTCCATCGTTTCCTGAAACCGCGGCTCCCTCTTCTCCAGAAAGCTCGTCACGCCCTCGGCCACGTCCGCGCTGCGGAAGCGGTCATACAGCAGCTTGCTCTCGAGCAGATGCGCCTCCTCCGCGCTTCCCGGCGCGCGGAAGATCATGTCCCGCATGGTGACAACACTGACGACGGAGCAGTCGCGCGCCACGCCCTCGGCGAGCTGCAGCGCCCGCGGCAGCACCCCGGCCGCGTCGTCCACCACCTCGGTGAACAGCCCGTCCAGCACCCGGTCCGTGGGGCGGTACACGGCGCCCGTGGTGACGAGGTGCAGCGCGCGCGCGGCGCCAACCAGCCGCGGGAGGAAGAAGGAGCTGCACGCCTCCATCACCAGCCCGCGCCGCGCGAACACGAAGCCCACGCGCGACTGCGCCGCCGCCACGCGGATGTGGCACGGCAGCGTCATTGTTATCCCTACGCCTACTGCCGAGCCGTTCAGCGCTGCGATGACGGGCTTCTGGCAGCGGTATATGGCGAGGCTGACGCGCCCGCCCCCGTCGCGGTCTGGGGGGGATTATTTGTTAGCTAGGTGTTTGTGTAGCTCAGGGTGTGGCATTGGCTAAGTTGTACGTACGGGTATCCCTGGTCACTGATCCCAGGGCATCGGGAGGGCCATCATTTGCGTCTTTGGTAGAAAGAGGCGTGAACATGTCCATGCCGGCGCAGAAGATCTTGTTCTCCGGGTCGGAGCCGGCGAAGACGATGCATTTTACTCGTGGGTCGGAGCTGAGCGTGCCGAAAGCCTTCTCTAGTGACTCAATCATATCCCCGTTGAAGGCGTTCTTATATTTTGGCCGGTTGAGAATGACCATGATGATGGGCGTGACTGATTTTGAGGAGGGCGGGTGGTGCGAGAGGCGCACGGCTGGAAGGGAGAGGGCTTGGTACGAGTCTGGCAGGCTGGCCATTGTGTATGTCGTATCTGGTGTGGTGACTTCAAGTCATGAAGTTTGTGTAAGAGATCTGGTCTGTAAGCAGTAAGAAGATGTGCACATTGGTGTTGTGAAGTGAGATATCTGGAATCAGACTTCAAGTGAATACCTAGATATCTGGGATGTGAATATGTAGGTACGTAGGTATTTAGGTGTAAGTCCAGTCCCAAGTTGGAGAAGAGGGGTCGACATAGCGCTGTGCCGAGGTCGAGATGGAAAGGGGTCGACTAATCAGAATATCATAGGTGGTACCATGAAGTGAAACCCGCGGGACAAGCTCTGGGGTGCATGGCTCTGGAGAATTGTAGCAAAGCCCAAGACCAGTATTCCTCATGAAAGCACGTTGCTCATCAGTAGCGAGATGTCGACGAGCCGAGGCATGTCCCCCAAAAAGGCAACCGTACGGCAGGACCGGGAAGCTTGTATGTTGTATGTGTATGCGAAATCGCGTCAATTGTATTCAATGCGAATGAGGCCATGCTTCTGAAGAACATCGATTCATCCAATCTACCTACAGCAAACACTAGTAGCGCCGCTTTGAAGGTAGATAGCCGCTACATACCCGCGGTCTACATGAACTTGCTCGCCAGGCTCAACAGGCCACTGCTGCCACCGCCGCTCTCGCCGCCCCCCTTGCTCTTGAGGTACATCTTGAGGGCCATCTCGCCGGCCTGCTGCACGGCCGACTCCTTGGAGCTGTCGGAGCTGACCTTGCCGGCGGCGCTCTGCTGCTCGAACAGCTTGCTGGCCTCGCTCATGGCCAGGCCAATGAACTCGCTCTTGGAGCTGCCGCCCGACGAGCCACCGCCGCCCGAGAACATCTTGAGCGCCTGCAGCGCCGCGGCGTTGCCCATGCTCGACGAGTCGTGCTCGCTGCCGTCGTCTTCGCCTCCGTAGAGCTTCTTGTGGTGGTTCACGGCGGCTGTGTATCCCAGGTGTTAGCATTGTTCACCTTTGTGATCCTCTCCCGGTAACCATCCTCTATCGATGTGGTCGTTGGGTAAGTGATTTGGGCAGGTCAGGACAGTTGCGTACCCTCCTCGTCGACGGGCTCGTTGGCCAGCTGGTTCTTCTTGCCCAGGAAGCTCCCGATCACAGAGGAGAAGATGTCCCCGTCGCCGCCTGCGTTGCGCTTGGCGTGCTCGGCGGCACCAGTGAAGTCGTCATCGTCATCGTCGAAGGGAACATGACCGCCGCGAGGGGGAACTGTGAAGATGGGAAGGTCGTGTTAGTCGAGTTGCTCCTCTCGCCGACAGGTGGACCGGGTAACACTTGCGCTGTCCACCACCTCCGCCTCCGCTGCCGCCATAGCTGCCGCCTGCGCGTGGCAATACATATCAGTAAGTGGAATAAGGGTCGTTACGAACATGGCGTCAGATCTTACTGCCGAATTCTGCGATGTCACCCGGCGATTAGTTTGCAGTTCCAACAAAGCTAGGAGCCGTATGCATCGTGAAGCTTCCCCAAGCTCGAGGCTTGGCACGGCGCTTCACAGCGCGGGGTAGCTCTTGCGGGTGTGTCTGCTGCTGTACTCACCAGGCTGCTCGCCTCGACCTTCGTAAGACATTGTGATGTTGTGGTGGTTTGAGTGCTTGAACTCTATTTCCAAGATGGTAGGCACAAGACAAGATTATTGCAAAGATGCAGATGAGTCTTGCATAAAGTTCTGGGGCCAACAAATATCTCACCATATGTAGGCGACCGCAAAAGAGGGAGCCGTCGTCACTGACTGCCCACTGCCCCCCTTTTGGGCCTGCGTGTAGCTGGCTGGCTGTGCGCGGTGACGAAAGCGGGGCAAGCCAGGCTGCGCATGCCTGAAACTCAGACGGGTTGCAGGGTTGGTAACAGACCGCCAGACTAAATGCAGATCGCCCATGAGATCCCTGGTATCTCCCCATCCCATCACAGTCGACCAGATCCGACCTGGCTCGAGCTGTCTGACAGCAGCATGGGCCAGTCTCTATTTTGGTCTCCTCTGGAGGCCAATGAGGACTCATTACTGCAGGATGCTCGCGCGTGTGTGCAGAGTTCAGGCAAGTGGAGGGAGGAAGGGTGTGTGGGGGTGGCAGGTCTGAAGCTCGCCCGAGCTCTTGTCCCTGGTGTTGATTTGCTGTTGCAAGCGACTCCCTCTTGCATGGTCGCATGAAGAGTTTCAACAGCTCATGCGAAGGTGGAATTCCATGCTCGGCAGCATGAGTATCTGGCAGGATTCCCGACAATGTAAAGGATCAAGTCTTGGTTTACCCGCTAAGCACATGATTGAGAGCGTTGGGTCAAGCTTCTCAATGAGGAATCTGGCTAGTGCCAGGATGCATCAGATCAGACTCTTTACATCTTACGAATGCATAGAGAACGATGGACGTCCTAGTGTTTTCTTATTGGTGTGCTGTTCGGCGGAAATTGTAATGTAGCTTGGATTTGAATAAGAATATAGAAGGACCGAGTGTCCTGTTATTCATGCAACCGCCGAGACGGCCGAGTGTTGAAGAGGAGGATAGTTTGAAAGTTTATACATACACATAACTACCCCAGGGTAGATAGACTAAGTCCTTCCAACTGCTAAAGAGCCAGTCTATAAATGAGAAATCGATAAGGCTCATACAAGTTGATTTCTGAACGTATCTCGTCAGACAAATATCCAGACTGCACCCGATATCCTGTGTGATTGTCTGGGGTCCCCAGAATCAACATCACCAGCACTACCACCACCAACATCATTCGCTACCAAGACAGGGCAAAAGTTGACTCTTCCCAACCGGCCAAACACCTCGAAGAATCGTCACGACAATATTCAACCCTTCCCAGAAAGTGGCAGACCTAGTCGGTGCCCAAACTCCTCGGGCTGTTCCCAAGAGGGGTACGTCTAGCTCGTCGTTTTGGAGATGGACAGCATGGCCCTGCCATCTCGGCGGTATCTGTACGCTCACCCTCCCAAGCTGAGCTCGTGTATGCATGCGAGTGCGCCTCAATGACCGGCCATTGGCGTATATTCGCTCTTCGACGCCCCGTCTGCACCCTTTCACAGCCGACAAGTCTCGGAATTGCCCCGCCCTGTAGCACAACAACATCAATAAACACCGCAATCTCTGTGCCGCCGTCACATTATCCAGCCGGTATGCCACAGGACCTATGCATCTTTCCCCACGAAAGGATCCGTGGCTTCGTGAATTTCGTACCCCGATCTCAGGGTTACCGCACACCCAAAATAAAACGCCGTCCGCGAGGATCTATCCGTAGTGGTGAATTTTGCTATCGAAGTAGCAGGTTCCCAAGAACGCCGGTAAGGGACTACAATGATATGTATGTCTGCACGTGGGCCAGGCCAGTCCGAGGAGGGCGCAGCCCGAAGAAGAATAAGTAAGACAGGAGGACCTGTCGAGACAGAGTGGGATAATGGAGCCCGTGAGCTGTCGTTGTCGCGGTTCCATTACGACTGAGTGTGATCTAGCAAGGGCACACTCCCTCCCATGCTGTGACTGCCACCGCCCCCACCTGCTGGACCGGAGGTGCTCTTCTTCTTCTCCTTCTTGGCCCATCGGAGGCCGCAGGCATTGCACAGTGTCTTGGGGCCACTGGGTCCTTTGCGCCACTCGGGGGAGTCGAGAGTGCCTAAATTAGCATGTCAGAGACAGTATCCGGACAACTACAGCTTTCCAATTACGCCTCGCAAACTCACCGCAGTCTGTGCAGACGTATTCCTCAGCAACCTTGAGCTTCTTCTTCTTTTCGCCGGTGCGTGGGTCTCTGTCCATGGGTATTGCTATACCGGCATCGCCTTTGATGAGTGTCGGGCTCGCGTTACCTGTCGTGATGCCCCTACTTCTCTCGCCCTCGTTATAGCGCAAGCCGGTGAGCCTCTCTATATTTGTGTCGCCGTGAGTGCCTTCGTACCGGGCCATCTTGTCCCTGATGGAGTCTGGCCGGTTGCCTGCTGTGACGCCCTCGAGATTCTCCCTGGTCAGGGCTATGTTTAGTGGGTTTGGCCTCTCAGGCGGGGGCATTGCTGCTGCGTCCGAGCTGGAGCGGTAGAAACTGGGGCTCTGCCCCATGGGCGTCATGTTGGTAGCTTCGGATGGTGTCATGTCTCCTCGGCTGTCCTGGCTCTGGCGCCAGCTGCGGGCGGCCTCCTCAGTCTCCGCCTCCTCCTCCCTGCGCAGCTCCGCTATCCTTCTTCTGAGTCGCTCGTTCTCTATCTTGTGTTCGAGGAAGGAATCGAGGAGCGTAGCATTCTCCTGCTGTTGGTAGGCACGCGCCATGAAGAACACAGCTTGGCAGAAGGCTGACTGGTTGTTCGGATTGGCTGCAAACCTGGCTGCAGCTATATGTGCGTGACCAACGGACTCGAAGATCTCGTAGTTGCCATCTTTCTTTTTTAGCCTGTGAAATAGCCTCATCTGGCTGCCCGACGCGATTGCCTCGTTCAATTCAGTGAGCAGGAGGCCTTGGTCGTCTGCATGTGTGAAGTCCTTGAGGAACTTCTCGAGAATATCGTCCGGCAGATAGCCAGTCAAGGCCGTAACGCTTGGGGAGACGTGTTTGACCCGACCGTCGGCGTCTAGGATCATCAGTAGGTCCTTGAGCTCCTCGACGACCTTGGCCGGCCAATTCCTCCTCTTGGTGAACTCGGTCAAGGTCGAGCCGCTGGGCATCTGCGTGGATGGGGTCATGGCAAAGCTGGTCATGGGCTGAGGGCCGGCTCCAGGGCCAGTCTCTTCGGAAGGGGATTGTTGGTAGTTCTGTAAGCTCAGAGGGCCGGCGCCGAGGCCGTTTTGCTGGGCCAAGGACCCGTGTTGTGGGCTGGTGGCCCCACCCATAAGCTGGGGGTTGAAGGTGGTCGACATGCCCAGGCCTGCGTCGTCAGACTGATCCATGCTCATGGACATGCTCGTGTCGAGGTTGAACATGAAGTTGTCGTGGAGCGCCATCATGTCTTGGCCGTCGGTCATCTGCAGGTCAGAAGAGACCCAGGGTCAGCCAAACATTGAACGGTTAGAAAGCGTGAAGGCGAACGTGAACAGAAGCGCTGGCGCGGGCGCGGGCGCAGGCGTGCAAGTGGAAATGGGAGTGAGGGAGACCCCCTGGTCCCAAGCCGGTGATTGCCCGCTGCAGCTGCAAGCTGCAAGGACGATGCGCCCAAAGCACACAAGCTGAACAAGCAGCCAAGGTCGAGGTCGGTGTGAGTGGCTGCTTGCTGCTCGTGCACAGCAAAAGCAACAGGCAGAGAGTTCAGAGAAGTGACAGTGACAGTGAGGAGTGGGGCAGCTGATCTGAGCTTGCGAATGGAATGATGGAGCCAAATACATACCCCGATTCCGTTCATGTCTTGCATGCCAAAATTGCCAAAGTCGAACATGTTGTTGGACGCAGGCCCCGGGGGAGGCTGCGGGGGCCCTTGAGACATCGCGGTCCAGCACCTGGCCTGGTCTACCTAGAACCTAGATATTTCGGGTCTAGGGAGCGGGGATCTCGTCCGGACATGTATAGTGGCATGTATATCGTCGATGTCGACAGGCGCTGAGCCCGCGGCTGCAGCATCTGAGGTTGTCCTTGCCCTTGCCCTCCTGTCTGGTTGAGCGCGGAGGGTGCGAGCAGCGTGCAGCGAGCAGCAGATGGCAGATGGCAGAGCAGCCCTGAGGGCGCTGAGTCGCGGTGTTTCTTCAGGGCGTTTCCCACAAACCTGGCAGGGCCACATCAAGGAGCAGCCAACAGCCTGCACCCAGGAGCCAGAAGCCAGGAGCCAGAAGCGAGACGGCCGGGAATAGACAGGCACAGATATGTAACTGGTGCTTGCTGGTGCAGGGCTTGGGAACGGGCCTGCAGGTGGGCATGCGGTCGTGGCTCGGGATAAGTGCTCGGGATAGACTATGGTCGAGGTGAAGTGCCCAGGTGTGGTGGCCTTGCGAGCAACCTTTTTTCTTGCATACATGGACTAGACAGACTAGCAGTCTCCTTATATTATGTAAAACAGACAACCTTGTGGAAGCCGGGCCAAGTGGACGGGGACAGCCGCCAGAAAAGATTGCAGAGGCTTCGGAGCGGCGCATGTGGTCCCCTAATGAGACATGGTGCTATCCACGGTATCCATGGCGGCTGCGCTGGTACAGGCGGTCGGGAGGTGTGTGCGGGTTGGGCAGGCGGGCAACAAGGGCAAGGAGAAGCTGGGCTTTGCTGGGAGCTGGGAGCTGGGAGCTGATCGGAAGGGGGGGAGGGGGGATGGTAGGAGGGGAGGAGGGGACATGGGATTTCTAGCCGCAGGAATGGGGAATTGCAAAATCCAGTCCCAGGCCTGCAGGTCCGCGAGATCCCCACTAAAAAGCTGCCCAAGGCCTGAGCATTAAGCATTCTAGACTCGGTGCTCGATTCATGTGAAGACGATCAGATCAAATGGCAGCCAACGCTCTACCCGAGGAGACCACGCTGGTTGATAAGTCTTGTTTCATGGCTGGAGAACTCAGACGGTGATCGTTATGGTATCTTCCCTTCTGCCTTCTCGAGACCACATCACAAGCAGCCCAGTCACTGACTAGACTAATACTATATCATATCTACTCACCAACGCCTCGGCTGTCTGCCGGATTCCCACGGTCCTTTGTCATAAGAACATCGATCAAGCTGTCGGCTCGGAGTCACACAACCCTCCTTCCAGCCCCGGTAGACAGATCTCGGCTGACAAAAGGGACGAACGAAACCAACACGCCTCACACCTGTCATGGCCCCTGCGACTGCGACTGCGGAACAAAGTCTGCTCAAAGAGTGAACCCCAGATGGTGCTGTGCTACCTTATCGTCCGACCAAGCTGTCTCGAAGCCCGGGACTGTGGGGACTATCTTGGACCCTGACTTTTGGGGAAGCCACCGATCTTAGCCTCTGTTCCCCTTCTCGACCCTTGGCTTCAAAGGCAGCTAGCTGCACGGTATTTAGTGACTAACTGATTGATATTGACGTGCTACCGCAACTGGGGGTCCGTCAGTGTGCGTCGGTTTCTCTACCGCGAAGGAAACTTCAAGTCCGGAGCTGAACATGTAGCCGTCATCAAACAATGGGTCTCGGACCAAAAGCTCCGGTCACCGCTTGGATTGTTGGCATTGAGCCGTAGCTTCAAACCTTGCCCACCTCGAAATTCGTACTCGTTGCCGAGTTCTTTGCTCAGTCAAAGGCACTACTCGAGTCAAACAGTCTGACAGTTCAATGCAACGAAAGCAAAGACCACAATAAGCGACGCAACCTCGAGCGAAAAAGAAGACTGCCGACTTGAACCGTGTCTCTTCTGTCTCTCGGCTATTTTGGCACCTATCGCTTGGGGAGAGCAACATTTGTGACGTCTCCCTACCGTAGCCCAACCACAGGCCGAAGTCCTCTCGTGATTGTCAATGTAAATCTACCTACATCCGTCGAGTGCTGTCCACTTCCAACAAGTTCTCGCGTGGAGACACATGACAAGTTTGGTTAGTTTGGGTGCTTTGCTCGAAGCTACCGAGTCCAAAATCGTGCGTGAGTGCTGAGTGCTCAGTCTCTGTGTGATCGTTTCTTCTCGTCTACTCGAATATGTTGCATTGTCATCTCATCTCCACGGGATATTCCTTGTGCTCAGTAGCAATCACCTATGCGCCAAACAGCGGCAATAGTTGAGCTCTAAATGTGCTTCGCTCAGAAGTTTTCACAGAGCAAGAGGGGTCCTAAAACAGACACCCAGGCAGCAGCCCCAGCTTGCCCAGCTGCCCAGCTGACCTGGCGTTGGGCCCCACTTTTACCAGATGCTGCCAGACGCGCCTGCCTTGACTTTAATTGACACGGGCACGCGTTTGCCTTCACTGACCTGACAGAATCTTGATGTCTTCAGCAAGCAAATCCCAGCAGACACAAGAGTCATCTCCCTTCCACTGTCTACCATCTACTCTCCGCTATCTGCGGTCATCCATCCCATCGACTCTTCACCTGAGACAAGCAATTGCAAGATCCGTGGCTGCTCACATGAGCATCGCCAACTCTCCCTTGACAAGATGTCGCGCATCGAGGGAATGACTGTCCAGGGAATCCGTTCCTTTGGTCCCCTGGTCCGTGAACAGATCACCCTCAATACCCCGCTGACCTTGATCGTCGGGTACAATGGCTCGGGCAAGACAACCATCATTGAGTGTCTCAAGTATGCCACAACCGGCGACCTGCCACCCAACAGCAAAGGTGGTGCCTTCGTGTACGATCCCAAACTTCACACCAACAAAGAAGTCCCAGCTTCTGTGGTCCTCAAGTTCAAGGGCACGGATGGGACGAGATATATCGTCAACCGCCATCTCAAAGTCACCTTGATGAAGACTGGGAACCGCAAATTCCAAACCCTTGAGACCTCGATCAAAGAGGTCCTTCCCAATGGAGAAAAAAACACCAAGTCGTCCAACGTTGGACAGGTCGATGAGATGGTGCCCAACCGCCTAGGTGTAGCACCTGCCATCCTTGACTCGGTCATCTTTTGCCACCAGGACGAGTCGCTCTGGCCCATGAGCGAGCCATCAGCCCTCAAGAAGAAATTTGACGAGATATTTGAGGCCCAAAAGTACACCAAAGCCATTGAACAACTAAAAGTGGTTCGGAAAAAACAGGCCGAGGAGCTTCGTAAACTCCAGGTCCATCACAAGCACAACGAGGAGAACAAAGACAAGGGCCAGAAGAACCAGAAATTGTGCCAGCAGCTGACTGATGAAATTGAGAAATGCCGCGAGAGGGTGAGTGCCATCGACAAAGAAGTGAACGAACTTCGGCAAGAAGAGAGAGCGTCCCGCGAGGAGGCCAACGAGTTCCTGAGTATCATGAACGACCTTAAATACAACATGGACCAGTTTCAGTTTAGGCAGAGCAATGTCGACGAGCTTCGCGAATCTATTCAGATGATGAACGAGGACGACGATGAGCTTCGGAGAGCACTCGATCAGTACGGGACCCGACTTGAGCGACTGCAAACTGACATCGACCAAAACTCGTCGGATTACCGAAGCTTACAGGACGAGGTCAGCAAAACTGAGAACAATCTAAATACGAAGCTCGGCGAAAAGGGTAGGCTTCAGTCGGACAAGGACAAGTACGAACGCCAGCTGCAAACTCGCGTTGAAATGATCCAGGCAGCAGCGCATGCCCATGAGATACGAGGGTTTGATGGTGACTTGGATGACGTCCAAGTTCGACTTTTTAATGAAAAGATCCACGGAATCTTCAACAGCAAGAAGAAGGAGCACGAGCAGTTGCAAAGTCGGATCTCGCGCGAGGCGGATACGGCGAATAGAGGCATCTCAGAGCTAGAAAACACGAAAAATGCCAAGACCTCCGAGAGGACATTTGCGAAACAGAAAAAAGCCGAAAATGATCGCAAGGTCAAGCGTCTTCAGACAGACGTGGACTCGGTGAAGTGTGACGAGGTTCTCATCGATCGTCTTGAAAGTGACAAGACGTTGCTGAACGATCGCTACCAACAAGCCCAGGCGGGACTTGTAAGCAATGACTTCGATGAGAAGATACGAGAGACGCAGAAGGAACTGCGCGAGCTGGAGCAGCAGGGCGACGACCTAAACAGCGAGCTTGTCAACTGTACCCGGCTTGCCTCTGAGCTGGCTCAATTGGATCTACGCAAGACAGAAGCCCGAGACCGTGAGGCAAGCCTGAATAATTTGACCACGCGGTGGAGCAAGATGCTCGGTGAACAGGTGCGACCTGACTGGAAATTGGAGTCCCTCGATGCCGATTTCAGGGCCAAATTGAGCGAGAAGACTGCTGCTCTAGACAAAGAGAAGGATGCATGTGACCAGTTGCAGCAGAAACTGAAGCAAGTGGATTACAAGCTCTCTGAAGCCAGCAAGCAGCATCAGAAGTTAACGGATAACAAGGCGGTCAGTGAAGCAGCTGTTCTGGATGTTCTCAAAGAAACGGTGGAAGATCCATCAGCAGTCACAATTGATGCATACAACGACGAACTGGAAGATCTGGAGACAACGAAAATGGAACTCGAGAAGGATTTGAGTTTGTTTGATCATATGAAGCTGTACTGGACCCAGGCGCAGACTTGTTTGCAAACGAAGAACAAGTGCCACATGTGCGATCGTCCCTTTGACGAGGACCGCTCCAAATCGAAACTTGTGGCAAAGATTAACAAACATCTCAACGATGAATCAAAGGCCGAGTTGGAGCAAGAATTTCGTGATGCTGATAAGAAGTTGGACCGTTTGCGGGAGGTTCGCCCAAAACACGATACTCTCTTGCGGCTTGCGAAAGAGTTGCCGGCAAGTGAGAAGGCGATTGACGAAGCCAGGAGGGAGAGGGACGACGTCTTGGGAAAGCTCGAGGTGGCAGACAAGCACCGAAGGGAAGCAAGCGAGAAGATGGAAGGGCTACAGTCGGTCTCTAGCGTCGTTTCTGAAATCACGCAGCTGGCCAAGGCAATCACGGATGCAAAGGAGCAGATCGAACATTTGGAAAGATCCCAGAAGCAGTCCGGCGGATCGACACGTACCCCCGGAGAGGTGGACGAAGCACGGGCGATCTGCACAGAAGAGACGCGGAAAGTCAAGAAGCGACTCGACAACCTGACTGCAGACAGGCAACGAAGCCGCGACCTCGTCAGCAACCTCGAACTAGAGAGCAGTAAGCTTGATGGCAAGCTTGCTCAAGCGAGACAGCTTATGGACAAAAAGCAGAGCTTATCTAGTGACCTCAAGTCATTGAAGGAGGACAACCAGGCGCAGGATGCGAAGATTTCCGAAATTGATGCGCAGCTCATTGAGCTCCAACCCAAAATCGATGCCGCGAGAGCGCAGCGTGACGACGCTCTTGCAACTGGGCGCAGGAAGGCAGAAAAGGTAGCCGAGGAACGTGATACCGTTGCACGCACCCTCAATCAACTGAAGATCATTGAGGATGACATCCAAGCCTATGCGGACCGCGGCGGGGAGTCCAATCTGGCCTCGGTTGAGAGATCCATCCAGGGTCTCCAGCAACTGCTCACTCGACAGAAAGGCGAGATGGAAGAACTCATGAAACGCATCAATTCGCAGAAGGAGGAGCTGTCACAAGGCGATTGGAATAAGAAGAATATCAGGGACAACCTCAAGTTCCGAGAGAACTGCCTTCTCCTCGAAAAGTTGAAGGAGAAAATCGAACGTTTGAAGTCCGAAGACGCGGAGAAGGACTACGACCGCCTCATTACTCAAGCCAAGAAACTTGACCGCGACATCAGTGTTCTCACAGCCGAAAGGAGCGAAGTGATTGGTCAGAGCAGGGCCACGGACAACGACTTAAAGCGGCAGATTGAACTCTACGAACAAGAATACAGGGACGCCGAGGACAAATTCAGAGAATCCAGTATTCAGATGATGGCTACCAAGGGTGCCATTGCCGATCTGGCCACATTTGGCGACTCGCTGGACAAGGCCATCATGCAGTACCACTCGATCAAGATGGAGGAAATCAACCGCATCGCGAGTGATCTGTGGCGCGCGACGTACCAAGGCACTGACATCGACACGATCGCCATCCGCTCGGAGAACGAGAACGCGTCATCGACTGGCACGCGGCGAAACTACAACTACCGCGTCATCATGGTCAAGCAGGACACAGAGATGGACATGCGCGGCCGCTGCTCGGCGGGACAGAAGGTGCTGGCCAGCATCATCATCCGGCTGGCGCTGGCCGAGTCGTTCGGCGTCAACTGCGGACTGATCGCGCTGGACGAGCCCACGACCAATCTGGACAGCGACAACATCAGGTCGCTGGCCCAGAGCCTGCACGGCATCATCAAGGCGCGCCAGGCGCAGGCCAACTTTCAACTCGTCGTCATCACGCACGACGAGGAGTTCTTGCGCCACATGCGGTGCTCCGACTTCTGCGACTCATTCTTCCGAGTCAAGCGTGACGAGAACCAGTGCAGTACGATCAAGAAGGAGAATATATCAATGATTACGGACTAGAGCATGCTGTCTCTCCATCCGGTGGGCGACAGTTGCGTGAAGATGAGCCTGGAGTTGGGATGTCTAAATTGAGGGCAAGGTTGGCGTTTTGGCATTGGATCGCATTTACAATGAGCTTTGTTTGCTGCGTACATAGCATGATGGATGAGTGAAGAGCTTCGAGTCAGGGATTTAGACGGCCTTCACGTGGCAGACGTCAGAATTTCTCCTTGTAATGTGTCATTGAGAATGACAACAACATATTTCATGAGAATGCCTCGCTACGGTGCCGTGTTCCCCTTTGGAAGCCCCACTGGATCAACCCACTGAGTGACTGACCTCGTCCATGAATCGTGATGCAATAACCCACGCCTCAAATGAGCGTGTCCTTGGGAACTTGACCGACTCCTCATGACGTGTCCCAGATCAGATTAGATCAGATCACACTCTCCTCGGGCCCATTGTCCTTCTTCCTCTTCCTTCTCCCCCTTCTCTGGTTCATCTGTGTGGTCATCATCGTCATAATCAACAACATCACTAGTCCCCTGAACGCCCCTCCTCTCTTTCTTCGGGCTGGGACGCATAGGCATGCGATCAACCCAATGCTGCCCGGCGCCCTCCTAGGCCGCCGGGTCCTCGCTGGTTTCCGTGGTGCTCTCATGTTTCTCTGCCTCCTTTTCCTCCGTCGTGGTGGCGCCGGTATCTTCGCCGGCTGATTGTGCCTGGTCCGGAAGTTCGACGTCCTTGTCCTTGCCCTCCTTGTCCTGCGCCCCGTCCTTGTTCGCCGGCTTCTTTTCCTCAGCCGCCTCCTCCACCTCGGGCTTGGGATCCTCAGCATCACCACTGTCCTCCTTCAGCCGCTTGCTGCTCACCGACTCGGCGTCCGCGTCGTCATCTGCGCCGCGCTTCGAGGACGGCGTTGGGCTCACCCGCGCCGACAGCGTGGCAGACGAGGGGGCAGTATCCATCTCGTCGCCCCCGGGCTCCTTCTCCGCGACCTTGCCCTCGTTGCTCGCCTTCTCGGCCTTCGCCTCCTCGCCCTCGGACGACGCGGGCGTCATGACCGCGCCGTCATCGCTTGAGTCCGGCGCCGAGTCCGTGGTGGCGGGCGCCTCGTGCTTGCGGCCCACGGCGGCCTCGACGTCGATGCCGCGGACCTCCATGTTCCCGCCGGAGCTGAGGCTGAAGGTGCTCGACGACGGCGCCTGCGGGCCCATGTCGGCGGCGCCGATGATGTCTGGCCCGCGGGCGTGGGGCGCCTCCTCCTCGTCGGGCATCTCCTCGTCCGACTTGTCGCTGCTTGTGTCCTTGGACGGGTCTCCCTCTCCCATCGCAGTGTCGTTGTCGGTGGCGTCTGCTGGAGGGCTACCGTCGGCCGCGGTAGCTGTCGAGGCGTCCGACGACGAGGTAACGACGACCGGCCCTGACCGCTGCAGCTGGCTGACTGGCACCACCCCGGCCCTCTGTTCCTGGCGGATAAGCTCACCCTGCGTGATGACGCGCTGCTGCGCGGCCGAGCCCATTGGGGGGATGCCGTTGATAGAGATGGAGACCGTCTCGATGCTCCCGACGCCGTTGGGCCCGTCTATCGTCTCTGTGCTCTCGGTGCGGGTCTCGAACTGCCGCGATGACTGCTGTGAGCTCCTCTGCGACGCTCCCGGGCCCTGGTTTGCCGCCAGGGGTGACGGCCCGCCCTCGGAGCCCAGCGTGGACGACTCCCCGGACTCGGATCCTCCGTCTCCGTCACGATTCCCGCTTGACCGCCTCTGAAGCCATGGGATGGGTGTCAGCAGCGCCCCGCCCAGGGCCTCATCGCTGCCAATGGCGTTCCCGTTGCTCGTGCTGACCCAGGCCATGGACGTGTCGGATCCGTTCTCCTGCGGCTGGCCCTGGTCCATCACTCCATTCGGGCCACCCAGCGACATGGACGACATGTCTGGGATGGCAGGCGGCAAGGGATAGCTATTGTTGCCACTGGTAACGTGAACAACCCTGTCCACAGCGTGCAAGTATGACGGCAGCGACTTGTAGTGCTGCCTCGGCTGGAGCACCAGCTCTGCGAGCCGCTGAATGGTATGGGGTGGGTATGTGTGGAAGGACTCGTTCAGGACGCCGTTGATCTCGGCGATCATGGCGACGATCTGCGGCGGGAGCGTGCCGGGCTCCGAGGCTGATGTATTTGCTGCGGCGGCAGCTGCGGGAGTGGAAGTGGGCGCCGGGGCGGAGGTGGGTGGTGTCGGGGCGGCATTCTCCTTGTTGGTCTCTTGGGATGAGTCTGCCGAGCTGGCGGCCTCGTTGGGGGCTGATGATTGCGGTGGTTCGAGGGCGTCGGAGGAGGGGAGAGGGGCGAGAAAGCGTGGTTCCTGGGGAGAGGGAGCTACTGGTGAGGCTGGTTCGGGGATTCGTGGGATGGGGAAGTCGTTGTTTGCGATCTGGATCAGGTAGTCGATGTCAGTGTCGAAGACTACTGGCTAATACAGTATTGGCATGTTCTCCTGGGTACTGGCTATACCTTGTCAAGACGCGATATAATGGTGCTGAGCAAGAGCGGCCATGTTGAGCTGCGAAAGTGGGCACATGTCAGTAAAGAAGCCATGGCGGCTGGAAGGGGGAGCTATCGCGACCGCTCCGGGAGCGGCCTGACTTACTAGTCCATGGAGTTGCCAGCTGCGAGGCTGCGCAAGGTGTCGTCGTCGGATTCAATTTCCATGATGGCTGCCAGCGCAACGCGTGCTTACTTGATCGCTGGGGTGGAGACGTGGCGGGCGAAATGGGCGGTGGTTGTCGCGCCTCGCTTCGGTTCAGCCTCGCGCGCTGTGGGAAAAGCTGCAGTGCGATGCGATGCGACCTTGGATGCGATGGGGCCGTCTGATAGGGTGTCGGCCTGCTGCTGCTAGCGTGCTGCTGCGTGGTGGGCAGCCCACGCCGTTAGCGCCCCGGCTCAGGCTTTAGGCCCCACGCTCCCTGCGGATCGACCCCAGGTTTCGATTCAATTCAAGCTTCCATGTGGATATTCGTCTACTCTTACCTCCTCTCGCCAGAGCCAGACTATGTACCGTTGGGCTTTTACATATGGGTCCTCTATAGTGCACAAGTTAATGAAAGACATCATAGCTGGCTTCCAGAATGGGAATGCAGTCTTCATTTGGGGCTCGCATCCGGAAAAACAGGCTCATCTCCTTGCTTGTGGAGCTCAATATTGTGGCTCCAGCTGACGACGGCAGGACGTGTACCGCCCAATACTTCTAGAAGGTTGCCTCTGCGGGAATGACTAGCCAGCAGTAAAGCATGTTCTGCTGGTAAATGAACGAGCCTGATACTTCAGCATAAGTTCATCATTGGCCAACAAGCTTTACGCGTACCTCACGCCCAATTCCAATATACGAAGATCCAGTACCGGGTCCAGGTCCAGGTCTATGCCCCAGCAATTCCAATTTGCTGAGGCCCATCTGAACTGACAGGTAGTTAGTTGTCTACGGATCGCTTCTCAGGGCCAGCCTCGTCTTTGTGACAGACAGGCTCAGTTCAGCCTAGCACTGGAGATCCAGTCCGCAAAGCATATACTTTGTTTCAACCCGCATGAGAGACTGTTCGAACTGGCACTTGTCAAAATCTAGGGACCTGCGGGAGCTACGCTCTTGCAATCCACAGGTTCGCCTGCCCTGCCGACTCATACGTCCATGCCCGAGGCTGGGGCTCGGATGCCGGAGGTGCGACAGTGAGCTCCATCGGATGATATGAGGCAGCTAAGCCCAGAGGCCTCACGACCTAAGAACAGGATGAACTAAGATGAGATGTCGATGAGCACCGAGTCGCGAGTCGAGATCGTAATCACGACCTGGGGCGGGTGGTACAGAGTACGTGGTTGTGCAGTGACCATCTCAAGAGCTTTACCCGTCGTCCCTCATACGTATCTGCAGCTCAGCTATCTGCATGAAGTGTTTCCTGTGTGTCGTTTGGTTTTCATGCATTCAAGCGTTATCGCGGTGCATGCCTCGAATGGTCGTCAAAATGGTCGTCGCGATAAAGTTTGGTAGGATCGGCACCCCCCCCCCCCCCAGCCTGTCCAACCTGCCGCCTGCCAACACGTCCAGCGCTACTGCAGCAGCGCCGTCATCAGGATCGGCGCCTTGCAGGTCGTGTTGGAATGCAACTGCTATTTTTATCGGCGCCCGCTGTCTCCCGCCTTTCGCCCTGACACCACCCTTCGATGCTGAGACAGCCAACCGCGTATACGGTTGTGATCATCAAGATCTTGACAGCCCTCAAGTATGCCCAGTGTTGTTATCACGCCAGCACGCGCAGCAACTGGGCAGCCTTGGGCGGGAAGGAGGCACGCCAGAAGCCGCCGCCCCTGACTGCGGTTCTGGCGCTGCGGATGATTCAGCTTCCGTAGAGTTTGGCTGGAACCGAGAGGGGGCCGCAGGCAAATCCAAAATTCGGACGAACGAGGCGCTGGGCCTGGTTTTGGAGTTAGGCTCTGCGCGGCACTTCTGTGCGCATGCCATCTGGTTGATAGGGTCTCATCCAGGGGGCCGGGCGGTGGGTGGCTGTTGTGTGCGATGTATCTGTACGCAATATCCGTATACGACAAGACAAATACGGCTCGGTCTGGGGATGGTCCCAGGGCTGGATTAGAGGATATTCTCGATGACGTTGTCAGCCTCGGCGTCAGTTCGGTAGGACCATTTCCAAGGAGAGGAAGAGCAAGATGACGGCAGATTTATGCAGTACTGTGTGTATGGTTCGCAGGACCACGCAGCAAGGCACGAAGAGAGATTGGTTGAAGCGGAAACGGCAGTGCTCCAGGGTCCCCAAGGCATCCAAGGCTGTCATGGAAAATGCCCTGAAAGCACCGGGTCACGGTCGGGATCTCCCTGGTCGTCGTCGGCGTGGCTGTGAGGCCAAACCTCCGATCTGATGGGGCCCGTGGAGCCCGCCGTTGCGCAACCAAGGACTGCACGCCAGCATGTCCTCGATGATAGTGTCAGCCCCTGGGGCCCTTGCATCGAGGGCCCATCGAGCTGCTGGACTCAGTGGCATCACGGGTGTTCGGCAGTCGCTCATGCCTGCGCTCACTAACATCAGTACAATCATCCGATCCTGTCTGTCTGCAGCCTACACCCCGATTGATCAGTGCAGCACGACGAGCACGTACCCTCCTAGGCGATTCTGGCTGGATTTATCAAGACCACTTTGCTTAAATAGTCTACTTTTACTCCTATCCTTATATAAATATAAAACAAGTTTAAATAATTTAAAAAAAATACTATATTACTAGAAGTATAAATATAATAATAATAAGAAATAAAATATATATTTTAAATAAAACTTTAATTTATAATTTTATATTTTTATCTTAATTATAACTCTTTTATTTTCTAGAAATTAAAATAATGTTACTATACTTTTTACCCGTCTATGTCAGTGTCTGACTAAGTCTACGCCAAGGCACCGGGCTCGTGTGAATATAACTTATCGCACAATATCCAATTAGAACTTGATGCACATATTGTTAGGCTTTGACCAAATGTTTCTGAAGCTTCCATGTGACGCATGGCTGTCGCTTATGGGGAAAGCAAGTATGTGAGTACGGTGTTCTTGACGGTGAAGCAGGCATCGATGGCCTTAGGTAGGGGACAAAGCCATTCTCACTTGTACAACAATTCCTGAGTGCATTACTGTGACAGTCTGACCAGATGGGCCGAATTCTGTGATACTCCGCAGCATTCAAACTGCAAAACGTCGGCCACATGAGCTGCCTCGCTGAGGTCATCGATGTGAACGTCTAGGACTATAGGGACAAGGGCGGCATCTTCTTAGTGGTCGCTTGCTGGTAAGTCCGAGGTCAAGTTGCTGGTTTCTCAGAAAGGGACTGTTACTTTCATGATGGTGGACACACCCAAGTTAGTGGTTTTGCTCTACACGTATCCAGAAGGTTGTGACCTAGACGTATACCTTGTTTGAGGCTGACGGAATGGCGTTTAGATTAAATTAACTCACTGTCATTAACCAGTCTAGTCTCATGGTATCACAAATCTAGTCCACTGAGATCTTTTGGGATAGCATTTGTTAAATTATACGAGGCCTAAGACTTCATTTCAGCCAATCCACACAGCGTCTTACGATCCCTAGTTAAAGTGCATCGCTATTTCTGTACGTCTTGCCGCTTCAGAGGTGCATGCTGAAGTTGGCTAGCAGCAGACGAGACAGACTTGTCCGAGAAGTCCCCAGGGAGCCGATTACCTGCGACAAGTCCGAACTCGTTCAAAATCATCGCCTCATGGTGTGGGGCCTTGCTGTGAAAGTCGTGATCCATGTCTCGTACTATGATTTGTTATGTCTTGGCTCTCATCTCCTGATGCAAAAGGTGCAGTACCATTTCTTGGCCCATCTACGAATTGGGAGTAGGCATGTTGGCTTCGAACGATTTGTACTTCCTCACGGGTGGAGACAGCTTGGCAGACACGAGTCGCTTACAGATCCTGTTGACCCTTAATGATTAATACCCTCGCATTTGAGAAGTTATAGTAGTTCCTGCATTCAAGTATCACCGTTGCGAACTAGGGGACAGCTCCGCAGTATTGCATTTCTACTATTAGAGTGTACAATCATTCGCAAATATCAACGGGAAGTCATTATACTTAGGTGTAAAATTAGACAGACCAAGGCCATGTAAAGAAGACTCAAATTGTCTCAAGACACGAGTAGATATCAACATTGAGTTCTATACTTAATGGATGGCAGCAGTCAGTGACTTTGACAGAAGTTCCATCGGAGAAGATAGCCTTTCTCAGGTCCGGCCTGCAGTCCGAAGAAATCTCAAAATGGATGGACTCAGGTGCTGGAGGTAATCGGGCTCTACGACGAGGCGAGCGTCACCTGCATCAGGGAAACCGAATTGAGAAATGCAAATCCTTCACCGCATAGTCGAACATCTGACAATAGACAACTTATTAGGAGTGAGTCCGATCACTGAAGATGAATGCTACCGTTACCAGCCTGCAGCTAAATAGTCACTTAAATAATAAATGCATGTATAGATGCTGACAGTCGGACTTTGGAAAAATGAACTGAATACAAGAAGGCAGAGATCTACTTCAGCAAGATCCAGGCTCAAACTTTCCATCCAAAGTCAAGCCCTTTCATCAAACCCACGTAGTTCTTACCTCTTCCTTTGCGTAATCAACAATTCGCTATACACAGACAATGACTTGATTGGGATAAGTTAATGTCAATTTTCGAATTCTTTTTCGAATATGTTCCTTACTGTCATTGTAATTGTCTGTCTACCTCAGAGCTTCTTAATTCCATGGAACCACTTTAAAGCTTCGGACTTTTCTAATCCCCGGGTAAATCCGATAACACTGCTTGAGTCGAGAAGATTTTATTTATTCGCCTTATTTAGCTAGTCAATCGGGACAATTTTGTCACCGATCTAATCATCTTGGCTGGCGTTGTTCAAAAGTGTTTCTTTCACATTGTTGAATCCGTCTGAGCTCGGCTTTATAAGCTGCCACTCAGACAGCCGCGCTAACTCCTATGCTGTCTGAACCGTCTAATACTCTTGCTACTAAGCTTGTATCTTGTCTTTGACAGCCCCAATTCATCATGGTGAATGTAGCAATCGCGGGTGGGACAGGTGCTGTCGGGCGCAGTCTCGTGGAGGCGATGGCTTCTCAGGAGACGCATCATGCGATGATTCTCACTCGCAAGGTATTTACCGAGTGGCCTGATGGCTCAGACATTGAGAAGTTGCTGATCTTCTCAGGGCTCAAACAAAGGCGAGAACGCACTTGCACCAGTATTCAATGTCGATTATAGTGACGTCGATGCTCTGAAGTCATTCTTGGAAGAGCACAATGTTCACACCGTCATTAGCGCTTTTGGCATCACCGCCACATCACTCGCGACCTCGCAGCTCAATCTCATCAAAGCTGCGGATGCGTCCAGCGTGACCAAACGATTCATCCCCAGTTCTTTTGCCATTCCTTATCCTGAAGAGTAAGTCGCATGGGAATCATTTCTTCCCCAACTCGCTGACTCTTCGAAGTGGTGTCGCCATCCTTCCGCCTTTGGAGCACTATTTCATCTCGCTCAAGGCTCTCGAGGAGACAAGCCTCGAATGGGCTGTTGTCCACAACGGCACCTTTCTCGACTACTTTGCACCTCCGGCTCTTAAGACATACCACCCCCACAGCGTTCTTGTGCTCGACATGGAGCACAATGCCGCAGGCATTCCAGGCGATGGTAACACCCTGGTGACCTTCACGTACACCATGGACGTTGCCCGGTTTGTCGTTGCCGCTGTGGATCTGGAAAAGTGGCCTCGCGAGCTGCGCATCATCGGCGACGAGCTGACGTTCAATGAGTTCGTGGCCATTGCGGAGGAGGTGAAGGGCGTCAAGTTTCACGTCGCGTATGACGATGTTAAGAAGCTGAAGGCATCGAAGGTCACGGAGCTACCTGGTCATGCGGCTTCGTATGACAAGTTCCCCAAGGAGCGGCTTCAGTGGTTCCTGGCCATTTTTGAGATGTGGATGGCCACGGGCCGTGGGCGTGTCCCGAGGGAGGGGATTCTGAATGAGATGTTCCCGGACATCAAGCCTCTGACCGCCAGGAAGATGCTCGAAGAATATTGGGCCCCCTCGAAATAGACATTGTAGTTCTCCCATCTTCCATGCCATATTACCAGCTCACCAGTTTAGCAATTAAGGCGCACATCTACCGTTGCACCAGCAGGTCGACCACAAGGTCCTAGCCGAGTATGTCAGGTCGAGCATCTTTTTTTATTAAAAAAGGGCTTAACGTGATAAAAGGTTTAAAGTTGAGAATTATTATCTATAGACTATTATTAAATGTAAACAATTATTTTATAAATTTATCAAATAATATTTAAAAAATAATATAAGTAAATTTCTTCTTAAAGGGGCACTTTTTATGCCTTCCTGAAACATTACTATATTTGGATATACTAAGAGTGTGGTGGGGGGTCGGAGTAGATCGAGAGACAGATGGGGGTCGCAGGAGCTGAATGATGCCCCACCTCTAATACATGCGCAAGGTGCTGCAAGGGCAAGGGACGTCGAGGGTAGAGACAGAGGCAAGCACGGCATGGTGTACGCAACACGCGATAGTCAAAGTACCCTTGCTCGATATTGGCTTGCATCGAAACGCTCCTCCTACCGACCCGTGGACAGATCGATGCTCGGTGCCAGGCTAGCATTCCAGAAGATCCCTACCCTCCACCTGTCCCAGTGCTCGGCGTGCCGCGATGCAACGGTACCTAGCCAGCCCAGCCAAAGCCCAGCCTGAGCCCAGCTTGCCATCGTCGTCACTGGCGAAACGGACCTGCTGTGCTGCGGCTGCGTGAAATCCCTGAGAGGGCCCCCTTAGCGTCACTTCTGTCACGCTCCCGTGTCCTCACTGCCTCACCCTCGCCCTCACCCTAACCTTCGCCCTCGTTCATCCTCCATCAACCCCTCGTCGACTTGTTTCACCTCTCCCTCTGTCGTCTGATCCCTTCTGATTCTTTCGGTTCAGTTCGCAAAGCTGGTCTGGTGTGTGTGCCATTGTTGTAGCACTGGATCGCGACACAAGCCATCTCTCTGTCCAAAGCTCGGATTGTGCAGCCAAGCATACGGTAGTACGGATCAGAAGTACCGAGTAGAGTACATCGAGTTCCACCGTACTACTCGCATTCACGCTCACCTGCATACACGGCAACAACCTCGCTCGCTGTGGGGAAAGGCCTGGATCCAGTGCCCCATTCTCCCCTTGTCTGTGGATTCGTGTGGGCAACCCCCCAATCTCAAATCTCCCTCTCTTCCTGCGCCTTGTACAGCCATTCTGCCCAGTCTGCCAGGTCTTGCGAGTCGAGAGTCGAGTCTGCCCTGGTCATCACACACTTGTCAGATTCGCGGTGCGTTTTGCTAGACTAAGGAAGTGCTCAGCCCTCGCAAGCCGCACGCTGAACCCTGGAGGGACCTGAGACTTGGGACTTTCCACCTGTGGCCGCCGCGCCGCTTTCCCATCCTCCACCAAGCCATCCTTGGACCTTGCACTTGGAGCCCACCACCCCCCAGCACACCCAGACACACTCTGCCTGCAACCCAACCGAGAAAAGGGCCAGGACTCGGCCCATCCATCAACCTCTCTCAATCGCCTTGTCCCCCGACTCGTCGCTCCGTGCTTTCTTTCCTCTCCGCTACTCATCATCATCAACCACCACCACGACCACGACCAACATCTCACCAGAGGCCCCAATCTCGACCCTTCTTCCACGTCCCCACCTCTCAGCCAGTCAGCCAGCGGCCACTTCTTCCAGCCCACCGACAATCGCGACGTATCCAATCGTGTCCTCCCAAAATTGTCATCGCCGCCGCAGCCACCACCACCAGTAGCCGTCCCGCCCGGATTCTAGGGCCTTCTCCGCACCTTCCCTTGTCTTGGCAGACCATTCAAAAGACATCGCTGCGGCTCCTTTGACTCCTCTGAAGGAGTCGACACGCCTGCCCGTCCTGGCGTTCCGGACTGAATCTCGGCGGAACCTCCTGCCCGCCGACCCAGGTTTTTCTCAGGCCTTTCAAGAAGGAGGATATTATCACAGAGAGGGCATCGCCCCTTCAAGTCGCGCAAGTATGAAGCGCAACAGTCTAGACTTCATGGCTGGGCCCTGGCCTAAAGCCTTCATGGCCGCTGCGTCATTACAGGCCATCGTGTGCCTGGCATTCGAATCGTGAGTTCTGCCAGGGTATTCGATACTCAAGTCGTCGCTGTCAAATTGATCGTCCATCTAACGTTTCGAATTGCAGTTATACCTTTGCCATGTTCCAGACACATCTGAGGGAATCTGTATTGAAAGTCGACAGCGACACTAGCGCTCAGTACAAGACGATCCCGACCTTCCTGACGCTTTTCATCTTCGGTTTCCTGTACGAGCTATTACTTGTCTGGGACGCCCTTCGCTTGAAAAACACCATTCAGATCATCGGAATTTGCATCGCAAACCTGGCCCTGCTGGTGTACACCGCCATTCAAATAGATCAAATTCACGAGGCTCTAACCCTATTGGGCCAGAACAATGGACTGGACGGAGGCTACACCAACACGGCCGGCGTGGTGATAACACCCCAGGCGGCACTATGGGAAGAGGTGCAAGGTTTCCTCATCGCGATCCCCATTATACTCGCAGTGGGGACCCTCGTCATGTCGTTCATCGCTTGGAAGCTGTACCAGGTCTTCGCATGGGATATCCTCAAGCAGATTGGAGCCGATTACAGAATGAAGAAGAGGTTTCTTCACTACCAGGTGAGTCCGAGGGCACCATTATGGCGATGACAAAGACAATCCCGTTGTTAACAGGCTTCTAGGTTTACATCGCCCTGCTCAAGTTCGATTTTTTCTTCTTCCTAGGTTTCACTGTGCAGTTCATAGTCATCGTCACTGGTTACACCGACGCCGAGATGTACCTGACCATCGCTGCTATCCCGATCACCATTCTTATCCTCCTCGCAGCGGCGTATCTCACCAGACATGAGAACAAGATCGGGACCGTGTGTGTCATCATCTGTTACGTCGGCGCTCTTGCGTACTTTGTGTTCAAGCTTGTGCGTATCTACCAACCAAGTCACGCGGCTTTCTACATGCCGGTGCGCAAGAGTCTGACGGCATTTGCGGTGTTGGCTATCCTGCTGTTGATACTCACCATCACCAACGCATTCTACTGCATGAACAACTATGGGGCCGGCCTCAAGATGCACCTGCTCAAGAAGAAGTCGGCCGAAGAGAAGGGTGATGGGGGTAGCAGCGTCGACATGCATGCCCTGAAACCGTCGGTGCCAACGCGCATGACAATCGACTAAGGCGGTGCAGCTTGCTGCAAGACGAGGTCCACGAGTTAATGACCGCATTGTCCGGAAGCTACTCCTACCTCCACTGGATCGCAGGCTCGAGACCGGCCGACAGATACATCGGTCCAGCACGAAACACAGAGACGACTAAGTACGAACCGGACACAACTACATATAAATCACCATGGATACACTATATTTTGCCTTCTACATCTAATGGCGTTCTTGAGGGTTCTTTTTCCCCCGATCGGATATCGGGAGTGGTGTTCAGGGTCCTTTTGCTTTGGGGTAACGGGGCAATCCAGGAAAGAGATGCCAGCCCTACCTGTTCTCTGGGTCTTCCACAAGTGAAAAGATAGAGGAAGTGTGGAAATCGGATGTCGAACCAAATGAACGGGGTGGAGCGGAGGGACAGGGCTTCCCCCACGACACGAGGGCTACTGAGCATTTACAGCGGGCTATTTTCTATATCTTTGATATCCCCGAGGTGAAGGGGCGTTTTGATATCTGCAAAACTGGCCCTCACCTCACCGGCTGGGAGGGGGATTCTTCCTGGTTGTGTTTATCTTTTTCTATCTCACCTACTTGGTCGTCTTACTTGAGACAGACACGTCCTTCGTAGCGGAACTTTTGCTCTCGGTTCAAGATGAGTAACGCAGAAAATTGTCTGCCCAGATCAGACCTGTCCAACCCTGAAAATATGTCTTGCTATGTGATCTATCATCCGGCGCACTGACATCGACCCACGCATGTGGTATGAAAGACGTACCTCGTGCACGGCTTCTCGAATTTCGCGGCAATAACAGGGGAACGTCATGGCGTTACTCGCTTAATCTCTTGTCCCTGCCGCAATTGATTTTACGGGAACGTAAATAGACATTGCACATCTTTGTTGTAGGCCAACAAACAGCCGTGGGAATAAGACCACGGTCTAGAGCACAGAAGCATATTTCCCACGCCTTGTATTCACGGCGTGGAGATCTCGTAGTCGGCGCTATAACAGGAGATTTGACATGCCCTTGCAATCACCGGTGTGTTGCGGTGTGGTGTGGAAGAGCAGTGAGGGAGGTCACATCTTCACAACAAAGGGCATGGTTGTTGGGGGCTCGTTCACTGAGCTTGTTGGGTGATCGATTCTCTTTACCCGCTTTGAAGGCAGTACTGATTGATCCTTCGTACATGATATCGCTTGACAATTCACGCGCTGTAGTTGTTGTATGACACATGCACACACATACTGCCACCATATCGTCCGCTAGGTCCACGACCGTGAGACAGCACTCATGCCGTGCGGTGAAGTCCGCCTTCCTTACGGCCGGGGCAGCCCATTATGTGTTTAGAATCGGCAACGGAAGCTCTATCGGATCAACAGAGTGACCCGGGAGGAGCAGCGGCGACCACACGTCTACATGAATCCACACCCTGCTCCCATCATCGCCTTCGTACCCTTTCTAGATAGCTCCCCAGCCGCAGGAAGGCAAATATTTGGCCTTTCTAGAGGATGATCTGCCTAGCGTCGCGGAGGAGGCCCTCGACGGGGCAGTACGGGCACTTGTATCGCTGGTGGCTCTTGACCAGGTTCTTGAGCGAGTCCTTTGCCAGGACGTGCCCGCAGGGGAGCATCATGGGCGGGTTGCGGTCGGTGGTCTGCTCCTTGGAGACGGGGCACACGAAGATGGAGTGGTAGATCATAGACCGCGGCAGCGGCGTGTCGAAGGCCAGCTCGGATGCTGTCGTCCACGACGCCCGCGCCTGCGTCATGACCCCGACGAACATCATCAGCCGCGGCAGGCTGATGGCCCCGGCCGTCGCCGCCACGTACAGGGGACTCTCGGCACTCAGCCCCAGCAGCGAGCAGAACTCGCGCGTGAAAGAGCTCGCTATCTCGTCGAAGCCGTCGCCGCCGGCCCCTGCGAACAGGTGCGCGTACGGCGAGTCCGCCAGGTTCGGCTGGTACACCAACGCCGACGCGAGCTGGGCGATCTCCTTGGCGTGCCGGTCTGCGAAGCGCGGGAAGTTGGCCTGCGCGTACTCCATGGCTACCGCGGGTCCCTCTTCCTCGTCGCCGCTGCCGCTCTGCTGGATGAGGTAGATGTACTGCCGTTTGCACAGCTCGAACTCGAGGTCCGAGCCGCGGGCGTCCAGCTCGTTGCTGTTCTCGTGTGCCCAGGAGATGGCGGGCAGAAGGTTGTGGTTCCGGAGTTCCTTGAGGATTTGGTACATTGTTGCGAACTTCTCCTGCAGCTCACTAGACTGGAGCGAGCGTACTTCGGACATGGGCTCATCGTCTCCGCCGTCGTACCCTGCCTCTGCTGCGCCCCGTGAGTCCTGATTTGGGATGGTGTCGTCGTCTTCCCCTTCCTCTTCATCTTCAGAGTGATCAGCGTCCATGTCGGTGTCATCGTTGGGATGTGATGATCGATCATGCCGTCGCGCCGGATTCGATGGCCCTGGTGCGCTCTCCTCGTGTATTGGCTCTTGCTCTTGGAACTGGTCCAGTGCTTGCGTCTCTTGTATGAACGTCGATGCAACGTTGAACTGCCCCTCCCGCAGCAGGTGCATAGCAATAGCACGGTTGATCAGCTCCGGGTGTTTTGCCATGGCGTCGTCGTCGGTGGGCAGTGGCCTTGGGGGGAAGTTCTTGTCGAGGACCTTGCCATAGTGTTTTCTGACCTTGTCGACCTTCCTCAAATCCTGATCGATGGCCTCGAATCCCTTAGATACTGGATTTTGTAACCTGGCGAGCGTAAGGCTTGCGGTATGGGGGTCGGGAGCTGATGTTGAGGGTCAGCAGGGACGCTGGTAGAGTTAGACGGGGAGAGGGACAGTCAGGTCACGCACATTGAGCAATCTGCTCTCGGGCCTGGGTCAGGATGTCTATTATCTTGTCGACATCGTTGACGGCAGCGCTCAGGCGATCAGTGGTGTTATTCGCTAATCGGTCGAGCTCCTTGAGGAGGGCTGGAATATCGGTGTCGTCTGGCTTGTAAGCCATGATGGAGGAGTTCAGATGCGGATCGAGACACTGGTGGAAAGGGACGGTGAGGGTGATTTCTGGTAGGAATATCTAGATATTAAGGAGTAGAGGTTCTGCAGGAGGTTAAGATTGTTTTGGAGAACGCCGCAGCCCGGTTGTGATTCATTCCAGGTGTGGTGGTATGTTGTTGTAGAGAAGATGATAGATTGGCTTCCGGCTCGGCATTTGGTTGGAGGTGGAGGAGATGCAGCAGCAGGTGCTAGCAAGTCACTTGTGATGGTCCGTCAGTCTGCCGGAACAAGACAGCAACCACGAGACCAAATAGCTCGTAGCCAACATCATAGATCAAGCCGGTATGTGATTTAAAGACTAGTGTCAGTTACTAAATCTTCATCTACAGCTCCTTGAATCAATCAGATTCTCTGTACGGCATCGTTGCTGCCAGCTCTTCTCGTACGAGGCTGGTCAAATATGTACTGTACTTATGCTGTTCAGTACGTACCTAACCTGAGGTGTGATTCAGTCATGCTCTCCTCTGAGTCCTACTGTCGTCACTGCTGTACAGAGCAGCTCATCAGCACCCACCGTCACATCCGGCCTCCCCACATGCCCCACCTCCATAACTGAACTAGGCCCCTGGCCCCTATTTGCTCTACCTTAGCACGTAAATAACATCATCGTCAGTTGTTCCCACTGCTGCATCACATGTCAGAAGCCTTTCGAATTTGAGCCTCTCGCATTCTCCTGTTAGTGTGCAACACACTGCAGCTTTCTAGCTCCAAGCCCTCACTGGAAATTCAGCATCCCCAGCTACGTTGGTTGCAAGGGTATGGCACACCTTTGGTAGAGGCCAACCATTGCCTTCCACCATGCACCATTCGTCGTCCCGGCGCTCGAGGTCTGCCGGGATTCGTTGGTGGTTGCAGCAGCAGCGGTCTCACATGACGGTGGACTACTCATAGCATCGCTCCGGCTCCACAGGAGAAAGCCACAGCCACCATGTCCTTCAGACTCAATCTCCCGGATGGCCGTGCCCATAGAGAGGAGGACGTTACCCAAGCCCGACTGGCCGCCATGAGAAACCCCACGCTTACCGCTGCCACTCCACGAGAAGGCACCCCTATGCCGGGAGACATGAGGCTCGACGGCTCCCTTTCCGTAGATACTTCGTCACCTGCCCTGTCGCCTGGTCCTGGCCGCCGACATGTCGTGTTCCCAGACCCTGTTGCTTTTAGGTGCGCTCCCACTCAGCCCCTGAAGATACACAAGCTTCGCCAGACTATGGACTAATATGTGTTCCTTGACTCCAGATATCTCTCTGAAGACCCCTTAGTCCAGATTGTCAAGAGCCGAGGCGAACTTAGCGGTTACGAACTGTACCTCGTCGAACAATGGGCGTGCTCCCGACAGTCCCCGACCCTCGTCATCGTCACCTACACCGGCGATCCAAAGTCTTCAGTGGTGGTGGGTGTACTTTCTGTGCCGGCAGATGAGGATGAATGGTCCCCACGACTCAAGGTCTACTTCAAGGCCTTGCAGATATACCATGCGAGACCGAAAGAGACGGAGCTGGGCGAGCTGATGGTCACCAACCTGAGCAGCTTTCCCTCGGCCCTCACCGTCATATTCGTGCCGGATGGAGACATCAAGAGGCACAGACAGGCCTTCATTGTGAACGAGAACTTGAAAAGGACGGGTTGCTCAGGTCGCTCCGGCATGACCTTGTCGGACCCTACTCCAGCCACGCAGGCCAAGTTTTATACTACGTACAAGATCCACGAGAAAGTCCCCTTTTTCGAGGCTGTCATGGATCTGGTTAAGCTTTGTCAAGTGGCACTTTTCATTTTTGGCATGCTGGACCAAGAGTATATTGATGGTCTGCTGTGCGACATCACCGAGACAGCAGTTGGTAACTGGTGGACTGAAGTCGGATCCGAGTACTACAATATGGAGCCAACGGACGGCATCCTGGGCCCTACTACTGTAGCAGCGCTGCTCGGCATGCTCATAGGTGCAAGAAATCGCCTGAGCTCGTACGGTGTCACCGTAGCCAAAGATGTCTTTGACATCGACAGCACCAAGCGTGGCATTGGGCATTTTCAGAAGTCTCATAAACTGGAAAGGACTAGGAGACTCGACCGTCAGACACTTCTTCAATTGCACAAATCCACAGCAAAGGCTGCCGCGGGTGAAGAATGGGGCGTGCAGAAGGCAATAGGCGCTACTGTGTCTCAATTTGGCAAGAGAGGTGAGATCTTGAGCGGTGTCATTGGAACTCGTGAAAAAGCTGGCATTGGAGAGATCGAGACTGTCGACATTGACAAGTTCAAAGAGCTGGTATCTGGTGAGAGGGCAAAATGGCTCTGGCAGGGAAAGCCTCGAAGACTTGCTCTGGAGCACCCTGAGCGATCGATACCAGACATGACCAACATGCTCAATTTTGGCAAAGAGGATGAGAAGGAGCGCGAGAAAGAAAAAGAGAAGCACAAGGAAAAGGACAAGGACAAGGAGAAAGACAAGGAGAAGGAGAGAGAAAGAGAGAAAGAGAAAGAGCTTGAAATGCCGAGTCGTACTACAACGCATTCTTTCGGATATGAAGACTTGGGTCCTACCCTGCGTACGAAGGAGCAGTCGAGCACTATGTACTCGGCACCCACGCCGGGCTCTAGCCTTAGCATGGCAGAAACCACCCCCGGCGGCGAGCAAGGTCTACACAAAGCGGTCTTCAGGAGTGTCGCGGATCGAGTGAGCGACGCACGATCCAGACTCGGCCGCATTGGAGACGCCGTAGGTGGCGGTCGCAAAGGGCATTCGAGCCGCCCGTCCAGGGACGAGACTCCAGAGACCGGATACACTAGCCCTAGCATAGGAAGCTTGATCCAGTCCTCCGGTGCTCTGTCCAGTCCTGTCATGTCAGGCCGGGCTTTCACATGGAAGAACAAACCCGAAGAATACGCGAACGTCTTTCAACGAAAACACCCTGATGCCGAACACCCTATCAGCGAAACAACCCAAGGGTCTAGGGCCACCACCGGCGCACAGCTGTCGCCACTCCAGGAAGCACGAAATTCGGTCTCAGAAGCTATAGGCGTTGGCAAAGACTTGGCCGGCGACGTGTCGGTAGCTCCGTCTACAGTTGACGAGAACGACTTTCACAGGCTATTCCAGGTATCTGAACGCAGCGGAGACGCACGCTTCTCGTTGCTACAGAGACGACATAGTCTGGCCATAGCGACGGGGCCCATGGAGCAACAACTAAATGAAGACCGCTGGCCACGACGCATGTCATTCAGCGCCGCTTCGGAGGCCGTTCTCCGCTGGGACGAGATCGTCGACCTACAAGAGGAGCCCACCACGCTTGAGGATCACCTCGCCTCCACGGAACTTGCACAAGCCCTTCACGCGCACATATTCAACCTCTCCAAGTCCCTCTCGCCCTGGGTATCCTCCAAGATTGAGACTGTGGAATCCCTCGAGGAGACATACGCTACGCAGCAAGACACCCTCCAACAGGCCTACTACGCGCTGTCGGACGAGTACCAGAGGGTGAAGCAGAACTCGGCTGAGATGATTGCCGAGGAGAAGGGAAGGGTCACCGAAGCGATTAAGGATGTGGAGGTTCAGGTCGCAAAGCTGGAGTACGAGATCAACGCGCTGGTCTCGAAAGTGCAGGACGTCGAGGACGGCGTGGCGGGCTTCGAGGCCAGCGTCGTCGACGTGGAGATCAGGGCCGAGGAGCTGAAGAGCCAGCTCGAGACCGAGAGCTGGCTACATTGGGCGGTCAGGACGATGACGGGTATAGGGACGGGTCCAAACATCACGAGGCAGGGCTGAGGCTGAGGACCTCAGTCGCAAGTTAAAGGAAATTGGCTACAAGGCCCCAGGGTAGAGTGCCTGTCATTCTACTTTTCCAAAGCATTGTCGTGGGTGTGTCAGGGGGGCTCGAGCATTTCCGAGCCTGGGCGCAAGGAGTTTAGAGTTTACACGGTTGCGGGCTATCTGCCACAGGCAGGATTTAGAAATGTTGGACAGGCATGGCTGAGGGGCCAAGTACCATTGGGTTTTCCCGAGAAGGGAGATTGTCTATATCATCATAATGTAACACACCGCAGAAGAGGTATCTGAACCCGATGCTCAGAAACAATGCGCAATCGCAACCGTAGACCGTTACCGTTTCCTTTCGCCATTTGTACAGTCCAGGGATCCCATCCCAAACGTCTTCAGCACTCAAAACATAGGCATGTTGGAGTGATCTTCAACCCGGGATCGTACACCCTAATCGATCCACTGAGCATGTCGTGTCTGCTCTGCACACCTGCGTCTTCCTTGCCGTGGAGACAGGCCGGGCCACTCCCCTTGCAGTCCCTATCGAGTATCGAGGGAATGATGTCGTCCCATTTACCGACCGAAGGGGCCGCCGCCGCCGCCGCCCATCTGCTGCTGCTGCTGCTGCTGTAATATGTCCGAGACCTTGAGGTGGACGTCGAAGAACTTTGCGGCGCACCTGTCGAGGCAGACGGCCTCGCCCTTGTTGATGTCGCCCTCGAGGTAGTTGTTGGGGATGCACTTCTTTGCGCAGGCCTTGTTGAGACTGCGGATGGGGGTGTACAGATTAGCACTGGGAAGAACGGGAAGGGGAGGGGATCTGGTGGGAGCTGGAGTCGCAACCTCCGGTGACGACCTACCGGTTCATCATGTCGGCCATGAGCTTCATCTCGGCCTCGACGGCGGCGATCTTCTCGGCCGACGAGGGCTGCGGGCGGCCGAATCCAAGGAACGACATGCTGGGCGGTGCTATGGGGAGATGTGCAAAGGTTTTCGACTGAGGGTGAGGAGGGGTGATGGCTTCGCGAGGGTGCTGTGCAATGGTCTTGTGCTAGGCGTGCAGACGGTTCCTAGTGAGCTCGAGGTCGGCCGGCTCGAGATATTGTTCACCCAAAAAATCGGCTCGGCCAGTGACGTTGGTCTGCAGGGTTCAGCGGGCCTTCGCTGACCAGTGGGTCCTGGGCCTTGGCTCTATTGGTCAATGACACGCCCAGTAGCAGCTGTATTCCGCGCTCCAAAAATTTCGAGAGCTTCTGCATCTCGACCTCGTTCGTTTCCACACAAGCTGTATATTCTGCAGACCAGTGTGCTTCCGGAATCAGCGCTTGGCCGCGCTCTTGTAAGTTGACTTCTCTTTTGTCTCCCGACGCATCAACATGATGAGACCGCTTTAAACCTTAGAACCGTTGCGACTGACACGACCTTGTGTCGTGCGTGATCAAAACTGCCAACTCTCTGACACCACTTTTTACACCTGGATTCCACTGCTCCTTCTCGTTCAACTTTCTGGCTCTCGCAAACTTGCTGACTGGAGTTGCCATAGACTGGTCAGGGACCCGGCCCGAAGATGGCGCCATCTCTGCATTTCCTGCGCCCGTACGCATTCCAGCCCCTGGCGCCGGCGTCGTCTCCTTCTGGCTCTGCATACATCCGTTTCTACGAGTTGGCAAGACGGAACCCACAAGCTGTCTGCCAAAGGAACAGCTCGACCGCCCCGCCCAACACCATTGCCAGGATCAGGACGCGCACTCCTTATGTGAAGCGCGATGTTGAGGCGTACAATCCTGAGGACCGCGGCGCTCTCACGGCCGCTCGCGTCAAGCAGCTCCAGATGGCTCATGCTCTCTTGTACCCCCGGCTGAAACGCTATGCGAAGCCTCTTACGATATCGAACTTTAGAAAAGAATATGAGAAAAAGATCAAACTCCCATCAGAAACTCTGGGTGACATTGTGACGGTCGGCGGTATGCTTGTCATCTCTGGTAGAAGCTCTTCGTGGGACTGATGTTTCCAGGTCGCGTGTCCTCTATTAGTCAACTTGGAAACAAGCTGGCTTTTGTAAAACTCGTCATGGATGGCGCGATGGTCCAGGGCGTCTTGAATATCAACAAAATGATAGACGGCACGGACATGAGGCATTTCACCGACCTCGTTCGCTTGATTAAAAGAGGAGATCACATCTGTTAGTTCCTCGCACAGTGACCCTGGATTCAGGTAATATGGCTGGTATCGGCTGACAATTTTACGTGCAGCAATTACCGGGCAGCCCACGCGCACGCAGACGAAGGAGTTTTCTATCGAAGCTATACATCTCCCGCAGATTGTCTCGCCCGGCTTAGCACCGCTCCCATACAATCTTCCTGAGGAGTCCAGGATGAACCAACGGCATCTTGACCTACTTGTCAACAAGCAAGCTGCAGATACTCTGCGTGTAAGGTCGTGTGTGATCAGACACTTAAGACAGTGGTTGGAGACCAAGCTGGAGTGCATCGAGGTCCATACTCCTATCTTGGCTGCGAACGCCGGCGGTGCTGTGGCTCGGCCTTTCACGACCAACGCTACCGAGTTCCCAGAGAAGCAGCTGGCTCTGCGCATAGCACCGGAGCTTTGGCTCAAGCGACTCGTTGTTGCGGGCTTCGACAGAATATACGAAATCGGTCCAGCCTTCAGAAATGAGGGCATTGACTCTACTCACAACCCAGAATTCACCATGTGTGAGTTTTATGTCTCTCACATCAACCTCGAACAGGTGATGCAAGACACCAGGGAGATGTTCTCCGACCTCGCCGCCGCTGTTGCCAAGTTCAGGAGCGACCACAATCTTGAGACTCTGCAACCACCAGATCCCAAATTGTTCGCCAAGGAGTGGCAAGTGGTTGACTTCATCCCAGCAATCAATATGGAGCTTGGAAGCGCTCTGCCAAGGTTGGACAACAATCCAAACGCCGTGCAGGAGATCATCAAGCTCCTTGAAGCTCGGGGCAAGGACTGGCACAAGTCCTTGCCGCCCAACCCATCACTTTCGAAACTCCTGGACCGCATTGCAGGCGCCGTTCTCGAGCCCCAGTCCCAGGGCAAGCCAATCTTCATCACTAAACACCCGGCCTGCATGTCTCCTCTGGCCAAGACATTCACATGCCCCATCACGAAACAGTTCGTCTCCGCCCGGGCCGAGGTGTTCTTCGATGGCAATGAACTGGCCAACATGTACGAGGAAGAGAACAGCCCTTACGTGCAGAGGCTCAAATTTGTCGACCAAGCGAAGGCAAAGCTGGCTCAACAGCAGAACGCGGCTCCTGGCGAACAATCGCTCGGCGACGAGGACGATGAGCCAGCTCATTTCATTGACGAGCAATATGTCTCCGTGTTAGAGTCTGGTCTACCGCCCACAGCTGGCTGGGGATGTGGTGTGGACCGACTGGTGATGATGTTCACGGGTGCTGGGAGAATCAGCGAAGTGTTGCCGTTTGGGAACCTGAGGAATGTCGTTGGGCTGGCGTCGACCGGCCCGCAGAACCAGGAGCATAAGAAGGAGGACGGCTCAGAGAGCGACTCTGGCTCTATACTCCCCGATGGTGCCGCTGGAGCAGCTGAAGCCCAAATATCGTCAAGAGAGGAGCTCGAAAAGACGGTGCAGGTGGGCAAGGAGACGATCTTCCCGACCGGCGAGGTGGCACGAAACGGACCGAAGGCTGGAAAGGCCGGGCCCTCGCACGTCATCGAGCGGGAGAATACCACCTACGGGAGCTTCTCGGACGATATCTCTGCCGCCCAGGCAGACGGTGCCACAGCCACCGATAATGGTGACGCCGCGGCCCAAGAAAGCGGCAAATCTGCAGATGCTAACCGCCAGAAGCGTGCTGCGGACGACGCCCTCCATTACATCATGGGCAACATGCCATAAGGCACAATCCGGCGCACACTCCCTGAACTCGAAAATGCCTGGGACCATTCCGCCGATGGACGACACAGAGACGGCAGACAATGTCAACGACCGTGATGCTGAGGATGGAGCAACAGGGCCTGCTTTATAAGCCCTGTTCCCTGATGGTTCTGTACGATTATGCGACGAATGAACTGGATGCCAAGCAAATACTGTTCTAGATATATACCCCTGCTCATATAGAATGAGTTGAAATTTGACGTCTATTGGGACCTTCGGCTACAAAGCGATACCACAAAGATCAAGATATCTCAATATGAGCCTTGGCCATTGCTGGCCCTCTAGGGCTAAGCGTTGTGCCGCTGTGATCTAACTCTAACCCATCACCGTGACCCTCCATCGGACATCCTGCAAGTCCATACTCCCTCGACCCAGTTCGATCATCTGCTCATGCCTTACTTCTGCTATGCCTTGACGACATCCCCATTGCCCTCAAGTCGACTTCCTGGGCGACCATGGCGCCAATCAGCACGAGCCGCAGAGCTGACAAAAGAAATGACAGCTCTTGACCCAATAGATAGTGCCAGAGCATCAAGAATTGAAACGGAAAAAGTCAGCTACAAGCAGCATCGGCCGGGAGATGACCTGCGTGACCAGCTAGAGGACAGGGCGCAGGCCTGCGGGGACCAGGCGGAAGGCGTATGGTCTTCGTGAGAGATTAGCCCTGGGCCTTCTTTGCCATCATGAACACGATCGAGGCTACCATCAGCGAGGCAAACCAGATCAGTACGATGAGTCCTATTACCCCACCAGCTAGCGAAGCTGACAGGTCCAGAAGCTGCAACGAGCCGGTCTTGTCGTTTGTGTCGCGGATGAGCTGGCCGGCGAGGGCGTGCAGCTCTGCGCGGGTTCTTTCCTCGCCCGGATTGAAGCGCAACTTCAGCAGGTCTTCCGCCGCCTGTAGGTAGATTGCTGCGGCGTCGGCGATCTCGGGGTTGGCTTCGCTGATGATCTCGCTCATATTGGTTGTTCTCGAGCGGGCCTGGGAGATCAAGGAGTCGATCCTGTCGTAGACGTTCTTGTTCTCGTCATGGTCTGATTCTGTACTCTCGGCACCTGGCGTCCCGTCACCTGAGAGATTGAGCTTCTGTGGCTCGTCGCCAGAGCTGACTGCCGACAACATCACCGGGCTGCCGACCCTGGCGACCATGGCTTGACTCTCACGTTCTCGACACACCCTGAGTAGTATCTGTGCGAGGATGCTTAGAAGGAAGAGGATCGCGATGTTGCTGCTGGCTTCGAACATCCGGGTGGGTTGGCAGGTATTTTTTTTTGGCTATCTAAAAATATAAAGCCGGGGGGGGGGGGGGGTTTATTGGAACTTGGACAACCTTCGATTTGACCTTCAGGACGGACAGGTGAATTATTGCATGTGTTTATAATAGATCAGGCTGTCAAGGGACGGACTGCTGGCAACCCAATTCCCTGTGAACTCTGCCTCACCCAGGGAGAGGACGTGATATGTCTCAAGCCACCTAGGCACACACCGAAGGCAGGTTTCCATAGAAGAGACATCAACATCATGCGCAGCGTATTGGAAGTAGCTCATCCCAGTTGCATTCTTCACGTTAAGCCATAGAAATGTGATGTGAGATAGCTTGCAGCAACCTCAGTTGGTCTGACGAATTGTACACTCTCACCTACGCCATGTCACGCTCCTTGATGGTATAGGATTCGTCACGACATATCGTCCACAAGGCCCGGCGGCACATCCCTCCCCGCCCTCCTCGCCTCGACCCATCGGCCCAGTTCCCTCCATATCCTCTCCTTCTCAGCCGGACTCAACGTCGCGGCGAGGCCACTCGTAGAGCTCGCAACAAACACCCTTGCCCCCTTCCAGCCGTCTCGGTACTCGACTCCCTCCTGCCTCTCGCTATCGCCCACGTCCCCAGCCCCCATGTTCTCACTCTCGTCCTGCCAGCCGTACTTGAACTCATGCTTTGCAATGCCCCTGCCATGCCGCACCCTCCACACCGACTCCCATATGCTCTTCCCAACCATGACTACCGCAAGTGGCCTCCAAACCCGCACCTTTGCCTCGAGCGCGCCCACGCCCGCGTCCATCTCGGCCTTGCTCAGCTCGGCGCCGTTGCGGCTCGGCCGGGACACGATGTTAGTGAGCCCGAGGCGGAAGCGCTCCGGCAGGGTGCGGTCCTCTTCGGCGACACAGCGCACGGGCAGCACGCCCGACGAGAACATCAGCTTCCAGAACAGGTTGCTCGGGTGGTTGTAGGCGTGGCCCGTCTGCGCGGTGCGCACGCCCGGGTTGAGCCCGCAGAAGAGCGCGTGCATGTTGGGCGCGAGGGCGTCCGGGAGCGGCGGCAGGTGCGCGTACACGCTCGGGGGCTGGTAGCCTGACTTTTGTCGGTTCCTTTTCTTGGGCTTCTTGGTGCCGCTTGGGGTCGGTGTTGATGACGGTGATGAGTCGTCGGCTGCGTCTGCCTCTGCCTCTGTTGAGCCATCTGGTAGGGCTGGGACGCCTGCGTCTTCACTTGCCAGGACGGTGGCTTTGCGCTTTCTGTTGTTGCCCATTGATGCTGGACTGGCTCGTGTGGGACTCTCTATTTTCCTGGGCGTAAGTGAGAGGCGAGTGCTTCGACGGGGTGGTGTCTGTCCTGCTGGTGGCGACTGCTGTTCGGCTTTGAATCTGAAGTTCTCCATGTTGAGTCTACCGCTGAAGGATGACTGAGGAGGTGACACCGAGATATTGACTGATTCACGGTCCAGAGACGCCATGGTGTCTGATCTGTTGGTTCCCTCGCGGGCAACGACCCGGTGATTTGAGGTTGATGAATGGCTCTGAGTGCTGGGTTGACGCAGCTTGGGCAGTTGAAGTGAATGTGAGGGTAACAAGCAAGGTTGCTTGAGACCTCGGCACTACACAAAACCCAGCTACACACGATGCAGCTTAAACGCAGCTATTCACTGACGGGTTTCGGGTTGGGATGGCTGGACACAAATCATGGCATGAAGTCGGTATTCTGAATCGACCAGACTGGTAATATTGGCCTTTTGCATCTCAACCCCCTGGGATTCTAGATCCATCCGGTGGCAACTTCGGAATTCCACTCAGTTGATCGGGAAGTAAAGCATTTGCTTCTAGAAACCCTTCACCATGCTTGTAAACGCAAGTCTTGATACTCTCGGGACGACTGACGGATACTATAGCTCCTCTACGGTGAGAGCGTACTGCTTGTCTGTTTCTGGTAAACTTTGGTCTCTCACTTGGAAGATAGACCTCTGTACCACGAGCTGACAGACAAGACTAGGCTGTAGTTAGAAGACACAGGAACAAAGAAGCCTTTCTGTATCCGGCTTCTAGAGGCAAGGTAGCTCGTATTCCGTGCTTCGTGAGGTGCTCTGGCCGTGCATCGGGTGTGGCTTGAGCTGGAGCTGAAAGGCCAAATACTGCCCGCTGACAACAAGGTCGTGGCCGGTAGTACAGAACAGTTACGAGCCCAAGCAACAGCCTCAGCGAATAGGAGGTGGCTGATGGGGATCGTGTCGACGTCACAAGCCGGCTGTTGGCAGGGCCAGCTCCCTACTGGGCGGGAGCGCCTTCCCACCTGCAGGGGCATCGGAATCAGGGGTTGGCGGGGCAGAGGAGCTGAGCAGTACCCAGGTAGTGTCTAGTACACAGTGGTGGGTGGAGGGGGAGCTCCAGCTTTCATCCCGCCCGTGCTATTAATACAAAGCAAGCTGACTGCCCTTGTCCAACACCACCGCCGCTTGCTGGATCCCATTCTTGCTGTCCTCTTCTGGTAATTCTCAGTATTGTCTTGACTTGAATTGACTTGAGCTTGACTGTCTATCCAATTGCCCTGCCAAATTTATATACACCACTTACAGATCAATCACGAGGAGTAATTGCCATCATGGAGACCATCAAGAGCGCTCTCAACATTGGCAAGACCGCCGATGCCCCTCCTCGCTCTCCCTCGGCCGACGAGGTCAAGGCACTGAAGGACAAGTACGAGAAGGCGGGCCAAGAACAGGTCTTCACCTTCTACGACTCCCTCTCTAAGGACGAGCAAGCACAACTTTACCACCAACTCGCCGGCTTCGACCCGGATTACATCAACACCATCACGAAGAAGGCCCTCAGCCCCCCAGAGGCGGATGCCAAGAAGGCCGAGCTCGAACCTCTCCCCGAATCCGCCACCGCCAGTGTCTTGGACTCAGATGCCGACCAACTCAAGAAATGGTACGAGTCCGGCCTAGACCTCACCGCAAAGAACAAGGTTGGAGTGGTCCTCATGGCCGGTGGCCAGGGCACAAGACTGGGCAGTTCTGCACCAAAGGGCTGCTTCGACATTGGCCTGCCTTCACACAAGTCTTTGTTCCAGATCCAAGCCGAAAGAATCCGGCGGCTGCAGGTGCTGGCACACAAGCACGCCGGTCTCCCTGAGGACCAGGAGGTTGTGGTGCCATGGTACGTCATGACTAGCGGGCCCACGAGGGGACCGACCGAGGCCTTCTTTGAGGAGCAAAAGTACTTTGGTCTCAAGAAGGAGAACGTCTTGATCTTCGAACAAGGTGTGCTGCCTTGCATCTCGAACGACGGCAAGATCCTCCTCGAGAGCAAGGGCAAGGTCGCCGTTGCCCCTGATGGAAACGGCGGCATCTACCAGGCCCTGATCACATCGCCCGTCCTGGGCGACCTGCGCAAGCGGGGCATCGAGCACGTCCACTCGTACTGTGTGGACAACTGCCTGGTCAGGGTGGCTGACCCGACCTTCACGGGCTTCGCCGCGTCCAAGAACGTCGAGATCGCGACCAAGGTCGTGCGCAAGCGCAATGCCACCGAGTCGGTCGGCTTGATCCTCTCCAAGAACGGCCGCCCGGACGTGGTCGAGTACAGCGAGATCGACAAGGAGACGGCAGAGGCCAAGGACGCCAAACAGCCCGACGTGCTCAAGTTCCGCGCCGCCAACATCGTCAACCACTACTACAGCATCGGCTTCCTGGAGAAGATCCCCAGCTTCGCCAAGGACCTGCCGCATCACGTCGCCCGCAAGAAGATCCCCCACGTGGATCTCAAGTCCGGCGAGACCGTCAAGCCCGAGAAGCCCAACGGCATCAAGCTGGAGCAGTTCGTGTTCGACGTGTTCCCCCTGCTGACTCTAGACAAGTTTGCGTGTCTCGAGGTCAAGCGCGAGGATGAGTTCTCCCCGCTCAAGAATGCGCGTGGCACTGGTGAGGATGACCCCGACACGAGCAAGAAGGACATCACCACCCAGGGCAAGAGGTGGCTACAGGCCGCCGGTGCGATCCTTGCCGGTGACGAAGATGCTGGAGTCGAGGTCTCTCCTCTGGTCAGCTATGTGAGTGCAACCCTTCCACCTCTGAAGTTATGAACACAGCTAACACTCAGCACAGGGTGGTGAGGGACTTGGTCACCTTCAGGGGAAGGAGTTTGGACTCCCGGCCGTTGTTGCAGACCCCACTGAGAAGTAGTATGTCAGCCTCCTGCACATAATGGACATAATTATTCTCGGAAGCAGGAACAAGGACTAGAGGCACTTTTACCAGCACTTTAAAGCAGAGTATATGAGGGACCAGGTTGCGGGAATGCTGGCTATGTGGTATTTTCTGCGGTTAGGCGAGTCCTAGATTGTGGTTGCATCATGTTTGCCCCATTTCCCCGTGGGCGATGGAGAGCACTGTCTGCTCAGATTTGAAGCGAGGCATACACCTCATTTTTGTCGCCTGACCTCGGCAGGGGTATAGCGGTAGTAGGTATAACAGCGGTCATAAGCACCTCAATGTGGGTATTGCTTTAAACAAGATAGACATAAAAGTCGAAGCTTATCAACGAGTTGAAGGATCAACTGGGCGAGGTTCTGGACCCACAGCCGTCTTCGACTCTAGCAGATGCTGTCTCCATCTAATGCACGGCTCAAGCATTAAAGTAAGAGATATCAACCTGGGCCCCATGAAAGCAGCAGAATGCACTTCGAGATAGGCAAGTGAATTCTTGGTGCCTAAGAGCACCATATGTACCGACGGATTGATTGAAAAATGCAACCTTACAACGCCTCCCTGATGTGTTTTATCCCTCTATAATCTCTCCCTGAACACACATCCCCGAGGGCCCAGCGCGACCATGCCAGATGCCATCGGAATTGAAGAATTCTAGTCAACTCACACGCGCATGTATCAACCGCTCCCTATCCTCCTCCGCGCCCCAAATTCCACCAATAACAGTCCGCCCACCCCAGGACGCCCCCTCACCGTCCCCCAGTACCTAGGAGCTGTTGAGGTAGCTCAGGTAGCAGTTCCACCCGATGCTGATGACATTGACGAAGAGCACGCGGTGCTCGAGCGGCACCAGCTTGAAGTTGATGCCCTGCACGAAGGGCCACAGCATGTAGTTGGAGGTCAGGGCGGTGGAGTAGTTCTTGTCGAGCTTCTCGCCGACGGGGTTGCCCTCCATGACGGCCATGGACGACAGGAAGACGCCGATGAAGACGGGCGCGAACACGCCCTGGTCCAGCGCCACGCGCGCCAGCGTCGTCGCGTTGGGCGACTTGAGGTTCACGTTCTTGGCCAGGAACTTGTACCACGTCGTCGCGGCCGGGCCGAAGACGGCTGTGTTAGGGTCAGTCAACGTTCTTGCTTTCTTTGAATGATGTCTGCGGGATTTGGAACTGTCTGTTGTTACTTACCGCCGCCGTAGAGCACCATGCGGCCGGTGCGGGCCAGGTCGTGCTTCTCAAGGCCCTTCTTGTCGACGGCCTGCTGGGCGATGACGTCGCCCGTGCCGAAGAGGATGGCCGTGGTCACGACCTGGGTCAGCAGGGGCCGCTTGACCAGCTTAGCTTGGTACCTGAAGGGTGGAGTGTTAGCAGCTTAGTTTGCATGAGGTTGTGTGGAAGGGTGAGGTTCTCACCATCGCAACATCTTGAGGGTTGTGGGCGAGTGAACAGGGATGCACCGCTTGTGTGTATGGCCTGGTGTCGAGGCTGCGCAGGCTGGATGAGGAAAGGAGCGATGCTTCCTTAGCCTGTTTCTAGAAACTCGACGTTGTCGCTGGAATCCAAAGCTGCTGTTGATGTGTCACCAAAGTCAGGGTGCGGAGTGAAATCTGGACGACGGTCGTAGCTTGCTTGCTGTCCTGAACTCTCTTCTTCATTTGTCCTCAGCCATAGCGCTGGCTGGCAGCTCCCACCCTCGGAGGACAATCACCCTAAATTGCGGAGCAGCGTGGTAGAGCTACTGTGCATAGTCTGCTAATCGCAGCACTTTGGGTCCGGGGTATCTCGCCTAGCTTCCTCTGATTTGGACCTTGATCTTCATGGCACTCTTCCTCAGATTCATTATTTACAGGAGAATATACACACACCATCACTTCGCTATCGTCTGGCAGGCAGCGCTGTCTCAGGCTCAATCAGAGTCCTCACTTTCGAAAGGCTCACAGCAGCCCGGGCGCACAGACGGACAGGCTGTGACCCTGAATGACAGCCGTGAATCCGGGGTTGGTCAAACTCAATTTCCGGTCCTCTCTTCTATCCTGTGTTTACTTCGTATTGTAGTGAAATCTACCAAGTTCGTCTCCTACATTTAAGGGGCTCATTGAATTATCTGGCAAATAGATGACACTCCACCGGCACAGGCTCACTTCTGTTTCTGAGTCTTTCGTATGTCGCCTTATTCATGTTGATTGGATCCAGAGTAGTGACGTTGCACAAAACGGTAATGTCATCCTGACCATCGCCAGGCCGTCATCTTCCTAGTTCCCTCATTTGACAGTCAGGGCTAGGAGATAGTAGCATTGTCATATATGCTCACGACCAGCTTCGCCATTGACTCTCACCACGCGTTTAATGGGGCTCCGAGTCGAGAGCACAAACCGGTTGAAAGGTCCGATTTCCCCCGTGACAGACATCAGGGCAAAGTTGGTGGTTACAGACAGATGAGGCTCCTGACAAGTGTCATTGTCTTTCTTCTCCGTCAGGAAGAACGAATCTCCGAACAAGCAAGACTCATTAAGCTTCCCGTCGTCCCATAACTACGACGATACTGATCCCGCCCTGGCCCTCCACACCCGGCGAGCTTAACTTGAATATGGAGGAGCACCATCTCAGCCCAAGGGTCCCTAGAGAAGCACACTGTCAGACCCATCACGTGTCTCCTCCCCACAGAGAAGCTCAAATGCTCGACGCTCTTGCAGCAGATCGCGCTTGGCCCCTGCGAATCACGCCTTGACGAGCCGCACGCTGGCTTGGCCAGCTGGGCAAGCGACACCGAGCACAGGGCCCCTTCGTCAGTGCTCGTGCGAGAGGGGGGGGGGGGGGAAAGAGGCTTCTCGAATAACGCCGTGGGACGGCCGCACGCACACACGCTGTTTCACGGGCTGGTGCAGGATGTTGGGACGAGGAGCCCTTCCGGCGGCCAGGCCACAAAGGCTTTATTCGCGATGTGTTTCTCGCCTGCGTCCGGGGTAGAAGCTGTTCTCGATGTGCCGCTCCCTCTCTTGCTGCGACTCGACTGGGGGCATCGCGTCTCGACGGTCTTGGCGTCCAGCCCGGAACCAGCGTTCCCTTCCTGCCGAGAGGATGTGAGCTTCCGGCAAGTGACTGTCAGGTAGCTTCTAGCCATGGGGTTCGCACGCATTGGACACGGTTGATCAGGTCGACCCCGGAAAATGACTAGGCAGGAGAAGTAAGGTACCCGTCCCAAAAATCTCCTTTCGTTCTCATCTGTGTATGAGCTCTCTCGTCTGAAGATTATTCATTCCAGGCCTTCTTCCTCCCCGAGCCCACTAGTCTAGGCGTTGTGTGGGCGGTGACAAGCATGACCCCATCTCGGCCGAGCCTCGACGCTGCTCGGCCCAAAGCAGGACAGCAGCCCGGGAAGACGACGGGGTGTGCCTCTTGCTGTCCCGACATGCGATGAGGTCAGCAAGACCGGGGGTCGGTCCGATCTGGAACGGCTCTCGTCTGACCAGGAGACCAGGGGGGGAGGGGTGGTGCCTGGGACGAAGCCGCAGAGATGATTGGGCCGTGCGCCCATACTACGCGCCGATTGTTCTCTTGCAGACAAGCAAAGTGATCTCCAAGGGAGAGGCGCCGAAGGGTACAAGGCGCAGATCAGTATCAAGCCGTGTTTTGGGGCCTGCCTGGCTGGGCGGCAACGCACAGGGAAGAGACTGCCAGCCAAAGGGAACTGAGAGGTTCCGCTCCGCCTGTGCCTCTCCGCCGTTACTTCGCCCTCCGCGCCTTTCACATCTTCAGAGTTGGCGGGTAGTTTGTCAATTTCACAGTAGTCAAGGCAATAAGACACCTGGAGATTTGTGCTTTTCTGTAGAAGAAAAAAAAATAAGGATTGATAGGAAGAACATTATGGACAAGAGATCCCCTCGACCTTGAAATCCAGGAAAATCAACTTCCAGATCTCCCCCAGCTGGGTCGAGAGACCATGATATTTTTGACAGGCTGGCGGTGCCACCAGTTTTCAAACAACCCAGCCCACGCCAGCTCCAGTTCGGGCGCGTGTTGTGTGCACAAATGCTGCTGCCGCTGCCTGTGGCAGTGTGAGTCCAGAACATATACAACCAACACCGGCGGCCGCACGTCCTCTGATTTCCGTCGTCTCAGCCCTGAGTACAGCCCCGGTCTCGTCCAGCCATGCGTCGTGGTATAATCCTCAGGAAATCGTTTGTTGTGACGACACTCCAGAGACATGATTTAGTATTTAAAAAAGAAAATGGCCGTTTAGAAGTGCTCCTTCCAGAAACGGAAATCAACCTCCCTAACAGTAGCGGCTTTGCATGCTTTCTTGATGTCGCGAGCTGGAGAATGTGTTAGCACAAAGGAGTTCAATGGAGAAAAATGGGCCAGGGTAACTCACCTGCTGCCGAGGGACCACAGAAGTAAACACCAACAGTCGTCCTCATGCTGCCCTCCAGACCGTTCAGGTACGTCCGGTCCAGAATACCGTCCCTCATTCCCGTGAAGAGCCTAGCAAAGTCGGGTCGGCCAAAGTTGGTGCGGGACTTGAGCTCGGTGAGAGGGTCGACCTCGGCGCCGACCGAGTTCAGCACGATATTGTTCATGGTGTCCTGGTCCAGCTTCTGCGTCAGGTAGGTGTGGATCTTGAGGAACTCGACGCCCGAGCTACCTGGGATGCGCGCGGCCTCGGTACTCTGCTGCTCAAGTGATGACAGGAGCGTCTGGAACCATTCGAACGAGTTTGTGTCCTTGCAGATCCAAAGGAACTCGACACGGCGGAGACGGGTCGGCGGGTTCGGGCTGTTGCGCAAGTGCCAGATGTTCTTGAGGATGGCGGCCCACGGCGTCACACCAATACCCGTGCCAACCAGCACTGCGATCTCGTTCTCGAACACGTCCTCCGCGGGAGCGCCGTAGGGTCCGTCGATTCGGAGCGCTGGCATCTGCTGCCCGTTCTGCAGCGCCACTTCGTACATACCCATTGGGTCGACACCCTCATACAGCTTGGCCTGAGCGCCTCCGGCACCGACCGCATCACCGAGCGCCCGGGTGAAGTCACCGACCTGGCGGACGTGGACTGAGACGTAGGGGTCGTAAGGGCACGAGGTGATGGTGAAGGGGTGCCACTGGTACTTGGAAACGGAAGGCAGTTGGAGGAACAGCCACTGGCCGGCCTTGTACTTGAATGAAGGCTTTGAGAATTGAATCTCGACGACGTCTGGAAAGAGTCAGTTTCAGAGTCCCACCAATGAAGCAAGTAAGCAGCACATACCGTAAGGGTGGCGGACGACACGGGTGATCTTGGTTGAACGGCGGGCCCGGATCTCACGGTAAAGTCGCTCCGTCAAATATATTCCACCGCCAAAGAGCTCCCATCTCCAACCCTGGTAACCAATGCAGTGGGTCCAGAAGATATCGCCGGCAAATGGCGAGAATCCATTGGCCGAGTCACGCACGAAACAGCCGACTGCGTGAGTGTAGAGTCCGATCAGGAAAGGGATAAACAGGTGGTGAGTATACCAGAAAGTCTCGAACGACTGCTGGCGAATTCTGTGGTGCGCAGTGGTGTACATGAGAAGCATGCAGAGGAGCATGATGTGGCCAGTGATACCACCAGGTTGGGCATAGTGAATCTGCAGTGCGAGAACGGGTCGGATTTGCGTTCGCTCGACGTTGAAGAAGCTAGGCAGACAGGTGAGTGCACGTTCAGGCAGGGGGTCGTGACATGGACTTACTTGACGTAGTGAGCAGTGACATGGCAGATGGTGAAAAACAGCATCGCGTATGCGACCTGTCGATGGAACCAGAGGTTCTCGTCCAAGGGCAGGAACCTAAGCTTCGGTCGGAGCCATCTCACCAGTGTCCGACACACTGGCAGCAAAATAAACAAGCCATCGAAACTCAACACCAGACCGGCACCTCGCGAAATCCAGACGGAAAACTGCAGCGAGTTGAGACCCGCGAGTCGCGGATCGGACGCTTGCTTATACCTATGATTCCGTCAGCATCCAGTGCAGCGCACTTATCAAGGGAGGGAACCCGTACCATCCAAATCCAAACAGGAAGAAGTGGATTGCCCAAAATATGAAGTAGAAGGACAGCTTCGGAACAGTAAACTGTTTCTTAACCAACGTGCCGTAGCCCATCTTGAAAGCCGTCGAGGTTCCTCCCTCTACTTTCCCCAGCAAGCGAATTACTTAGTCGACCGGCGACGTGTGGGCGGCTCGTTGTCACTTCGGACTGATGGTAACCTCGAAAGCGTGTGCGTGTCGTAGCGAGAATATCCCCAAGCGAGTCGAATCCGAATCCACCGTTCCCTTATTACAATATTCTATACCGGACAAGATACTCGAACAGACAAGTCGGCTCGATGATGATGATGAATTAAAGAGCGATCTGAGCCAGCAGCGACTGAAAGGAAAGAATGCCAAGGAAAATAGGCTCGTAGTAGATGGACAGTACTTCAGCCTGGGCCGTCGAAGGGGGAGGAGAGAGGTTAAAGGCTGCCGAGACTTTGGTAGTGGGCGAGGGGGGTAGTCATAAAGGCCCGAGGACGAAACACCACGTCTTGTGTGGAGGGGGTGACCAATGAGAGCAGTCTAGTCTCAATACAGAGAGGGCACAGAAACGGCCTATCCCTCTAGATCAGACTCTGGTAGTCTCAATGACCCTGAAATCCAGTGTTCGGATGTCAGTTCGTCCATGAAACGTCTAATCCACTTGCGGATTCCAGCCCTCTTTTGGTCCCATAGATCGAGTCAACGGTAGCAAAGTTGCCCGCCACTGCCGGGTTGACGACGGTTTTGGGACGAGGTCAGGGCAGAGGCCAGGGCCAAGCCGTAGACTGGGAGAGGTCCCTGCCGAGGGGGTAGATCAGACGTTGGAAAGGGTTTCGCTTAGGAAAAAGCCCGTGTCAGATGGGACCAAAGACTGGTGCTGTCAGATTGGCAGAGCAATGCGACACACTAGTAGTGGAAGAGTTGAGACGAGCCGTGTTAGAGATGATGAGAACCGGGGGTGCAGTGAGGCTGATCTGGTGTTTCGGCCCGGACCAGGATCCAGTAGGATGCAGCTCGTGCAGCGGCAGTGATGTGTTGGGTACTGGGCGTTCAGTTGGGGTATCTTTCAGCAGGTCAAATGCAAATCTTTCATCATGGTATCGTCGAATTTGTCGTAGATTGCGTCGATGAGGTTTACAAAACTCGGGAGGAGAAGAAGGAGATTCTTTCGACCTCCCCCAAGTCGAACAGAGGAGGTCGGGACCTGGGCATCAGGCCTAAGAATAGCCATTTGTGCGACCTGCACATGTGTGACCACCACGAAGCCGGCGCTTAGAATGGAGAAGTGAGAGGCAAGATTGAGAACTGCAGGGCCGCCGGGGACAGCTGGGATTCGCCAAAGAGAATCTTGGGACGACTTGACGGCGAGCGCTAAGCCCAACCCAGGCAGTCCTCCACTGAGCCTCAACCCAATCAGCACGGCGAGCTACCCATCTTGACAGGGGGGCCATGCGACCCCGTGCCGTGATGCGGCTTCTGCACACGGATCAGGGGAGTTCCATATCTTGTGGTACTTGGTACCTGGCAGCCTGGGTCAGACCGGGCTGTCCGGCTCAACCGCCAGAAACCTTAGTCAAACCTCACCTTCCATCAGCAGTATTCGACAGCCCGCTATTAGCTGGCGAGATCCGTAGCTGCTGGGTGGCTCCATCGTCATCGAAACTAATGTGCTGAAGTCAACGGGAGACATCAGGTTCCAGATCTCACGACTGTGGTGCAAGTAGATCTGGTGGTCCTTGCACCAGCAGGGGAGAGGGTGGGCAGCCTGAACACTGAGCGGCGGCGGTAGTCGAATGTATCTGAAATCAGCCATGTGTGAGGACAACAACCAAGCAAATCATCTGCCGCCAAGCAGGCTTGGGTCTGAGTTTGGCACTCCTCGAGTGGGATCACAATGTGGCCACATCGTACATAGATCATTCGATAAATCATATAAGCATTGGATCGCCTCCCTCGGATGGACGACAAGCCCTCTGCACTCCTCCACCCTCAGTCGAATCGGTCGAGTTGATGCAGGGGCGGAACTCGGGAAAGGTCTATCCTGCACAGTATCTGAGGGTAGGCTCCCGGCTCGCCCGCCAGAATTTAAGCGTATTTGGAGGCTCCCAATGCTCCCCACGCAGCGACATGTCATGCATGCGAGTTTCAAACGGTTGGAGACCAAGCCCCCTGGCTTTGGTAGCCGGCGGGCTGAAAGCGTCGACTTGGACTTGTCGACGCTAGATGACAAGTTACATTCCGGCCATTCGCCTGGAGAGAGGACGCATGGTTAGGACGCCGCCACCCGATCTTGCGAGGGGAAAGGAGGAACGGATAAAATCGACATCAGACCGGAAGTGCCACAGCAACCCCTGCTTGAAATTGCGTGGCGGTGACAGGTTTCTGAGAGGCAGCGACGCCATGCTCGCCCAAAGGTAGATCGTCCTGCGAGCTGGAAGGCCATGATTGTTGCGCACAAGCTCAAGGTTCGAGATTGGTGAGTATTCGGTGCTTTTTCTGTATGCAGCCTGGCTGGTAAACAAACATACGGGCCTTTAAAGTTGGGTTTCGACTCGCTCCGCGCAGTAGCGTTACATCAGCCTTGCCTCTAGCTCACGTCACTGAACATGTATACCTGAATGGTTTCCAAATTGAGTCCTAGATCAAGAGCCAAAGGCTATGTTTGTGTAAGGAATATTTGAGATAGGCCCTAACAGGTAGATGGCTAATCCCGTGTTTACCAGATCGTTACGTTGAACACACCGCAGACTGCACTCTTGGAGGCAATACTGGACGGAGACGTGATGTTGACAGTGTCTCTTTCTCTTCGTAATGACAGTGTCGTACACATCTCGAGCAAAAATGTTAAAACCCCAATTACTGATACGCGTATTAGTTGTGCTTGTGTCTGAACCCGCAAATGCAACGAAGCAGCCAGATGGTCAACGCCTGCTCCCGGGGATGCTTTCTGATTAGTTGGTATTCTGCAGTCGCAGTATACAACTTGTATTCTGTGTGAATACTTGAATTAGTGGCTTTCAGATTATGGATGAGTTAGCATGAGCTGAAATGTCATCCTAGGCTGTCAGTCCCATGCGTCTGAACACCCTCTTCGGAGGCATGAAGCTTAAAAATTTAAGCTTCACGACGGCCGGGGATCCAGCCGGTGACGTCGGACAGGATCCAACAGTAGCGCTCATCCTTCAATGCTGCTGGTGATGATGTCCGGGAAGACGACTGCTCGACTTGGTGAATGAGCATTTTTCGTGAGCATGGTGATATGTCTCTTCCTTGTGGCAAAGCTGTATCGAGATGCCATATGCACATTGCGGTCCATTGTGGCCCATTGTGGCCCATTGCGCTCGCTGCTTTCGACACACGCTCTGGCTTGAAGCGCAAGCGCGGCGTCTCACGAACTTGGCATGACGAATACGCCGTGATGGAAGCTTCAATTAAGCCGTCTGCCTTGAGGTGACTCGTGAGCAACTTGTTGTGAGGTATTCGTGATCGTCTTGGTCATTCGTATGCGCAGCCTACATGGCGTTGAACAGAGGTAGGTAGTAGGGCATGATGATGAGCGGCAGCGTATGCCTAATTTTGCATGAGGCATTATTCAAGACATCTGGGCAGGCTGGAATGTGGCCCGTCTGCCCGCCTTGCCCCTCAGCCCCTCTGCTGAGCTGGCTGTCAGCGATGAGGCAAAATCCTTGCGTGGCCGAGCGAGGCGCAGTGGTGGTGACTTTGTTGCGCAGCTTGCTCATTTGTCTGCCGGCTTGCTTTTCTTTTTCCCGTGCCGGTGCTTGGGCTCTGGGCTTGGACTTGGGCAGGCAGGCGGTTACGTCAGCGGATCCGTTCCCACCGTACCCAGGCACCCAGGTACGGAGGCGATACGGGTACGCACCCGTGGGCAGCCGTGGCAGCCCACTCATATCGCGTGCATACGGGAGCAGCAGCAGTATGGAGCACCGGTATGGCAGTAAATCACAGCAATTGGCATTTGATTGCGGTAGAGGCCTAAAGGTGGAGGACGTCCCTTTTTTTAGCGAAGTAAGTACACTTGGCCATGACTGGACAAGGCAGAGGCAGAGGGCGCGCAGCTTCGTCACTGCATACCGTCAGGCTGTCGTGCCAAGCAACTTTGTTTCCTGTTGCACCGGCAATCCTCCTACCGTTAGCACGGCTGCAGCGCAGTGCTTAGTTAGTCCCTATTGCGAAACTCGAAACATCCTCACCCGTCCGTCATCCCCCCGTCCTACGCGGCAATCCCCCACTACGAATTCCCTCCCGAACGCCGATCAACTTGACGCCGACAACAACACACGACCACCACCATCTTCTCCTCCGAGTTGTGCGCATTGCTCGGGCATCGTCGACCTGGCATCCTCTCAGGCGCTGATCACAATAGACCCATCGCTGCGCAGGCTCCCCGGCCCCTATGTTGGCCCCTGAGTCGTCCCTCATACACCACAGCATCCCACCACTCTGTCCACCGCCGCATCGTCACGGTCCCTTTCACATCGTAGTCGCCCGCCATGGTAAGAATCGCCCGAGTGCACTGTCGCCCATGATGCGCGCCTGGTCTTGCTCACACATACACTCCGCAGGGTATCACCAACCGTCGAAAGGATAAAGGGGCCAAGCAGGGCGGAGCTGTCGCAGCCGGCGGCGGCCATGCCGGCGCAGGAGGAGCGAAGCCAAAGAAGGCCACCTTCGAGACCACCAAGAAGAAGGAGATCGGCGTTTCAGACCTCACCCTGCTCAGCAAGGTCTCCAACGAGGCCATTAATGATAACTTGAAGAAGAGATTCGAGGGCGCCGAGATCTACACCTACATCGGCCATGTGCTGGTTTCCGTCAACCCCTTTCGCGACCTCGGAATCTATACCGACCAAGTCCTCGAGAGCTACAAGGGCAAGAACCGGCTCGAGGTGCCCCCGCACGTCTTTGCGATCGCCGAGTCTGCATACTACAACCTGAAGGCCTACCATGACAACCAGTGCGTCATCATCTCGGGCGAGTCTGGTGCGGGCAAGACCGAGGCTGCGAAGCGCATCATGCAGTACATCGCAAACGTGTCCGGAGGCGAGTCGGGCGACGTCAAGCAAATCAAGGACATGGTGCTGGCAACCAACCCTCTGCTGGAGTCCTTCGGCAACGCAAAAACGCTGCGGAATAACAACTCCTCGCGTTTCGGCAAGTACCTGCAGATGCACTTCAACGCCCAAGGCGAGCCCATCGGCGCCGACATCACCAACTATCTGCTCGAGAAATCCCGAGTTGTCGGCCAGATCCAAAACGAGCGAAACTTCCACATTTTCTACCAGTTCACGAAGGGCGCATCACAACATCAGAGAGAGATCTTCGGAGTACAAAAGCCTGAAACGTATCTCTATACAAGTAGATCCAAATGTCTGGAAGTTGATGGAATCGACGATCTCGCCGAGTTCCAAGACACGCTGAACGCAATGAGTTTGATTGGCCTGTCCCAAGGGGAGCAAGACAATATCTTCAGGATGCTTTCTGCGATCTTGTGGACTGGCAACCTGGTCTTCAAGGAAGACGACGATGGGTATGCCGCTGTGTCTGATTCGTCCGTTGTCGACTTCTTGGCCTACCTGCTCGAGGTCGACCCCCAGGCGCTCATCAAGGCCATCACCATTCGCGTCTTGACACCGAGGAACGGTGAGGTCATCGAGTCTCCCGCCAACATTGCGCAAGCAACAGCCACGCGCGATGCCCTAGCCAAAGCGGTATATTACAATCTGTTTGACTGGATTGTGGAAAGGGTCAACCAGTCATTGAAGGCCAGGCAACCAACAACAAACTCGATCGGCATTCTCGATATCTACGGTTTTGAGATTTTCGAGAAGAACAGCTTTGAACAGCTCTGTATCAACTACGTCAACGAGAAATTGCAGCAGATCTTCATCCAGCTGACGCTCAAGGCAGAGCAGGAGGAATACGCCCGGGAACAAATCAAGTGGACGCCTATCTCCTACTTCGACAACAAAGTCGTGTGTGACTTGATCGAGCAGACCCGCCCGGTGGGCATCTTCTCCGCCATGAAAGACGCCACCAAGACCGCGCACGCAGACCCGGCTGCTTGCGATCGGACCTTTATGCAAAGCATCAATGGCATGTCCAATGCCCATCTGACGCCGCGTCAAGGCAGCTTCATCATTAGGCATTATGCTGGTGACGTGAGCTACACAGTCGATGGCATTACGGACAAGTGCAAGGACCAGCTGCTCAAGGGAGTCCAGAACCTCTTCCAGATCAGTCAAAACAAGTTCATCCACACGCTGTTCCCTCACCAAGTCGACACTGACAACAGAAAACAACCACCATCTGCCGGTGACAGGATCCGGACTTCGGCTAATGCTCTTGTCGAAACGCTCATGAAGTGCCAGCCATCTTATATTCGAACCATCAAGCCAAACGAGAACAAATCTCCAACAGAGTACAACGTCCCAAATGTGCTCCATCAAATCAAATACCTTGGTCTTCAAGAGAACGTGCGAATCCGTCGGGCTGGCTTCGCGTACCGTCAATCTTTTGAGAAGTTCGTCGATCGATTTTTCCTGCTATCTCCTGCAACATCGTACGCAGGAGAGTACACTTGGACCGGCTCATACGACGCGGCTGTCAAGCAAATTCTGAAGGACACGAGTATCCCGCAGGAAGAGTGGCAACTTGGTGTAACGAAGGCTTTCGTCAAGTCTCCAGAGACGCTATTTGCCCTGGAGCACATGCGAGATCGGTACTGGCACAACATGGCAACTCGCATCCAGCGAATGTGGCGAGCGTACCTCGCATACAGGGCTGAGTCGGCCACACGTATCCAGCGGTTCTGGCGCAAGAAGCGCACAGGCGCTGAATACTTGCAGCTGAGGGATGACGGCCATCGTGTCCTTCAGGGGCGCAAGGAAAGGCGGCGCATGAGTCTGCTGGGTTCGCGACGATTCCTCGGCGACTATCTAGGCATCAATGCGTCCAGTGGGCCTGGCAGTCAAGTGCGCAATGCTATTGGACTGGGAAGCAATGAGAAGGCAGTCTTCTCGTGCCGTGGTGAAATCTTGGAAGCCAAGTTCGGCCGCTCCAGCAAGCCAAGCCCTAGGATCCTCATCGTTACGAACAGCAAGTTCTACACTGTCTCTCAGGCGCTGGCGAACAACCAGGTTCAGATTATTGTCGAGCGGGCGGTGCCTTTGGGAGCCGTCAAATTCGTCGGCGCATCGACTTCCCGCGATGACTGGTTCTCGCTTGGAGTTGGCTCACAACAGGAAGCAGACCCGCTTATGAACTGTGTCTTCAAGACGGAAATGTTCACCCAAATGCAACGGGTCATGCCGGCAGGGTTCAACCTGAAGATAGGGGAGACGATCGAGTACGCCAAGAAGCCCGGCAAGATGCAGCAGGTCAAGGTTCTCAAGGATTCTCCATCACCGGTGGACTTCTACAAGAGTGGTGCGGTGCACACACAGCCCGGCGAGCCACCAAACTCAGGATCGAGACCCATGCCAAAAGCCAAACCTGTGCCACCAAGGCCCATCACAAAGGGAAAACTTATCAAACCTGGTGGACCCAACGGCCGGCCGTCGAGAGCCACGGGCAACCGAAAGCCTCAACCCCGACCTGGAGCTGGAGCTGCGGCGGCTCCGCGTGCCGTGCCCAACCCTACACCTAGACCTGTTCCGAAACCCATACCCGCACCTGTCACCATCCCCTCGCACACCCGAAATCAGTCGGCTGCTTCTGCGACTCGAGTGCCGCCTCCTCCTCCGCCTGCTGCACCTCCGGCCAGGGCGAGGATCATGGCCAAGGTTCTTTACGATTTCGCTGGCCAAAGGGAGAACGAGTTGACAATCAGGGCGGGCGACATGATCGAAGTTGTACAGAAAGAGACTAATGGTAAGACCCACACCATCTGTAGGACTGCAATGGAAACGAGCACATGACTGACTTTGAACAGGATGGTGGCTAGCTAAGAAAGGCGACGGCCAGGCATGGGTCCCTGCAGCCTACGTAGAAGAGCAAGCACCAGCACCAGCACCAGCACCGAGGGCGCCGCCCCCGCCCCCCGTCGCAAACGGCAGGGCCAAGCCCGCGGCGCCCCAGCCTCCGGCCAAGCGACCCGCAGCGGGGCGAAAGCCCGCGCCCGCGCCTCAGCCGCGCGACTCCGGTATGAGCCTTAACGGTTCAGACAGCAGCCGGAGCAATACGCCCACGCCGAGCCTGGCGGGCAGTCTGGCGGACGCGCTGCTGGCCAGGAAGAACGCGATGGCGAAGAAAGAGGACGATGATGACTGGTGAGCTAAACGACATTTTGAGTGGCTCGCTGGTGGAAGTTAGAAGGAGGACTGAGTCGGGCTCTTCGCACGCCGTGCTTGGATGGGCAATGGATTTGGTTCGTTTCGGTGCATAGCCCTGGTTTTGCTCTCGTCCAGATGGCGAAGATAGAATGGCAATGATGATGATACGGGACATCCGTTTCGGCCCCGGACTCTGTTTATTCGATAGACGGGCGGGCTGGCGAGACCTGGCCCGTTCGGTGTTTTGAAGTACCCAGAGGCGTCAGTATTGATTGACAAAGTATATAGCTCAGAAAGATATCACTTCAACATCTTGGTGGCCGGCATCCCTGCTGGCTGTTTCATGAGTGATCTCGAAGTGTGCATATCTTCTGGCATCTACCGCCTACGCCCTCCCACGCGAGGGCTGAGAGAGAGAATGGCATCATTGAATCAAGCACTTCCAAAGAGGAACATGCATCGACAGGCATGAATGAGATAAGTCCGTCCGGATTATTGTGCGCCATGGGCACGCGATTCTCCAGCACAACCAGACTCTGGGTAGAAATGGTTTGCATTCGGCGGCACATCTACAACAGGCTCGCTCTATCTATCCTTACTGCCTTCCTTCCTCCTACGCAGCAGTTCGGCAAGCGGGACATCTTCATCATCATCCTCGACGTCCTCGTCCACGCCAAAGTCGCGCAGGCGGTCGCCCTCGGAATTCGTCCAGCCCGGTTCGCCGTCCATGCCTCGCTCGTAGTAGCCCTGGCCCGGTATCACAGGGACCGCCTTGTCCTGGGCGGTCCCCTCCTCTTCGTTGTCCTCATCCTCGTAGTACCCACCACTGCTGCCGCTGTTGTCGTCGACATAGTCATAGTCGAGGTCCTCGATCTCCTCGTCCTCGTCCAGCTCCGCAATGACGCCCGACGTGCCCCTCCGCCGCCGCAGGTCCATCTCCTGCCGCGCGCGGAACGCAGCCATCTCCTCCTGCGGGCTCGCCCACTTGCTGTCGACGAGCACCGCCTCCTGCCGCGCCGCCTCGGACCCGGGCCAGCCCTTGGCGCCGCCCGCCGCCCTGCGGAGCTTCTCCGGGTCGGCGGGCGGCCACATGCCCTCGCGGTCGTTGAACCCGTTCTCCTCCCACTCCCAGCCCACGCCCTTGCCGACCTCCTTCGAGACGGTCGGGCCCCCGCCGATGAAAGGGTCGAGCCACGTCAGCACGTTCCGGGTCCCCATCGCCTGCGCCATGTTGGTGAAGAAGTCAATGTCGTAGGGGAACTCGACCCGCTCGATGACGACCTTGCCGCCGTCCCCGCCGCTCCACCACCCGCCCCTCCTGGACCGCAGCAGCACCGCGTCATGGCGCTCCTGCTCCCAGCCCTCGATCATGGTGACGTTGAGCACCCACCCGCGCACCGTCGTGATGAGCAGGATCATCAGCGCGAACTCGGTCAGCCCCGCGGCGATGCCCAGCAGCGACAGGTGCACGAGCGCCGGCACGCTGGGGCCCAGGTACGACGGCAGCGCCGAGTTGTCCCAGAAGATGAGCCGCAGCCGCGGGTACAGCAGCCAGGCGAGCAGGTACAGCAGCGCGGCGTTGGTGTACACCAGGAAGCGCAGGAAGTACGGGAACGTCTGCAGCGACACGCAGTTGTTGGTCCACGGGCAGTGGTGGTCCATCTTGGGGATGCATGTTTTGCAGAGGCGGCAGTGGTGCGCGCGCAGGGGTTTTGGCGAGTCGCATTTCTTGCACCAGCGCGTGGTTGTCGTCGTCGTCTTCGGCTCGGGTTCGGGCTTGGGCGCTGACGTCTCGTTCGAGGACGGGTCGGTGTCTTCGCTAGTTGGGGTTGGGTCGTCGGACTTCTTGGGTGGTGGTGCCGGGAAGTCGTACCGCCCGGGAGGCACAGTGCATGCCCTGTAGTATGTCGCCCACAGGCACAGAAGGAGGATGTTGAAGATGGCCGTTTCCCTCTGCGTCAGCGGGCCGGGCTCGAGGTTCTCGGCCGCGTTGAAGAGCCATTGCGAAGTGTAGCCCAGGAAGGAGATTAGGAGGCAGACGGCAGGAACAAAGAGGGATCGGTAGTCAGTGGAGGCCGGACCGGTGAGTAGGCCAGCCATGGCTTGTATTCAAAAAGTGGGAGGGTGAGAAGTGAATGTCAGAGGCTTTGTCAACAGCTCAACATGTTCATTGTGAACAGGGTGCTCGTTAGGTGGTGCAGACCATGGGGCGACGGAGTGTCAGATGCCTGGTTTCAAATATTCAACCAGTTCTGGATGATCAAGTTGCGATGTAAAGAGTGGAAGTCGGAAGAGTGCATGAACAGGACACGCCCAGTTCCGAGGCTCGTATTATCGCGAGGTCAGCATTCTGGTCAGGCATGGTTGTAAATCAGCCTCCCGTGTGGTCCGTTCAGGGACGCGACGTCAGTCTGGGCAGCTCCGAGACCCCTGCTCAGGGGCCATTTTAGCTGACATAAGTACGACAACCTGCCTAGGTACATAGGTACAACACTCGAGCTCCAGAGCCCTTCCTCAGTAAAGACCACATTTATGTGCACCCACCGCATTTACGGATTGCCATATGATGTGAAAAATATCTGATACATGGACTCCTGCAAACTGAAGGACTTCTTCTGGAAATTAGTGACTCTTCAACGCTTGTTACAAGTTCCTTGTGCCGCTGCTCTAAATTCTCTGGAGATCCTCAAGCTGTTGGAGTGCCTCAAAGCTTCCACAAGCTCACCGTCGCGGGCTTGATAATCACATACAGCGCTCCTATGCAAGCGCAGACCTTCCTTTCTCGCTACAAGTCAGTTCTAAACCTCGAGCTTTATAAGAGACGGCTTCATTGTTCCTACGCATTCATTCACTGGAAGCACATTACCAATGTGTCTTGAAGAAAAGTCCCTTTTCGTAATATAACCTTTGCAGTGATGCACTCTGAGAGTTGTCTAACGTTGCTCTAATGTACCTGTATCTTCCAGCGCTTGGCTTCCTTTTCCACTGTATGCAAATCAGGCAAACCGTCTTCTAACATGAGCCTGATCACGTTGTCTTCCTCTTTCTCCGGCCTGTACGCCCATGATGCCAATGCTGAAGTCTTCCAAAGCGGTACGCCATTTCTGGATCTCGACCGCCAAATCGCGAACACAAGCAAAATGAAGGCTCCGACCTCGACGACCAGCGGCAACGCGTACCACAACCAGTCGACCCGCACGTAGATAATCACTTCCCGGCTCATGCCTTCCATGAGCTCGCTATTCGGCCCTGCCTGCAGCGCATTGGTCATCGCTTCCGTCATCCTTGCGACCCAGACTGTGATGTCCCCACCGGACGCTGACTTTGAGAATATGGGCGGTTTGTCGTCGGGTGTGTAGTAGGGCTGGCTGCCCTCCACATTCGGAATATCTGACAGCAAGTTCACCAGGAAAAAGTCCAAGGCCTCCCAGTCCCAAATACTGATCGACATCGGCTGAAGGCCCATCTTGTTGAAATTGATTTTGCCTTGCTCACCCAAAGCGACACTGCCTGTCTCGTTCAAATTTGAACTGTCTGTCGGCAACCTGCCGACCTCGTCCAGTGGGATCTTTTCCCGGGTGGAAATCACAAGCTCGTTGCCCTCGACTGTCACGCCGGAGTATCGCCACGCCACGGCCGATACCTCGCATTCTGTGACATTCTCCTTCAGGCGACCACCGTGCAGGAAGTCTGGGTCGCGCTCATACTGCGCTAGTGTGACAAGGCTGGCATAAGACTTGCCGGGTTTGGGCATCCGCAAGTTCCAGACACCGAATTTCGAGGAGCTGGCGATCGACACATATTTCGTCGTCGTGTGCCACGTCCCGTCGAATACAGGAAAATGATCTGGCTTTAGCAGAACGCCGCCTGGAGTCGTCATGTTGCAAGCTTGTGAGATCGTGCCGTTATAAGGATCTACAGGCTCGGGTTTGCTTCGAGGGTCTGAATTAATGCAGCTTCGGTTTGCGGCTGCAGCCTCTGTCACGTCTTTGCATTCGTAGCCAAAACCCAGCGTTACGTATGTGCCGTTCCAGGCGCAAGCGGATGTGCAGTTGAAGACCGGAGGTGTCTTGGAGTTATACAACGCGCCGAGAATGTTGGCACGCATAGATGAGTCGAATGTATTAGGAAAGAAATTAGATTCCTTTGATCCTGTGATGGTAGTTACGTTGTAATTGTATGCTACGCCGAACGTAGCAGACGAATTTCTGAGGTCGACTTGTCGGTTGGCGTAGCTGATTACTTGCTGGGTGAATGGACCGAGGGCTGCCGACAAGATAGTGACAAAACATCCAAGGGAGACCACGTGGAGCGGGCGGTGGACCAGTAGAGATATAGACCCGAGAGATCCTCGACTCGCCTGGTCGAAGAGCTCGAAATCATACATGCTGCGAGGTCGTCGCAGATGTAGCCACTTCAGCTGCCCAATGCTAGCCCCTACTGGCTCTAAGAGGAGCGCTTTAGAGATTGTGGAAAGTGCTGCGACCATGGCGTTAAGAGAGATTTTCAGTGTCCAGGTGTTGAGAGGGCGGTTGTTCATCTGTACAAGGATCACAACAAGCCATATCTGGCATGCCCAGCTGGCGCCAAGTGAAAATACCTCATGGAGCCAAGAATTGGTTAGGAATGTGCGCAGGTTGATTGATGTGGACTTCTGGCTGATTGCTCGTCGAACTTCTGGTTTTCCGTTTAGGCAGGAGCTGTTGCCTGGTGAAGCAGTGTCTGTGTCCCTCAATTTATTTTGGTCGCGGTTCTGCAGTGGCTCCCTTTCGTCAATAGATTGTTGACGATGGCTTTCTGAAACCGCAGTGATCATGCTCTCGTGCAAAGACGAAGCCTCGTCTTGGCTATGATCCGGGTCTGTCATGGCTGAAGATCCAGGACAAAGGAGTTGATTGAAGTCAAATTTAGTGTTATGGGAACTCAAACAGCCTCAGAAGTGAAATGGTAGCCGGTTGACAGTAAATACACGTGTGAGGGGTGGAAAACCATCACGATTTGATGCTGCAGCCTCCAGAGTGTAAATCAACAAGCACGTATCTTTATGTGCTCTGCATAGCTCAAGAGATGGAGGATTGAATAACCAAAGACAAGAGATGATGAAGAGCACAAAACAAGAGCACAAAACAAGAGCACAAAACAAGAGCCTGTCTGCATGCGCGGGCTCAGCCACCATATCGTATCAGGGAGTGCGTCTATTTTATCTGCAAGTTGTGCAACGCTACCTACAGCACAGCCGTTTCGCATATCTCCAGGGGTATCTTACATTCTCATGTATCGATACAACTCGACACCAACCGATTAAATAGGAACGTGCATGCTCTGTGCCCTGGCTTTGGTGAAAATAATTGCTCGCTAGCCCTCATCAAGTGATTGTATACCTACAAGGTCCTGGGTCCATGATACCTTGCAATCCGAGCTTGAGAATACCATGGGATGGCGCAAACTATTCTGCGGGATAATAATCATCAAATGAGGTATTCATGGCTTCGTTGTATGTATACAACTACAAGGGTGAAGAAATTGTCAGCACTTATATGCACGCCTTGGGAGGTTTGGGTGTTTTGTTGTCCTAATGGCTGATTCTGAATGATGCACAAGCGCTTGTGATGCCTCCCGAGCCACCCCCAGCCCCTCTGAACACCCAATCAAATGCGCTATCTTCCACGTCGAGGGAGAAGCCATAAGAGCACTCCACGAATGTCTCTAGGCAGGAGTTTATCCACTTGGGACAAGCCCTCCCAGCATTAACCCATAGGAAAGCCTGCTTTAGTGTAGGGGGGGTGTTGAAACCCAGAAAGACTCATAGACGGCGTAGTCATATGAACGCATGCAGGCCCTGTTTTGCGGTTCAACATAGGAGCGTAGCCTTGAGAGGCCAGAATTCTCCGCCATCCGCTATATTCAGCTGTGTTCGGCGCGTTCATTAATTTGCAAGAATAACTTGTTCTGATTGAACCCCTTCTCATCGGCCCTCACACACTAAGAGGTCGGTACAATTGGTGCGAGCTAACGTGACCTGTTTCTGGGTACCCAACCCAGAGGAACCTGCAAACAAAATTCTATTGCAGTAAAGGCATTTGACAGGAAGGTGTTTTCTTTATTTTTAAGAGTATTTACTCAAGTACTTGGGTTTTCTTTGACTGCAACTGCGACGGAATTGTCATCTCTCTTCCAGCTGTGAATTGAATCACAATGAGTCCATACAACACGTGGTCGAACGAGAGGGCATTGAGCAAATTGTCACTCAAGTGTCCCAGCTTCGAGTACTGGCCGGTGCAATCGCCATTCACATCACGCCAAATGGCGACCGAGCAGATTAGACTTCACCACCCTTACTTAGAGCCCGGACCTTTTGTGGATCAGCGCCATTCTGAAGTCCAACTGAATCACCTGGAAGCCAAAGTAAATCTTTTAGAATGAAACAGAATTGCATCACTCTTCCAATATTCGCAGTTCGGCCATGCTTCGACTTTTTTCTCCCCGCCTGTCATGCCTCAGCCGTGAGACAATGCAACTTCGGTTGCGTGCGAGTTCATTGCAATACCTGTACGTTCGAGGACAACAAAGTATTCATTCTTTTCCACTCAAGTAAATGTTTCCACATTTCTGACGCATGGCGAGTACATCTAAAGGATAATACAAGGGGTCTGTGCGGACTCTTATTCTCGGAATTGAAGATGTCTTTGAAGCAGCAAGTCCGGGAGTCATGGGTGTTATTATCGGTCAAACTGATTAAATGATGTATACCAGGGGCATAAGTGTTTAGATTCCTTTTTCAAGACGGATTCCGCGCCTTCGTTTGACTGGTATCTTAGTCAGGAAATGCGTTGTTACCCACTGTCGGGTATAGACTATCTCGATTGCGGCCAAAATGTTTCTTTCCGACTAGTGAATACATATGTCTGAGTTCTGTCATTTCCAGCAACATTTTACACGACACCATTTTCATGTGCCAGGAACAAAGTTTTTTCCATCCTTCTTGTGGAGATACAAGGCTTCGATGTCCAAGTTGTGCAACATACGAGCCTGGGCATGGCAGTCAGTAACGACGATACAGACTCCCCTACCGGAGTCGAATGCGCAACATTTCAATACATAAGGTAGTACGGGTATGCAACGGCGATGAAGCCGCGTGACTCACATTTATACCTATCACATCGCCCGCAGCTTTCCACTCCCCCAGAAAATCGATACAAACGCTGCTCCCACAGGTTCCACAGAAACGATGGACCTTCTTTCCCGTCGCAAACTTTTAGCTACGCATCTCGTCCCAGCCACTCAACCACTCGATATCTTTGCGCTCCGCGAATATCGTCAAATATCCGTTTCGCTGACAGATACTGCAGTCACAACTCTTCACGGGAAAGTGCCAGCCTTCCTGCTTGACTAAACTTGGGTGGGCAAAGCTGAAGCGTACCGCGCCCTGTGGTCGATGTTAGCTGCCTGTCTTCCCGTCAAGCCCTTGCAGGATATTCTAAGTTTGCTGCAGGGAGCGAGATGAATTCGCTTGAGAACGGAAAGAACATATGGGGGGCGGCACTTGCGCAGTGACATGAGCCGTTGTGTGGAATCTCCGGGAGGGGGTTGTTGGACCCGTCCCAGCGCCACACGATTGTGTCGCCAGGCTTCGGCTCGATTTCTGGGTGATCTGGGTGCTTGTGGACGGAGGCTGGCATTGTCGATCCTGTGTTTCGGGATACACGGGCCAGCTCGTAGGTCAGGGTTCTCGTGAACAGGGAATAAGGAGGCGCTGGAGGCCACAAGAGCGATGTGGAAGCCTCCGCTTGAATCAAATTGTTGCTTCGAGGTCAACATTCAAGAGCCGAAGGATCGCGATCCGGCGCTAGAAACTGAACAAAATCCTTGTTCCCGAGTCCCCGGCAGCTTATCTTACTGTTGGTAGGATTCGGATAGCCCTGCATAATGCCTTGCAAGCCAAGCATGTCTCACTGGGTGCACAATGTGTGTTGGGTTGCTCAAAAGTATGGCGAACTCCGGTCGCTCTGGTCCAGCTACTGGTGTCGTTTTTGTCCGTTGGTCTCAAGGTGGGAGATTTATCTGGGCCAGTCGCTGAAGCTCGTATGCTTCAACCACATTCAGTTCATTCATAAGAACACTATGAAGAGAGTTCAATGTACCCAAACTTTAGTACAATAGGCTACGTGATAATCATGTGTACGAAGGCAGTTCCACTTGTTTCACTGATGTTCAGGTTGTATTCTTGGAAGGATTTGAAGTGGCAGGGTGTTGATTGGCACAATGAAATGACGAACGGTTATGTATGAACACAGAGAGAGTAGATTCAAGAAAAAGTTAATTAGATACGGGAAAAGTTCTTCACTATCTCAAAGAAGCCCACCTGCTCATGTTGACTTCAGATGTGTTGTTCATAAAGGTGTCTGATGCCAGTTGACGCGTTAGGCTATGAACCTAAGATAATCAGACTCCTTTCCCTTAAGCTGAGCACGGTTCAGGACTAAGAAACGAGAGCAGGAGCAGCAGCGGTCACAAGGTCCCGAATTTATCGGTCTGTGAAAGCTGGGCTAGTGGCTTGTAGGGTGCCTCGCTCACCATACTCGCAGTGCATTTGGTGAATTTGGCTGCGAGGTTGAGCTGAAATGTCTCCTTGCTGAAGACGCGACGTCAGGGTGTGACCCCTGCCAAGAGCTGTATCCGCTGACGTAACCAGGATGGAATGCTCCAATTTGACCTTCTGGCAACCTTGGAACTCAGTTAGATCCCCCGACGTTGAACCCTTTCCGAGACCTCCAAAGCCACCGGCGTCCGTTCTTTTCATCGCCGACCTGGTCTGGAGATTCATTAATATTTCACTTGACATGTTATCAACTCATTGTTACCTTCGACGCTCATTGAACGCTCTGCATCGATTCTCGAAAGTCGGATGTGGCGGCCTCAGAATCCCAGCTGCCCCTTTCTTTCTTCAGGGTTAGCCTCAGCACTTCATTCCTTGTAACCAAACATACCTCAAGTACCTATGGACCATGGCCGAACCCTCACAGCTTGCGCTTCTATGGTGAGTATCTCGAGCCACAACATAAGCAGGATAGTCCCGTCTGACATCGATGCAGCGCCCTCACATCCTTCTTCTATCTTTATGACAATATCGGCCGGCATCCCCTGCTTGGTAAGGTCTCATTGCCGTGGCCCATAACATCTTGAGATGCTTCTCTGACTGCTGTCCCAGAACGGCCCCGGATATCCGAGGTGTTGATATTCTTGATCTCCGGGCTCGTCACATTAGCTGCCAGCTTTGTCTCCAGGTGGCTACCAGGGGCCAACGGACGATTTGGTATGTAGGCCGGGCAAAAGAACAACTACGTTCCCCTTACTGACCCCATGCCCAGACAAGGACATTGCTTATTCCAAGCTTGGAGAACCAGAACAGGCGGGGCATCTCAGAAGGCCTCGCAAGTATTTTTGGCCACTATTGCTCGTTCTGGTTGTACTCCGCCTGGAATTATCCCGCTGGCTTCAATATCGTCTTATATGCAATAAGCCAGGCGTCGAGGTGAGTGTAAATTCGGACATTTGCTGAATCTGGGACTGATCACTTCAGTGTCTGTTGCCTGTTCTGCTTGCAGTCTATGATTCAAGCACGACCAGGAGACGAAGACCCGAGGATGACCATGGCGATGACGACTACGACGCCATGGGGAACGACGCTTTTGAGGATATAGTACTCTGGTTCATGAACTCAAGGATCACCCAACTCACAGGCGTTTCACTTCTCAGCTGGGGCGCCTTCTCGCTGCTTCAACCGAGCATGCAATTGACTGCTCTCTGCCCCTTGTCGGAGAACAGGACGACGATCCTCTCCCTACAGTACGTGGGAGTCTTCCTTGACGCCGCCATTCTCATCCTCGCCTGGCGGATACTTACTTCAAGCCGCACCACGACGAAACGACTCAGAAGTCTCAGTGCAATCTTGGTGTCGTCTTCAGTCCTCATTGCCCTCGTCGTCCTCGTACCCAGTCTCATAAGCTATCGGCTGAGAGGATACTTCCACTTTGCCGAAATGTACGGTGTGGACTCTCTATACTTCTTTGATGTTTTCAATGATGCTATGGTCTTCTCTTTTCTCTTCATTTCCTTCTCTCTGTTCACCTGCCAAGCCTCTCCGTTGGCGTCAACGGGTATCGTTGCGTTCCTTTGCGGAACGCAGGCGACTTATCGCAAATTGAGTCTGCTCGGTACTTACGAGCAACTCTCTCGCTCGAGTATTGTATTGCCGATCTACGCCTTATGCTTTGGCTTTGCCATTTTCATATTCAGGAACCAAGTTCGCATCATCTTTCCCCGCGCGTTCATCAGCTTCCTTCTTCTCGCCGCAATGATCGGTGTTTCTATCTACTGCCTCCTAGCGAACAACGTTCTGGACCGACACCCCTTGGATACGCTCATCTACCAATCTAGGACAAGCGCAGATCGCTGGGTTGTTCAGGCATCCACAAGCCAGAGTGTGAGAGTTGCAGTTGACGAGTACCGTGAGCGTCATGCAGGCCGCAGTCCCCCGCCCGGGTTCGACATTTGGTTCGATTTTGCCAGAGCAAGGGGGTCCGTGGTTCTTGATCACTTCCAGCAGATCGAGGAAGACATTCTGCCGTTTTGGGGCCTCAGCCCTAGCAAGATTCGGGAAGGCATCACTCAACTTGGGTCGAATAGAGACATCGGCCTCGTCAGCATACGGAAAGGTGCCGTCACCCACCAGCCTGCAATCGAGTCATCCAAGGATGCCATGATGGATGATTTGGTTGCGCTCATCCAGCCGTTCGCGCCGCATTTGCAAGACATGGATCTCCCCATCAACTTGCTGGACCGTCCAAGAATCCTGGCGACGTGGTCGGATAGGAATCGGTTTCGAAAAGGCGCGACAGTCAAGAATTTGCTTGCCCCTGGCTTGACCAAAAGAGATGCCGACCAAGCATCTCCCGCCGAGGATGAGGCGGCACAAGAAAGCGAAAAAGATGCACACAGTCTGCAGAACAAACTGAAAGACAGGCAATTCGCGACTGCTTGGGAGCACCAGCGGAATCTGGGACAAGCCTGTCCTCCTGGCTCGTTGTCAAGGTCGGGATTCTACTCAAACAACCGAGACTTCTGCTCGAAATGTGTCGGCCCCCAAGCAAAAGGACAATTTCTGGCAGACTGGGATGTAGCGCAAGATCTTTGCCACCAACCCGACATGTTCAACCTGCACGGCTTTTACATGAGCGAACTACCGCTGAAGCCCTTCAGCGAGCTTGTGCCCATGTTCAGTCGGTCCAAGACTGACCGATTCAGTGATATCCTTATCCCGTTGAGCAGGGGCGATGACACGTACAGTACCGATAGCAAGGAAAAGCCGCTTGTGAACAAGGAAGCGCGGCTTTTCTGGCGCGGCGATATTGGCGCCGACTTCGGGATGGTACCGCCTCGTCTGCTTAGCGGCGGACATCAGGAACGCCTGAGCTACTTGGCCAACAATGCCTCTGCGTCAGACCGTGTCACTATATGTCTTGCCATGCCGGGAGACAAGGAGAAGTTCCGATACGAGAGGGTGCCCCTGAACGAGCTCAGCTCTGCGTTGAAGCTTGATGCCGGTATCAGTGACTACTCCACTTGCTTAAGCCCCGAGTGCGCCGCAGCGAAGATCGAATTTGGTTTCAAGCCCGAGGACAAGGAAGACAAGGAGAAGATGAACAGCCGATACATCATGGTTATGGACAGCGACGAGGGCCCGCCGCAGGACTTCCTCAAGATCCTGAGGTCCGAGAGCGTCCCGTTCGTGGCCTCCGTGTTTAAGGTAAAAATTAGCCTCCACTTTCATGTTTCCCCAGTGTCAAGTCCACTGTTATGCTAGCCCGTGCTGACACGGTAACCAGGAATGGTACAGCGAACGCCTAATGCCATGGCTACACTTCGTACCCGTCGACCTCCGCTTCCACGCGGTGCACAGCACGCTCGCCTACTTCACGGGCCTGCAGGACAAGGCCCTCATCAACGGGCGAAAAGTCGCAATGGAATCTCGCGTTGACAACGCCAAGTGGATCGCGCAGGAGGGCAAGAAGTGGACGGGCAAGGTCGTCCGCAGGGAGGACGCGGAGATCTACCTTTTCCGGCTGCTGCTGGAGTGGGGCAGGGTAATTAATGACAAGCGTGATGAGATGGGGTTTGAGTTGGCTAAGAAGACCGCAAAGGCTGCGGGGAGGTAGAGGATCTGGTGTGTAAGATGATCACGGGTTTACATCTGATCACGGAGGGTGCTGCGCTGGGCTATTCGACAGTTCTGTTGTAGCTTGGGATCGCTTGTACAGCTGATGCAACAGATGAGTGAAGAAGGTAATTGGATCGAGAGGGAGAAGACCTTCATGTAGCAATACTGTGGCGACGGCGTTTGGGCTTTAGAATAAGCAATCGGCTCTGATGATATGGAAGCATGGAAGGCAATTTACTCTGACAGTGTATGGAGTCCTTAGATGGTTGTCTTCGCACAAGAACGAGTATGAGATCTCACTGCCGTTGTGAGGGTGACGCATATGGGCAGGCCACCTCTCGAATTGTGTCACTGACGCAGTCGGCCCAAGCCAACTCACTTTCATCCCAACGTTCATAAACCCATGCACACCACAATTCCACAACCAAAAAGGCAAGCTGGCCTGGTCAGCAAAGCGAGCGATTCGAAAGACCTATAAGTCCAGACACATCGCCCACTTCAAAAGCCAATAAACACACAGGCAAGTAGGCAAAAGATAAAGTGAAGGCCTTGAGTTCAGACACAGTGCCCACCGCAACGTCAATAAAAACACAGGCAGGTGGAAACGAGACACTGCAACAAATATCCCGAAGCTCCTGCAAACAGGAATCACCGAAAGGAGGGACGCGCTGTAGCACCTTAGAGGGGTGGCAGGGCGTGAGGAGGGCGTTGGCGACAACCCCTCTTTTTGCGCTCTCGCCTGCTCATGAGCTTTTAGACGTGTTGAACAAACGCCAATTTTTATTTACTATGTAGATATGTTCAAGAAGGCATGGTTTGTCCAGCCCATCCTATGGACTTGGATCTGCGCAGACTGAAGCACTCTCCCCTTGATCTTCTCGTCCTCGATATCTTGCCCCATGAACGCGCCATGCGTGCTCTGGAAATCATGCTTGCCCAGGACGTCCCACATCTGCGATATCTCATCCGGCGACAAGGGGATGAAATTGGGGATGCTCCACATAAAGGCGAACGAGTTGGCGCCCTCGGGCCTCCCCAGATGGCCCTCGCGCTTGGTGCCGACCGCATCCGTCTCCCAGCTGCCAATGCCCGCGGGCGTGGTCAGGAGGGTGTCGGCGATGAGGAGGCGGCCGGCGAAGAGGAGCACCAGGCTGCCGGGGAAGTGGCCTCCCAGCTTGAGGGCGGTGGCGCCGGTCTTCTGGCCTGACACGGTGACCTCGTGCTCCCTCGCGTCGGCGCCCAGGAAGACCTGCCTCGAGGGGTCCGTCTGCGCCAGCCACTGCTTGTCCTCGGCGGCGAGGTAGACGCTGCAGCCGAAGGCCGTCGCCCACTGGAGGTGGGTGGAGTAGTAGTGCGGGTGGGAGATGACGATGGCGCTGATGCCGCCCAGCTTGTTGATCTCGCCGACGGTGGCGTCGTCGAGGAGGGTGATGCAGTCCCAGAGGATGTTGCCCGCGGGGGTCCTGACGAGCACGCAGCGCTGGCCGATGGCGAACTTGGGGGTGGTGTAGATGAAGGTCAGGCGGTCGTCCTTGTCGTAGCGGCGGAAGACGTTCTTGTAGCCTGCGAGCGAGGACACCATGCTGCCCAGGGTGGTGAAGCTCTGGCCCGAGGGCGGGGTGAACTGCCTGGGATCGTCGCATATGAAGCATCGTGTTTGCTGCTGGCGGTCTGCGGTGGGATACTGGGTGCCGCAGGCCGTGCAGATGAGCCAGTCTTTGGAGTCTTGAGAGGCCATCTTGGTCTGGTTTGAATTACTGGGGTGAGGCAGGCAATGAAGAGTAGGAGTAGAAAGTCAACGATCACTCGATCGTAGGACAGGCTGGTCTGGACGGCTTCGACTCGTGTGTAAGTGAAGATTGAGCCACTCTCGTAAGTGGGGGAGTGAGGTCAGGGTGTCAAGGGGATGATGATGCTGGCTCTTCGATGTGCAGAGGCAAACACTGGCTGCTCTCATAGACTACATCCTGGCATACTCTAGACTACATACTGTGCATCTGTTCCGGTCCAGCCGATCAGGCCAAGCTGGTCACTCAGAGTACTGTTCTGCACGTAGATGTCAGCCACGACACGATTGTCAGGGCAGTTAGTAGACTATGCTAGTCCAAGGTTGGGGTTGACGAACTGCTGTGGGGCCCGTCCTCGGTGGAGCAGAAGGTGGGTCTGCCGATCTGCGGCCCGAAAGAGGTCGAGCTTCCAACTAACTCCCTCGAGTCTTGCCTGTGCCTATGCCTGTGCCACTGGCCGTCAGTCAGCTGTCTCACGCTTTTTCAACGTCGAGCTGCGTCCAATGACCAAGCTCGACTCGTCCCATCACCAACCTCGGGACCAGCCAGCCTGCTCCCCTGCAGGGCACTCTTACTCGCTGCAGGTGGGACAATCGAGCTGATTCAACATAGACATCTTCATCTCTCACTTTCCATTTCCCTGGCCAGCTCGACCAACATGATACCCGGCCATCCGCCATGGACGTGTCAAGCTCTTCTGCCGCGACCTTGACGCGACCCAGGGTCGTCATCCAGGTCCTTGCCGGAGTCACCGGCGTCTTCATCGCCTGGCAATTCTGGCAGCAGTTTCGCCTGCAGTCTCTGACCTCAAACCCAGCTTCATCTTCAGCTTCGGGCCCCGCCTCTGTCGGCGGCAATGGTCTGCACAGGAGCAACGCCGTCCGGAGGACAGACCGGAGCACAAGACGACAGATCCAGGCCGCATTGGATGATGTTGAGCATCGCCTCGGATCTGAAGAGAGGAGACAGATTGAGGACATTCTCACCCATCACTTCGGCAGACAGCTTGCCGACCACGGCGGCGCAGTCCCCGCGGCCGACGACTCAGAATCCCCCGACCACGACACACATCACGATGAAAATGCCGAAAACACAAACTCCCGCCCACCAGCGACCTCTGGCGATATTGGAGGTGAAACCGAGACCGTGGCTGGCGAGGAGCGTACAATGGAAGACGACTGGGCCCATGATGATTCGTGGAACATACCACCGCCAAGAGCAGGACACAATATAGTGGGCCTGCTCTTCAGGGTCTCCGAGGACAACGCTCGACGAAACGCCTACGTCCACCGAGGGTGCATGTGCAACGCATGTGGGCTCCTACCCATCCGCGGCATCCGCTACCGATGCGCAAACTGCGCCGACTTCGACCTCTGCGAGACGTGCGAGTCACAGGGCTTGCACATCAAAACACACGTGTTTTACAAGGTCAAGGTCCCCGCCCCTCCATTTGGCCCCAAGTCCATGCAGCCCGTCTGGTACCCTGGTGACCCAGACACGGCTCTGAGGAACTTGCCCGGTGCTCTGATCAGGCATCTGGCAAAGGAAACGGGCTTTGAGCGGCCAGAGCTGGAAGCCTTGTGGGAACAATGGACATTCATCGCCAACACGGAATGGAGGGATGACCCGGATGAGTTGTTCCTGGCCGCTGATAGGAAGACTTTCGAGAGATACCTCGTGCCGTCAAGTGGGCACAGAAGGACTGCCCCGAACCTCATCCACGACCGCATGTTTGCCTTCTACGACACCAATGGCGATGACCTGATCAGCTTCCCGGAGTTTTTGATGGGCTTGTCCTACAAAAAGGGCAAGCAGAGGCTCGAGCGAATCTTCAAGGGCTACGATGTTGATGGAGACGGTTTCATATCTCGACGAGACTGCTTGCGCATATTCCGGACTTATTATGTCCTCTACAAGCACATGCACGGTGATGTTCTCGAGGGCCTGGACCAGCAGGTCATGAACAACACCGAGACTCAGCAGCTGGTAACAGGAAGACAGCCACTCAGCAGTCACTTTGGTCGCGAGGGTAGGGTTCCAGAAGCTGATCACGGTCGTCCCATGGAAGGCAAGATCTTTCACAGCAACGGAGATGTCTGGGTCGGCGACAAGAATGGTGTCGTAAGCGAGACGAGACCAGATGTTGGGGACCGGGGCGAGATTCTGTCGAGTCTTTTCAATCATGCCGGCCCAAGCGACGATGTATACGGTAGCAGGTTCTTTACGCATGCTTCTGAACACGTCACGTCGCCCACGGGAGATGAAGACGTTTCACGCATCTACCACGAGGCTCTCTTGAACCCTCCCACACGAGTCGAAGAGCTTGTGTCTCTCCTGCACGGCGAACCGCGCAACATACATCCAAGCGAGCTTGGACCTGTCGACCAGGAAGAACAACAGGATGGAGAAGAGAATGGCGAAGAGAACGTGCCAAGCGAGGAAGAGACGTCGGCAGAAGAAGAGGAGTCGGCAACAGAGGATGCTAGTCGGCCCATCGAATACTTCACATCTTTCGCAGACGCTTCCCGCGGCAGCAGCTCTGCCCCTCAAGTGGTTAGAGAAGTTGGTAACGAGCGATGGACCAACCGACCACCAACTGATAGCCAGCTACGTGCCCAGCACCTCCGTCTGGAGGCTCACAAAAAGCGAACGATGGATAGAAAGCTCCGAGTCACAGTGAGGAAGAAGCTGTTTGACAGATGGAAGAAGCGCAACTTTTACCTAGCTGAAGAAGAGGGCACCTCTCCGCCTGAGGGATGGAATGAAGAAGACGACGTCCTCGCGGACATAAATGGTAACGAGGTGGCGGGGAGCTCAAAGGAGGCACAACCCCCACTGTCTGCTCGATCACGGTCGTCTTCGAAGGTCCGCTTTGCCGAAGACACAGACGACTACGAGATCAGATCCAATCCCTCGACATCCTCCAGGAGTGTCCCAGAGCGATGGGGTGGCATGGACATACCTGATGCTGAGAGGGACATGGGCAAGGAGATCCTCTACGTCGTCACACAGCAGGCGTTCAATGAGCTTCTTGATGTTCTCTTCAAAGAAAAGGAAGACCTCGCCGTCAAAGCTGCGGAAACCAGGGAATACCGGGACGCATACCGTGAATTGCTCAATTCCTTTATCAAAGACAAGGCCAAGGGCTCATCGCAACATCAAGATGAGAACGGCAATGGGAATGAGGAAAACAAGGAGAAGGACAAGGGGAAAGAGAAAGAGCACGAAAGCGAGACCGAGAAGATCACAGTCATCCAAGTTGACGAGAAGAAGCCGATCCACAATAGAACCCTGGACGAGCTGCTCGCCACCTCTGGATACACTGTTGATGAGACACTGGCTCTCGAGGCTGAAGAAGACGAGGAAGACACCTCTTCTGAGGACGAAGACTCCGTCGACGCGACGTTGACAGCTGAGGAGCCAGAGCCCATCACGATCCACACTTCCTACCGTGACCCGACTATGCCTCAGTTCCGACCCAACAGCGATTCCGACGTCCCGCCACCAAGTCCAGCGACGGCACCAACTTATACTCCCAAGCCAGCCCTCAAGCGCAGGCCAGACAAGCTCAAGGGCATCAACGGTAGCGCCAACGGCAAGCCTGCCCGGCCTGGCCAGAAGGTGGGCAAGCCGCTGACCAGGCCGCCCGAGGCGGCGCTGGTGGAGTGGCGTAAGCACGACGCGGCCGAGAAGGAGGCCAAGGCCCGCGGTGGTTGGGGCCGGCTGGACCTAGCCGAGTTCAAGGACATCTGGCATCGCGAGGAGAGCGGGCCGCACCGGCTTGACTATATGGGGACATGGATCGACTTCTGTATACCTTAGGACGGCTACGCTCGGTGGTTCATGAAACGACAGGCCTTGTCGGATGCCGACGATGAGGATGATGAGGACGATGAGGACTTTGAGAGCTGGGAGTATAGCCTGAGCTCATCTAGTGAGGTGGTCTCGGAGGTTATCGAGGATTAGATACATGATTTCTTGCCAGTTGGTGACGGATGGCGTCAGGCTGGCTGTGTTGATTCTGTAGCGATATTGAAGTCCCGGACATTTTTCAGTCATCCTGCATGCATGACAGACGGGCGGAGTTTTAAAAACAATGAAGACGGAGATAAACTTTAGCATCTATTCACAATGTGCAAGTCATGCCGATGTTCCCTTTGGATCGCCATATTCAACGGTCTACTAAGTCCTTTTTTAACTTTTTAGAGTTGGGTATCATGCCGTGCCACATCCCGCATCCTCACATGCACCGTCCAACCACCCATCCGCCCACCGGCTTTAACAGGACCGTTTCATCCCGACATTCAGAGTTCACACAACACAACACACTCAGCCCCATCAACTCTATCCTGCTACAGTACTACCACAACCTCCTACTTCAAGCCCGCTCAAACACCAAACAGCGCCCCGGCAGCCCCAAACGCCCGCCGCCGCGGCATCTCCCACCGGTACAACGACGACCCCAGCGGCGGCATGTGCCGGTACAGCAATGCGCTCCCCAACACGCCCAGTAGGGCGGCGCCGCTGCCCAGTGCGGCCAGGACGGTCGACCCCACTGACGCTGACTTGGACGGGGCGTCGCGCAGCACCCAGGCGCGAGGCACCGAGGCCGCGACCACGCCCCTTGCGAAGCGTGTCGCCGCCCACGGCTGCTGCTGGTCCGCATCGGACACGTGCGACGAATCCGCCCAAGGTAAACTGGAGCTCACGTCGCCGCCAAAGACAGTGTCGCGCATGCTGTCCACGAACAGCGCCAGGGCCTCATGGCGGCGGCGCACCAGGTCCTTGAGCCAGGGCCGCGGCACGTCGGGCACGAGCATCAGGGCCAGGTAGCCGAAGGCCAGGCAGTCGAGGGCCGAGGGCCTGTCGTTGGGGCCGGCGCGGGCGAAGAAGGAGCGCTCGCCGCCGCCCTCCATGTCGGCGGCCGCCTTGAGGTCCGCCAGCACAGCGAGGCAGTCGTTGGCTGTAGCCTCGAGCCGGAACAGAGCCGTCTGCTCCGGCGACAGCGCGGCCTTCACGCCGCGGCGGCGCGGCTTCAGGCGGTCTGGCACCTTGAGGAAGCCGTCGGTGGACTCGCTCGTGGCGGAGCCCTGCGCCTGGGCGGCGCGGCCGCCGTCGTCGTCGACGTTGAGGTCGGACAGGCCGAGGTGGTCTGCCGTGTCGCACATCTGGTGCCGGATGGAGAGGGGCTCAGTCCACGTCAGTGGGAAGGGGAGGACATTGCTGTAGGCGGGGCGGGTGGTGGCGGCCCAGTTCGCTGACGAGACGTAGAGAGATAGGGCGACCAGCGGCGCGGCCGATGACCTGAGGAAGCTCGTGTAGGCGGTGGAGTCAGCTCTCTGGGCAACGTCCAGATCACGATCGAGGTCCCAGGTATCTCCACCGAGGTCGCGGAGGCGGCCGGTGATGGAGGTGAAGCCCGAGGACCACAGGCCGGATCCGGTCTCATGGAGCGCGGGAAGGGAATCTAGCATACGGATTAGACTTTCGGCAGATCGCAACTGGGGGGTGGGGTGGGACGGTCAGCGCAGGTGCCGTTCGCCGGGCCGAACGTTTGATGGCCCAACGCCTGACACACCGCCGTCCGACGTGTTCGGACGGGACGTGGGCTTAGCGGGCTGGGGGTAAAGGGGAGGGAGGTGCGTTGGCTCGTTCACTCGTCATCAAGCTAGTTGCTGTACTCACGCGTTGGAACCCCTGAGGGGCTAGTTGCGACAATCTCCCATTGATCGCCTTGCAGGGCGTTTGCCAGGTAGGTGATTGTGGCGAGACACTCTGCGTCGATGCTGGCGAGCCCGAAAGCTGGTCCCCAGACGTGGAGACGAAAGAGTACCATGACGACGGGTACCCCGTAGTAGTTCGTGGGTAAGGGAGGGCCTGGGGTACAGTACGGAGTGCGGCAGGGGGTGAAGAGGATCTACTGTACAGACAGACAGAGTAGTCTACTGTGCTGTTTCTGGTTGCGGAAATAACAGTCTCCCAGGTTTGATGAGTTACTTGTACAGTCGGTAGCACCAGGGTGTGTTGGGAAAACGAAATGAGGCAGGACGATGCTGTGCAGGGCGGTTTCTCCGCAAAGCCCTATCGGGCGAGGGTCGACAGAGATTGTCGAAATTGGGTACCAGATTCAAGGCAGGTGTTGCGTTGATGATGATGTGATGGGTGTTCCGACCCCGCGAAGACCGTTGAGCCCACGCATGCGCATGAAACGCTCAAAAGATTGCGATGTGTGATGGCGGCGCCGGCAGCCGCTGGCCTTGCTTCGATAGGAATGGATAGTCGGGCCAGTAGGGCTGCTGACTTGATGGCGGTGAAAAGGGGGAGGGGGATCAACACGGCGATCAGCCCTCTCTCTCCGCCTCCGCCTCGGCCTGAGTGGCCTGAGCTGTCAGGCAATTCTGTAACCGCGCCGGCGATGACGATCCCGGGTCGGGACTGGCAGACTGGGCAGCTGTCCCGAGAGAGAGAGACAAAGAGATAGAGTTCGTCCGTGGTGTGTGTCCTGTTCCAACCCAACGTTCCAGGGGTTTGTTGATCAGGCACGGCAAGAAGGTAAGAATGAAGGTTGGCGATGATACGCGTACAACGCTTTCGCCTCGCCTCGTCTCGTCTCGCGTTACCCGCCCTGCCTATGCCTCGCGCCGGCTGCTGCTGGTGCTTTGCTGTCGTCACCCTGTCCGTGACAGATCTTCATAGAGCTTCGAACGAAGGTTCGCCAGCAGATTGAGCGGCGCTGTTTCACGGCTGCACGATTTAGATCGACGCAGGGGGTCAGCCAGCCACTCAGTGTAGGCCTGCGACTGATCTGATGTGACGCTGGGCTGAGTTGGTTTGATTTGATTTGATTTGATTTGGCTTGATTTGGCTTTGATTGATGACTGATGGTTTGATGGGACTCTGCAGCCCAGTTCCCAGGCGTGCCAGGTCAGCCTAGGGCAGTTGCAGGGCCTGGGGCAGCGCGTCGGCCGAGAAAATGTCAGAATTCAGGGTCCAATTCTGCCCTCGGGCTCCACACCGAAAGCGGAAAGGGGAAGAAAAAGCCACTTGCAGCAGATGTACCGTCCGGAGCAGTACACAGTCTAGACAGTGAGGACTAGTAAAATAACAACTGACAGGCCTCGTGTGACGGCTAAGTCTGGAATGAATTGGCCCGAATTGGAAATTTCGCCGTTTCATGTAGGGAATAGGGCAGGAGAGAATAAAATGGTCTATGTTGAACCTGGTCACTAAGGCCAAAGAAAGTCTTTGTGTACTGTGTAGACGTAGACAGTCAAGAGGGTTGAAACAATCGGGCTGCCTCACAGCCTCACTGGCAGCTTGTTTCAATTGAATACCCAAGTCCCCAGCAGGCAGGCATCAGGCTGGGGGGTGGTTGCCTATAGGGGGGATGAAAGGGTGAAAAAGGGTGAAAAGGGATAGGGTACCAGACTTTGCGCAAGTTGGCGCGTTGGCTTGCGAGGCAGAGGCAGAGGCAGAGGCAGAGGCAGAGGCAGGTACGATGTGATGTGACTGCGTGTTGCGCACGTGGCAATCCCATGGCAAGAGCTAGGCAAGGCAAGTGCGAGTGGCGAGTGCAAGCCAATTGGCAGGACCCCAACGGCCAAAAATGAGGGCGGTGGCGAAAAAGACGAAAGAAAAAAAAAAGACATGCTGGCCCTGCAGTAAGAAGCTTGATTGATCCCTTTTCCCTACATGGCTACAGCAGCACCACTGCATCACTCACCAGCCCCAGCCTCCTTTCGGTCAAGCCTCAGGGGTATCATGCCAGTTCGCGTAGTCCGTTGCAACACGCACACAAAGACCACAACATATCATAACACGACGCAGCACAGACACATACACAGACACATAGTACCGCGAGTATGTACAGTACAGCGACCGAGTGAGTGACACCGACTCTGACACCGACAACAAACAAGGTTTGATGGGCCGGTAACCCCCAGCCTGCTGCTTTCTGATTCTGCCGCGCTGCAATTTCAGCAAGGCCGTGAAATTAAACAGAGTGTAACCTTCTGGAATGCATCTGAGCACTCAACGGAACACTGAGCACTGAGCACTGAGCATCGAGCACTGAGCACCGAGCACTGAGCACCAAAGTACTCGCTGGCCCCACAGTGTATGGCTTGTTCCTGTCAACACGGAACAAGCAGACAAAGTATCTTGCGCGTCTGCACTTATCCCATACATGCCTCCCAGCCATTGTTGACTTCAAACCCATTCCCGTTCCCATCCCCGCGCCACCTTCGGTTTTCTCGGTCTCTCTCGGCTGCTAGCGGTTTCAGGGTGATGGAGTATCACCCACGTCTGTGAGGTTTTAGCATCGGACGAAATCTCCCTCAGAAATCCCCCCCAGGTGTGCTCTCCGTATCAAGCCCCAGGCACACACGAAAAGCAGGGCATGGGATGGCATGGCATATGGGGTAGGACCGTCACGACCGTGTCGAAGATGTGGCATGATGGCGTGCATGGACCGAGAAAGCCCAGCCTATCCACCTGTCCAACCTGTCCAAACCCACCGTCCCCTCGGGGTTTTGGGCAGAAACCCTCTTTTTGCCTTTCCTAGCACCGGTTTCCAATGACGAGAGAGGCAGGCACACAGGGCAAACTTCTGAGACGAAGCAGTCGGTGTGCACGACCCCCAGCCAACCCAAATCTCCTTCATCTCGTCTCTGTCTATTTTCGTGTGGGCTGCCCGGCCTGGTCCGACCTTTGACATCGACCCGATGTATCTATCACACAGATGGACAGGCCGCGACAGCCGGGCCAGCCCTATGATCACGATGATGGTGATCCTGACGTGATGGCAGAGATGGCTCATCTCTCCCCACCCATGCAGACAAGTCAAACGCGGGCTCCCTCGCGTGCCCGCTCTTTCTACAACCACTTTGCAGTACTGCAATATGAGCATGTCGTCCTCGTGACCTCTTTTGGGGCACTGTTGATCCGCGCGAGGATCAAATCCCCTGCATCATTGGCACGCCATGCGACGTCCGCAAAAAAAACCCCTGCCTTGCGTTCGTTCGTGATGCACACACCCTTGCAACCACTCCCGTGGGGAGACGGGGAGGCGGCGAACTTGAGATGAGACCTGCGAGACTGAGGAGGAAGAACCAAATCAGACTGTCGGCCGACCATTGCTTCTTTCTGTCTTTCTGTTGTTTCTGCAAGGCTGCATATACACACACGTGTCTCATCTGCGCCGGGCGCGCCGCAAATCGCGCAACGTCGTGCCCCAGTGTCTCAGCCACGAGCCCGGCGCGCAGCGAGGAACATGCTCATCTACAGATTATCATCTCACCCCGCCCGAGCTGAGCGTCATTTGTGTATGTCAGAGATATCGCGCATCACGTTCGCTTAGATACCACAGTAGCATGTAATGTACGTATTGTACCACAGTATGTAGCCGGCCCCCAGGTGGCCCACCGCGACCACGACAGCGAGCCGTACCACGAAAGAGCCCCGCAGAAGGACCGTCATCGTCGTCGCTGGTTCAACCCTTGCCTCTCTCGCTTGTGACTGAGGCTAGTACGAGGCTGGCCTTCGATGCGGCGGCCGACCAGAGAGAGACCACCACCACCGTAACCGAGCTGTGGGGATATTTTGTTTTCGTGGGCCCCTCATCCTCCTCCTCCTCCTCCGCTTCCTCGTCCCCTCTCTTCTCAACTCACCACGGTGACTGCCCGCCGTCCATGCCATGCCTGGGCAGTGGCCCCATCTGTGCTGTAGCCCCGGGTGGTTCCGTGCCTGCTACGGGGCAAGCGCGAACACCGCACGCTTGTGTGGCATTGCATGGCGTTGCATTGCATGCATTGAGAAAGACCTGCAGGCAAGACAAGGCAAGAAAGAGGGGAGTGCTCCATCTCTCCACTGGCAGTTGTCCTCTGTCCTGAGGGGGTTTTGAAATGCCAAGAGAGAGAGAGAGAGAGAGAGAGACGGAGAGACGGAGAGTGAAGTGAACAAGAAAGCAAAGTATGCAGAGGTACAGGAGGGACTAGCGGGTTGGCAACTCTGTTTTCTCGTGGAGTTTCCCCATCTCGGGGCGGACCTATGTTACAGTCGGGTGCCGAATCTGTTCGAGACGAGACTGGGGGGCGGTTTAGACAAGCAAGGTGTGTGTTTGTGTGTGGGAAGCGGATGGATGGGGGATGGGAAGGGCATTGAAAATTTTCGTTTCTGAGTCTCCGGCGCATCAACCGCGACGGAACCTTGCCGTTGGGATGGATGGGCCATGAGCATGGCATGGTTTGGGGGGGTATGGGTGTGTGCGGACGGGTGTTGTGCATATTTGCTTCCCGTGCGTGCATCATATGAGATCGTTGCGTCTGATAATATAGTGTTTCCGCGCGGCGGAGGGATTTCGGAGGGGAGGGTTGAGCGGGTGAGAGGGCGGTTGGTCGGTTGGTCGGTCCCCTTAGGTTTGGAAGGAATCGGGTGCACCTCCCGAGGGTTTGCTTTTTTTTTTTTTGGCTGTTGCTGCCCTCCAACTTCGAGGCTGGACCAGTATCAAACGCGCGCTCCCGGCAGATGCTACCCTACATCCATCCATACTTTAACCTTTTATTTTCGATTTTGAATTTTTGCGCATTTTGATTTTGTCTGGTGCGTGCATATGTTTCCAGATGATGTTGCTGCTACACATGCTACATTTCCAACCTTCAGTCTAAACTTGAAATCGTTCAGCCCCGTCCAGGCGCAGATCAGGGAAACCCCCAACAGGGCCAAGTCAGACACATGGTCACAGATCTGCGAAAGGGGGGGCTGTCATACCTCTTGGTGTAGTTTGTGTAAGTGGGCAAGGCACGGTCACCTTGTGCTGACTGCAGCAGCTGTTGTGTA